TAGCAGGCAAATGGCTTTTTGACGGGTCCCCGAGGGATGTTTTGTCAGATCCGCCACTTATCTCGCGCGCTGCCTGCATCCCGAATCGCAAACCCCGTCCGCGAACTCAATTAGGACCACGACCGAATCTTTTTAATCCGACAAATTGCGCCAGAGTGAGAATAAAACTTCATTCTAAAAATAAACACGCGAAAGAAAAATACTGAAATCGAGAAACTCTTGCTTTACTACTTAAAGCTTCACTGTTTTTGTCAACATTTCCATCAGCTATGGACATTAATATTCATTTTCATTCAGCTTCCAGCCCAGAGTGCAAAGTTTCTCTCTCAGTGCTAAATTTTTTAATCGCTGTCAAGCCACTTTGACGGGCAAAGAGCAAAGAAACAAAATAAGTGAAATTTTGATATTATCAAGCTTAAATATAATTAAATTGCATAATTTTAAAATATTTTGACTAATTTCATTTAATTATTGTCTATTGATTAAATTGTAATTATTAATTATTATTGCTATATTAATATTTACCAGAATAAATAATGTAATTTTAGCTATTTTATTGCATTAATAGAGAAACAAAAATTGTGTTAGATTTATTATGTGATTAAATTTGAAAGAAAATGTAGTTTTCTTTGCATAAAATGTTCAAGTTCTTCTAATAAAAAATTTAATCGCTGAGCTTTGCAAAGTTAACTTGCTAGATACTCGTTTGGAACTTCTTTCAAAAAAAAAAAAAAATATTGGGAAATTTTACATTTTATAGCTTTCAACTTTCAACTAATATTCCATTTTTTTTCTTTTTGAACAAGATGTAATTTTGCTGTAGTTTAAATTTTTCGCTCTTTCTTTAATTCGCATCTTGCAAAAACTTCTTACTTTTTTTTTTAACCTCTGAAAATATTTCTGCATGATTTTGGCAGATTGAATGAGGATTATTAGTTTCACCGCAGTAGCAGCTTAACGGAAATTGCCAAATGGCGTCGAGTGATGTGCTCTATAGCGGCAATAATTATGCGAAAAGGCCAAACCGCAGTGCATTAGTCAGTCGGGCGAAATCAGTGCAGCCCCGAATGGACCGGAAACGAGTAGCTGCGGTTTCGAAATCACGTCCGTCCCAAGGAATAAATTTGATGAGAATATAATCGTCAATATTTGTCACGTGGGTTGATTTTACACACAGTTAATTAGCTACTTGGCATTAAATTTGACGAGGCTGCTTTCAATCAATTAAGCGAATGTGTTTATTTATTTGAATTTGGCAAACACGGCGTAAACTAAATATTTAAAATGTGTTTGGAAAGTAATTATTTGATGTTGTAACACAGCTTAAGTTTTATTCATGATCATGGCGATAAAAAAACTTTTTGTCCAAAATTAAAATTCAATAATATTTAATATTTCCTAAGGATCTCAATATGGTAATAAATTTTCATTTTTTTACTTTTCTGGTGAGGTGAAGAGTATTTATAAGATTACTAAATCTTGTATACAAACTAACTGAAAAAATCTAGAAAAAACTATTTAATTCGAAATATTGCTTTTAAATCTAATTTTTTTTTTTAAATTACAAATAACAAAATTTACAGTCATGATTAATATTTCTAGCAAAAAGTCTTTTTAATACATAATGGAAATTCTTGAAGATGCATAAGGAGAACTTTTTTAAAAATTTTATTTTCTTTTTATAATAATATTCTTTTAAAGTTTAAAAATCAAATATTTACCTAAAATTTCAAATCTTAGATATATTTACGTATATTCTATGTTTTCCCACAAATTGTAAATGTAGTTCGGAACATTCCTTAAATGAAGCATTTACCAATGCCAGTTGAGGATGAACCGACTCTAAACTCGTGTCTTTTGTTGCTCGAGTGGGCGAATTGAATGTTTACAAAAGAGGCCGAAAACTGCACACGTACAAGTGTGTTTTTCTAAGCCGCGGCGATTTTCCTCTTTTCAACTGCAGCTCTCGAAATGAGGAGAACTTGTGTTGGCGGATCTGAGGGGTTGGAGAGAAGATCTTGCGCCGGCCAAATATCCTCGGAGAAATGGAAATGCGTGTTATTGCTGCCTGGCAAAACAGCGCCCGCCGAGCGGCAAAAATAATACAAGGTGTTTTTTCAAGCCGCTATCAAATTAGAGGGAGGACGAGCGAGCAGACGGCAGAGACCAACCAAGGAGTTCATAACGGCACTTAATTGAAAGAAAACACGACGGAAATTCAATATTCCGCGCAAAAAAGAAAAGAAGCACCCCGAAGCGTGCTGAATGAAATACTTTTTTCTTCTTTTGCTCTTTTTCGCACTCACCGGTTTTATATACGTATATATTTTTTGGCCGAGACACTTGTAATTAAAAGCGAGAGACGAGAGTGGCTCATTTTAATCAAAATAAATATACACTTTCTTTTGCCTGAAGCAGTTTTTTGTCGGGGGCTGACTTTGTAAGGCGACCCAAGATCAAAGCGACGAGGCAAACGCGGCCAAAAAAGAGTTTTTTGTGACCGGTGCTTTGGCGCAGTTAGCCTTTTAATTACTCGTCCGTCATCAGAGAAGACGCACAAGTTTAATTTGGTGAAAGCAAAAGTTCTCTTGTTTGTTGTGCTGAGAATCCTGGAAAAAGCTCGAATTGAAAATCAAATCGTTGATGAGCCTCTGACGAAGAATCCATCCTTCAAAACAGTCCATAAGAGGAATGGAATTTTGTGGTTTTTTGCAAAAGTATTAAAATTTATTTGTTTAAATTTATCATTTTAAATAATTTCTGTTCAATTAAATTGTTAATAAATATTTATCATTATTGCTACTTATTTTTCACAAAACAAGTCATATTAAAAAAGAAAATTTTAAAGATTAAAATGGGCTTCTTTTCCAATTTAAAATTTTGTATTGACCGAGAAGAATAAATAATAATTCTTAAAAATTGGTAATATAAAAGGCTGTTTGCAGCCTGAAAGGAAGGAATATAGGTTGGTTTTAAGATTTAATAGAAAATAAAAATCAAGTGTGGATTATTTTTACCACCCTAATCGACCAAAAAGTCCACTATTTGCATTAAACAAATAAATATTTTAATTCAATTTAAAATAATTTTTTTTATTCCTATAAAAACTTTTAGGCCAAATTTTCACATTTGCTTGTATACGCCAGATATTTTTTTTATGAGGAGCAAAAGCAAAAAGTGTCGACGTGTCAGTAAATCACCATTTCCTGACCTTTCTGCGCCCCGCAGCCAGGCGAATCTCTCGTTCATTCTAATAATCTCGGCCTCTCGCGGGCGGATTGCATGATCCGAGTCATCATCACTCTTCTTTCGGTCTCAAATTAAATTAAACACACACACTCTCCAACTTCCTGCAGGCAGAGGCCGGGACGGCTCGAAATAATAAATTATTGAGCTCTCGCGTGATTCAGTCGGACCCTCTCGAGTGCTGCGCGGATTTGATATATTAGATTCTTTGTGTGTATTTCCCACTGCTCTTTGCTATTGAATGCAAATTCCGCCGATGCGTGTGTGTACGATCAAATTGAGAAAAATTTCCCTGCCCTCTCTCCGGCGGATAAAATGTAACAGGGTGTGCGGAATTCTGATAAATGGAGTATGAATAGAGGGGCTGCTCTGGGTTTACAAAAAAGGTGCGGAATTTTTTTTCCCCGGAGAGGAAAATAAGACGCTTTTGGGTGGCTTTTCAATGGGTGGTGCCGACCGCCAACTCACCTTAATAGAATTTCGCCATTCTTGCATTCGCCGAAGAAGCTCTCTCGTAAAAAATTCAATTTCTTATTTATTTGCCGGCGTGTCGCTTTTGTGGCTGTAAAATTTTATTTTTCGCTCCGGCACACACGCGCCAAACTCTTCTCTCTCTTCTCGTATGCAAATTTACTACTTTATTATTACATTAGGCATCTTGCATTGCATTTGGCCCGAGGCAGTAAACGGCGAATGGCTCCTACGTGGTGCCATTCGCCCAAATGGATGCGCTACAAACACCATACTCGATTTTCGGAAAAAGCGAATCGATGAGAATCGAAATTCACTTACAGGAAAGAACTTGGACACGTTTGAATGGTTATTGTTTAGACTCAAAACAAACCTAATCTAGTTTTAAACCGAATCGTGAGAAACATATAAAGAATTTTTGCCAAATTCCAAGCTAAAGATAAAATGATTTTTTTCTTCAAAGCAAAATTAAAGTTCCGAAAGATTCAGATTGGTTAAAAACTATTATAATTTTCAAGATTGTCTTCAAAAGACCAAAGTATTTTAATTTTTTTATAACACTAATATTAATTTTCAAAAGCCCAGGCTAACAATTAACCCACCTTTAAATATAAAATTACATGGAATTTGAATGGCACAATAATTTAACCTCTGCCAGATAAGGCTTCTGGATCTGGATCGACCCTACTCATTAATATTTTGACTATAACAACTGAATCCAATTTTTTTCAATCCCTGCAAATATTTGGTTTTGAAAATTATTACAAGTCAACATTGCCAAAAAAATGATAATTAAATTTCTTGACCGTTTTTCTTTTTCTTAAAAAAAAATAATAATAAATAAATAAAAAAATTGGGCTTTTGAATTTGTAAAAAAAAAAAAAAATTAATTTAACTCATTTTAATGGAGACCAGCCGAGACCCACCGAGCACCGAGATCGATGTGGAACATAAGCCCAATGATGATAAATTACAAAATTTCCGAGACGGGTTGAAACCCACTGATACCAATGGTCTCACGTCCGACAAGGGTTGTAGATGTTCTTGAGAGTGAAAAATGTTTAGATTCAATTCAAGAGAAAAAAAAATTAGAGGCATATACTATTCACTGGTTGATAGGAATGTCAAAATGACGTTTATCCCCATCTAGCCAATAAAATGAGGATTATTAACTCCCAAAATTTCACAATTAATTTTACTTAGAAAATGCAATTAATTAATTAATAGTATTGGCAATATGAAAAGAACCATTGCAAATTTGATATGCTGAACAAAAATATATGACATTATTTGAAACTTTTTTCAACAATCCACATTTTATTTATCATCCATTTAATAACTTACACGTTTTCCCTCTAAAATGAAACTGGGTCCAGCCCAAAACAAATTGGCCACCATGTGACAAAATGCAAATTGTTACAACTTCTCGACGTGTTGTGCCGAAGCATTTTTTCATAATCTCCTATCAAACATTTACACAATTTGGTCTACGGGAAGGAAATAATACTGCTCCTCGATCAGTCTTTCTTGTCGATTTTTGGGAGCAAAAAGTCCTTGAACAGAGAGTATCCGATGCCGGCAGTCAAACAAACAACCACTGCACCCTGAGCAGTGACTCGCAGTTGCATCAGGAACACTGAAGTGGACATTTTGCCCCTGTTCTTGTAACTGTAAGCTCCGTACCCGACGGCCGCAAGACAGCCCAAAATTCCTGTTTCAATAGAATTAGTATCAAAATTTAAATCAATTCAATTGAAAGCAAACCTATGGGAAAGAGAGGTGCTTCTTCCATCTTCCTCCTCAGTCTTCCAGATTGGCTCTCCGCACCGGAAAAGGTGGGGTCGAAAACTTCAGATTTCTGTGGATATGAAATAATTAAAAATTGTATTTAAAATTAAATGATTTTTTCAGTACCTTTTCAGACATTTTGATCTTTGATGAACAACTGTACAAGTTAAGGAAATTTTCTTTTAAAATGCAGACTGGAGATGATGATGTAATCCACCCAAGCGTTGAATCAGTCCATCGATCTAATCGGAAATTCAAAACTTGGTCAGGAAACTGTAAAGAAATTTAAATCACGTATTAAATTTTTGCAATAATAACTTAAAGTGAGTTAAGTAATTAGGGAGGAATAAAAAATGACAAAGGGTGGCGTACGTGCAACCTTGCTCTAGAGGTCAACATCATTAACGTGTTGCACATCTGACCATTTAAGGTCTAAAATTGGACCAGTGGAGTAAGTAAATTAATTTACCGATGGCAGAATATTTCAGGCGAATTATATCTCAAAGATCCCACATGGAATTATATTAGACGGTGGTTTGAACTCTTGTCAAAACGTGCGGCTTGAAAATTTTAGTGTGCACAGCTGATTTGATCGAATGGTGGAAAATCGTATGGGTAGTGACACCTGACGGGATTCAATGGAAACTTATCTCTTAGTGGTGTAGCGCGCGAAAACGATAATAAGTACGCAAACGCGTTTATAACATAGGTTGAGTGCAACAAATTTAATACAAAATTGAGAACTTTTGAAATAAGGTAATTTAAAAGTACATACTTTGGCGCAAAATAAACCTTTTGATTTTTGCGACCAAAGACTAGGATTTTTCTGGATTTTTCTTTACAAGAGTTTTGGGAAAAGGTTTTGTATAATTTACTATGATTTGCACACGCTTTGCATGCATTTTAATTGTATATATAAATATAATAAACAAAAATAATATTGAATAAAATTACAAAAAAAAATACGGCATTAACACAAAATATATGAATATGTATAATTTTCTCACTGAAACATTATTATATTTTTTAAATAATTAATATTGAGTCTTTAATTAATCTAAATCTTTTTATATGTCATCGTTGAACTTCTTATGAGTAAAAAACAAAATTAATAATAATAATAAATATCTTGTTTATTTATTTATACAAAAATGTTTATTAATCAAAATTATAACGCAATAAGCGCTGTTTCTAGGGATACCCCAACCATAGATAATTACACACGAATGTCTACCTACGCATCATATACATATATCATCAAAGCTGTACAAGCCTGCTTGTCATTTGTTGAGATTTTTAATATTAAATTAACTGCCCTGGAACGAGTAAAATAAATTTATAAAATAATTTTTTAAAACACAGCAATTATTATTATCAAACTTTCTGCAATACATTGAAAAAAGGTTTACATTAGTGAAAAAATTGCAAAGGTAAAAAAGGAAATATAAAAAGTGCGCTATAATTGATTCAATGTGGGATTTCCAGTGCTGATGTTCGGTGGAAATTTCATTGGAACTTCACATCCCGCCAGTCCAGCTCTACGGGCTCTAAAAACTCAGCACAATAATCATGTTCTTCACAAACATTTCTATTGCAAATGCTATTTTTTTAGTTTTATTATACGTAAGTTTAAATAAATTATCAACACATTTAAATTCTAAAACTTGAAATTTTAAAGCAATGTTTTTCTTCTGATTCGGCAAATGGTTCAAAGCAATACAAAGTATCACGGATATCACAACTACACCGTAAATAATTGAAATTTTATAATTTATTCATATCATAATTAAAAAAAAATCTTTCATGCAGGAGCTCAAACTGCATTGGCTTATAACAGAAGACATAATGTAATAAAGTGCTGCGGTGCGGAAAGGTGCTCAGATTTGATACGAAAAACAAGTAACAAATCAGTGACTGCTTCAATTTCAAATATAAAAGTGAGCAGGGAGATAAGTTGTGGAAAAAGTTTTACATTTTTTGTTCAATTTTTATAGAAAATAATAACCAGTTCTTCCATGAACCGCCAATCTGAGACAATTTCTGGGCAAGTAGAAGTAGAAATCACTTCAACAAATCAGTCCCCAGAGGGAATTATTGTGGAAGAAACGACCATCGGCGAAATTGTAACAGAAATAATGACGGATGGGACTTCCCAGAGTATACTGTAATAAGAGAAAATTTATTTTTTAATATTTCTCTTGAAAGATTAATTATTGCAGAATAAGTGCTTCTGATCCTCAAACCACGCCACAATTAACTACCACGTTATCAACTAATACACAATTGCCTAGCAGTTCTATTAGCGGATTAACTTCCGAAAAGTTAATCAATACACAATCAACTACCACACAATTTATAACTACTACGCAATTGCCTACCACAAACTTTTCTACAACACAATTAAATATTGCAAACGTAGCTAGCACACAATTATCTTCTACACAAACAACTAGTACAACACAAACAACTAGTGCACAATTAACTGCTGCACAATCAATTAGTACACAATTAGCTACCAGTTCTACCACAAATTCTCCAAGCACACAAACAACTTCTTCACAATTAACTAGCACACAATTACAATTAACCACAACACAATTAATAACTGCAACACAATCAACTACCAAACTACCAACCACTACCACCACGGTGTTACCACAAACTACTTCAACGACGACGCCACCAACTGTATTTCATAAATTATTACCAACAAATTTATTAACAATAATTTTGAATTTTAATTTAAGGCATTCAATCCAATCTGCAATTCATCCATCAGTTTCAAACAAGATGTAATTATTTTATTTTAATTTTGTGAGCATGTTACACAATATTTTTTTTAAAGCCGAATGTTTTCAACACCGATGGCCATTTGAAAGGTATTATTGTAATTGGATTCAATTAAAAATTATTTTAAATATGCAATATTTTTCCCACTAGATCCAGATAATTACGGTTTCTGGGTGCAAACTTGCGACCGGTTGTATTTGTTCGGGAAATCTCTGGTTATAAAAAAGCAAAAATTTAATTTCAAAGCAATTAAAAGTAATATAAATTTGCAAACGCAGGCTACCTGGCAAGAGAACTTTGAAAATTGCAACAAAATCGGAATGGACCCTGTCAGTTTTGTAAACGTTGCTGAGCAGCAGTGTTTCAAGTTGTTACTCCCCAACTGGAAATACAGCGCCAATTACTGGACCGCTGGTTTCAAGGTGGACAACGTGAGCGACAAGTTTTCGTGGTGCTCCAAAAACGGCTCAACCACTGTGAGCAACACGGAAATTTTGTGGGACAAATCCGGAAACGACTCGCAGTACTGCTTGCACCTGAATGTGGACAAAGAAAACTCCACATTCTCTTTAGTGCAAGAGTCTTGCAACAATTCACAAATGTTAGCGTGCCAGGTATAAAACAGAGTATAATTTTTCAATTAAAAAACTTTAAACAGACAAAAGAACTAATTTTATGATGTGATTTTAAAAGAAAATATTTTAACTATTAATTTAAAGGGTGATTTTTTAAATTAAAGGGGAAACCGACACCTGCTCCACCTTGCTCGGCTCCATCCTGCCCAAATATGACATGTGAAAAGGATGTGAATTTCTCAAAAAATTGTACTCTACATCAAAATATTCAAAATACTAAATTTTTAGAATGCATTCTTCACTGGTGACGGGAATCAACAATATTTGACTGGTGATTAGAATAATAAAAAAATTTAAAAATAATAATAATAAAAAAATCAGAGCCCCGATTACATGGCAACTGGTTTACATATCAAGGGCGGAGTTACATGTTTAGTTATGAAAATGACACAAAAACGGTGAATTTTACTTGATCAACTGAATAATAAGATTAAGCTCCTGATTTTATTTACAAGTTTATCGAAGCAATGACCACGTGCTGCGCAATAGGAATGAAATTGCTCAGTCTTGAGTACGACTACAAATATAAATCAGTCAGTGCTGCCATCAGAGGTATAACAAAATTATTAAAAAATTCGCATTTTTTTTTTAAATTAAAAAACAAATTAGATAAATTTGCAACTGAGGGTGTTTACTGGACGTCAGGAAGTAACCGCGGTTGCAAATCTTCGTACGGTTATTGCTCGGTGAACAGGCTTTTGAGGGACGAGGCGATTTGGGCGCCGGGACAGCCGGACGACGCAGGAGGGAATGAAAGCGCCCTTGCCGTTAATTTAAATGCCACCCACGCACTGCTCTCTGATTTTAATGAAGAGTCGGAATTCAGATACGTTTGCGAAGTAAAAACTTGATTAAATTAATTAATTTAAATTACATCAAACTTAATGCAGGCGAGACCTGTTTCCAAAGATAAAACAGGAAGCACGGCATTGAGAGATGAGTGCGCTATGATATACAACATTACTCAAAGTAATTCTTGAGATAAATTTGATTTTTGTATTAAATTAATAACGTAGCTGAAATCGATAATATCATGAATTTAACAACATACGACTTGCGGTTGAAGGTTGATTTTTTAAATTAATAAGTAAATATTTTATTTTAAAAGTATAACATTATTAGTGCTTCATCAAATGCATGGGTGACAGTTCAGGCTTGGTAAGGATATTAAAATGAAAATAAAACCAAATAATTCAATGTATCAAGATGGTCAACGGCAAATTTGTGTCAAATGAAGTGTTGGCGATTTTGGAAAAAATGGCTGGTGGAAATTCAGACGAGTTGAAGAAGAACATGGGCGTTATGGGCGAGTGTGAAAGCTCGTCATCAGGTTAAAATACTAATAAAAAAAAATGTAATAATGAAAAAAAAAATATCACAGCCGGCATGGATGACTGTGACAAAGCGTCCCAAATGATTCAATGCACCAAAGAAAAAGCCCCTGATGTTGTGAACGGTGTGATCACGGCCATGGATCAGTCAATATCAGCGGCGGTAATTTATTAAATTAAAATGATGTTGGTTTTCATTTATCATTAATACCTTTACAAATAGAGTAGCAGTAATGTAGTTGCTATGAGGGAGGCTTTTTGCTACGATCCATCTGCATGCTCACAAGTTAATGTAAATGCCACATTTAATAATTTATCAGTTTTTCACATTGGCAAATTTTTATTTTCATTTTGAATTTTTATGAGCCAAAAAAACATTCGTTAACGTGGAAACTGTAGTTTAAAAATTCACACCCTGAAATTTTTAACTGCGTGAATTCAAACAAAAAGCCAGAAATATTCCAGAAATTTATCAATTCGGAGCAAATCGGATTCAAATTTTTTTTCAAGAAACAATGAATCAACCGATTTCAGTGTGAATTTTCCGCTCATGATTTCTTCATAAAAATTTTTCATTTCATTATTCAGGAACAAAACACTGTGGGTTTGAAAATTATAATTATAAAATTTATTCATAATTCAGACCACCTTGAGACAAGAGTATGATGGAAGTGGAGGTGGTAAGAAAAAATCAATTATATTCATACAATATGCCTCACTTTAAAAAGAGCAAAAGAATTGTAATGCATAATATTATTAAACATCGAGGAAAATTAATTTTTTGTTTGTATTACTACAATGTTGGAAAAATTAAAAAAATACTAATTATTTGAACAATGTTTTTTAATGCATCTGAATGGAGAATAAATAAATTTCAAATATATGTATCATTTTTACATAGGTGGCGTCAACATCACGCACGGATATGTTGTCACTCCCTGTAATTACTATAAATATCTCATAACGTTAGGAACCGTAAGACAATAAAATAGATGACAATTTTTTTAAATTTTATAACATCTTTTAATTCAATTGAAACAGATGAATTATTCTCAAGCTTATGAGGCCTGTTGCACTTACGGAATGACATTGGTATCTGTCAGAAACGTCACAGACGTAAATTGTCTCGCGAGAATGAGTTAAAAGATGAAGGCTTAAGCAGAATTTTTTTAATAATTTTGTTTTCAAAGATACTATGGTTGGATCACGTTGGATGTGGGTGGCCGGAAGCAGAATAAACAGTCCGGACAATCCTCGGTGGTGCTCATCGAACGCCTCATTTGATCTGAGCGGCTTCGCGACCGTCCACGGTGACCCTGACCCTTCCTTGGGCTGTTATGCTATTTATCCAACAACCAAAGAAATAAAAATTGCGGCTTGTGATTCCCAGCAGTATGCTATTTGTACGTGAAAAAATTGGCTCCAATACAATCAGTTTTATTTGCAACTAAAAAAGATAACCTTTAAATTTTTAACATAATTGTATATTACGTGAAATAAAACCAAGAAATGGTGATCATTAGTGAACAGTAAATTGATTAATCGAATTTTTATTGCCTTGAGAAATGACTCATTCCAGCAAATCCCCTGCATATATGTTAGAGAGGGAAACCCATGTCAATTCAATAGATTTGATGTTAATGGGACTTCCCTAACACTAATATGGGTGGAAAGTATTGAATAGCAAATTCAGTTGTTACGTGCAGATCAACTAGTTTTGTCAGATATGGGGAAGCGCTTCTCCAGCATATTTCTTCTCATGGTGGTATTTAAAATGAGCTTAATTAGTATCTTATAGTTTCTTCAACTAATTTTGATGCAGATTTTGGTGACATGTGAAACGCTAGCAGCAAAAACAGGAGGAAAAAAGTCATCCGGTTTTTAAATTACAATTTTAAACTGAAAAATATTATTAACGAGATAAAATAATAAACACACAGGTTTGAAAAATCATAGCTCAAAGAGTGCTAAAAGACAAACCATCATCTCATGCTGTGGAGCAACTCCCTGTTCTGAAACTCATGTCACAAGAATGTTGACTAGTTCAAGCTCACTGAAGAAAGATAATTCCACTTTGTCTACTACAACATCGGTACAATTATTTGATTAAGTTCCCTGTCTGGCATAAAATGTCTTTAACTTAAAAAATGCATATAATGATTTGAATTTTGAAATATTGTATTATTCAAATTCTACGTTCTTTTTTTTTGTAGCCACTGCCTACTGAAACGATTACTGAAAAAGATACTGGGGTAGCTGAAACGACAAGCGAAGAGTTAAAGCTTAATTCATAATCTGTGTGATTTAAACTAATTTGTGTATTAAGGCCAGCGTCGGAAACAAGTTTAGAATCCACGTCGACCACCAGTACAACAACATCTACGTCAACAGCCACAACTACTACAACTCCAACGTCCACAACCACCACTACAACTCCAACGTCTACAACAACAACAACTAGGCCGCCAACAAAGGAGGTTCTTTATTAGAAAATCAAATTATATCTTAAATGTCACTTATTCATAGGAGCTGTTGCTTGGAACGTGCGAAACCACATTTGAAAAAAACGTGAGATTAAAATAATTGCCTTAAGAGAAAAGTTTAATATTTAAATATATATATATTTTTTTTATTCAACAAAAGCAAACTCTATTCACTAAAGATGGAATTCTAAAAGGTACTAAACTTTTATTTGAAATGTTAACAATAATTAATTCGATTATTTAAGACCCTGAATCACAAGGATTTTGGGTGCAATCGTGCGGCCAACAGTTTCTCTTTGGAAAATCTTTAGTATGTTCTAAATTTGATAATTATACTATAAAAAATTCACCTTATATAACTTAATAAGGCTACTTGGCGGGAAAATTTTATAAAATGCTATAAAATCGGTATGGAACCCATAACTTTCGAAAATGCGACAAAATTAGAATGCTTCTCTAAACTTGGTAATATTTTATCTCTAAAAAATGTTTTTCTAAGTTGAAATAATTTAGTTTCCAAGTGGAAGTACAGTTCAAACTACTGGACTTCCAGTTTGAGGGTGAACGAAAGTGACTTTTCGTGGTGCACCAAGGACGGGTCGTTCGCCGTGGACAAAGCGAAATTGCCCTGGGCGGCAGGTCAGCCCCAAAATGTCAACAATTCTGAAAACTGCGTGCACCTCAACATTGAAAAATCAAACGCTACTTTCTCATTCACGGATAGAATGTGCACCGACCAGCTAATATTTGGTTGCCAAGTGAATTTTTTTAATAATCTATGCTCAAGTTTTTACTCATATTTGAAAATTTTTACCCGCAGGGGCCTCCAACTCCAGCACCACCATGCTCAATGCCCACATGTCCAAATATAACTTGCACTAAAAACGTTTGTTGCTCATTATTTTGAAGAATAAAATTGTAATTATTGCTTCATTATTTACAGACTGCGTTCTATACAACATCTGGAAGTTCTCAATACTTGACTCGTAAGGCAATAAAAAAACTATCGAAAAATTTTTAAAAATAATTACAGTTCCAAGTTCGCACGGAAGTTGGTTTACCTATAACGGCAGATCATTTCTCTTCAGCACCATAAATAAGACTGAAACTGTATGAATCATGATACCACTTCTATAAAAATAAAAACTTTAATTTTAAATTTTAAAGTATACTGGTGCGATGCAGGCGTGTTGTGGAATTGGAATGACTTTACTGAGTTTAGAGTACGACTATAAATACAAATCGTTAATCGCAGCAATTAAAGGTATACAATATACATTCAATTTCAAACGTTATTGAAAATTTACTTGATTGCAGACAATTCAAATTTGAGTGATTATTACTGGACGTCCGGCAGTGACCGCGACTGCGAGTCGAATTTTGGTTATTGCACGGCAAAGAGAAGTTTGCGCCAAGAAGCGGTCTGGGCTTCTGGTCAACCAGATAATGCTGACGGAAACGAGAGCGCCGTTGTGGTTTTTGTCAATCAGAACAACGCTCAGTTATACGACTTCAACGAGGAGTCCAAATTCAGATACATTTGCGAGGTTTTGAAATTTCTTAGCTCTTATATATTAATCAAAAATACATGTGAATAGGCAAGAGATACGTCGAAATCAAAGTCTGGTGGAACTGCTGTGAGAGATGAGTGCGCTGCAATTTACAACGTCAGCCAGGGTAAAATTTTTTAGAAAATATAAAATTTGGTGTCAATTCTTGAAAAAAAATTTAATAGCTGAAATTGACACTTTATTGAATCCCTCCGTTCCAAAGGATTTAAGAATGAAGGTTTCATTTAATTTTCCTTGATAGTTTACATCTTTCATTTGCTGCTGATTATTTCAGTGCTTCATTAAATGCCTTGGAGAGAATTCAAACCTTGTAATATTGAAATTATATTTTTGATCAATATTTTTCCCGGCTTCCTTGCAGATGGTCAATGGAAAGTTTTTGGAGAACGAGGTTTTCGCTATTTTAGAGAAGCTGGCAGCCGGAAATGTGACTGAGTTGCAAAATAACATGGGAATTATGAACGACTGCGGAACCTCGAGTTTGTTAATCGAAAATTTGAATAAATTTGCATGATAAGGAAAATTATAAAAGGTGCTGGCATGGACGAGTGCGACAAAGCATCTCAAATGATGAAGTGCAGCAGCGAGAAAGCGCCCGAGGTTGTGAACGGCATCGTTTCTGCCATGGATCAGGCGATGCCAATTGTTGATGTTTAGAGTAAAATAATTACAAAATTAATAAAAAAAAATAATAATAGGCGCCAGCTCCTTTGCCACCTGCAGCGGTTTGTAGTTACGGCCCTTTTCCATGCAATGTTTCTGTAAGTCAATGTAATACAAAATTAAAATTCTACAACAAAATATTTTTACTGTTCAATTTCTATTTATGCTTTTTAAACTTTTCAGTCGAATCTTGCTCAGGAAGTGATGAATTGTACTGGAAATTGCACAACAACTAACGGATATGTGCGTGATTTGTGTGGCAAGAAATACTTCTTCATAAACGCCCAGGTTTGAGTAAAAAAGTAATTTTCTTTAAGAATTAAAAGTTATGAATTGATTTTTTTTTTTAGGTGACATTAGACCAGGCATATATCATGTGCTGTCAGTTTGGAATGAAACTAGCCTCCATTGAATCTGTTGACGAAATCACCTGCCTTACAAGTGCAAGTAGGGATTTCAAAATAATTTTAAATCATAAAAAATAATCGGAAAAGAAGTAGTTCCGAAATAGATTGAATATAAATAACAAAACTTTAATTAAAATTAGGTTATCCAAAATAAAAATCATCTAACCTGGGAAAAACTTGATTAAATATTTTAAAATAAAAAAATAATTTAATACAATTTTCAATTCATAAGTTGGATTTTTCGCAGATACCCCTACAACAGGTATTTGGAATTGGATTGCGGCGAGCAAGGTCAACGGCACCATCCCTTGCTGGTGCACTTCGAACGTCCCTTTTTCTTACGATGGATACGCTTCTGTTGGAGAAAACACTAGTAATCCTCCTTATGACTCGTATGTCATAATCCCAAATACCAAGGCTTTTAGCGTTACCAATTACAATAGCGTACGCTATCCAATGTGCAAATCGCTTTAATAAAGAAATCTTAAAAGATTGTTACTCAATATCACGCATTTTTATCGATGTTAGTCAACACTTCAGTACAAAATAAAAATCATTCATCACATATGATCCAAAATGCAAATTGAAGAACCTTTTAAAATGTGTAATTAGGGTAAAATTAAGAAGTGATGAAAAATCTCTAAACGTTCGTGGCTGGAATTTAAAATTAATTTAAGAGGTCGTTTTAAATAAATCGTTGAAAAATATTAATTTATTAAATGAATTTAAACTTACCTTCTTAACAAAGGCCACGCATCAGCTCTATTATGTTGGCCAAAAAAAAGATGTCTTCCGCCCGACCCATAAGGCCCCATGGCTCTGACGGCAGCCGTGTACCAACATAATTTTGGGATGCGCAGCCTTTGCTTCTTAAAAAAAGTTTAAATTAAATTAACTTCAATCGCAATTTCATTAGTTCCATTTGGACAAAATAGAAAGGGCCCAGTTGCATCGATATATGTTAAACAAAGAAAGTTGTTGGCAAAAGGCTCCGGAAATTACCGTTGTGCCACTATCCAAGCACGTGCACCAATTTAAGGAAAACCCGTTGATATTTAGTGGATTGGACGTGATGGGATTTTCCATTAAATCAGTGTATAAAAATGGGAAGTTTATTACATCCCGTCGCTTCTCAAAAGCCACATCTGAATGTTGCCAGAAATGGGGAAGCGCGTGCATCTCTTGGTTCTTATTGCCGTGGTAAATGTGCTTAAATTAATTTTTATGTTTGAAATTCATCGTAAAAATATATATTCTTACTCCGATGCTAAACGCAGGCTTTGATAACATACGAAACGCTGGCAGTGAAAACAAGAGGAAATACACGTATTATTTTTAATTCCTAATTCAGTTTCAATTTTCTTTCATTAAAGCGATTAAAAACTCTAAGGCTTGAAAAATCATAACTCCAGGAGTGCAAAAAGACAAACTATCATCACATGCTGCGGAGCTACACCCTGCTCGGAAACGGCTTCAAAAAGATTAACCAGTTCCAGCACACAGAATAAATCAAATTCAACATTTTCAACAACAACATCCGTAAAATCATTAAATTTTTTCTTGCTTCTTGAAATAAAAATATTCGTATTTTATAAAGCTACAAAAATTTTGGTGAAAAACATTAAATCATAATAATTAATAAATTACGTAGCCTATACCTACTTCGGAGGAAACCGAGATGTCTGGAACTGAAACAATCACTGAAAAAGTAACTTTGGAAGCTGAAACAACAAGCGAAGAGTTAAAAGTTTCTTTCACTTGTATGAATTAAGCTAATTTTTTTATTAAGGCCTGCATCGGAAACAAGTCTAGAATCCACATCGACCACCAGTACAACATCTACGTCAACAACCACAACTTCAACTACTACCACAACTCCAACTTCCACATCAACAACAACTAGGCCTCCAACAAAGGAGGTTTTACATAAAATAAAATAAATGTATCTGAAATTTTTGCAAAAAATGATAACATTGATAGGAATTACTGCTTGGAACGTGCGAAACGACATTTGAAAAAGACGTAAGAATGAACCAAAGAGAAAATTAATTTAAATTATTCATAACTTCCCTCCAAAGCCAATCTTATTTACCAAAGATGGGATTATAAAAGGTAAAAAGCTTTAAAATAACTAGGCCGTAGGCACAATAGCAATTTTCTAATTTTTTTAAAGACCCGGAATCACAAGGCTTTTGGGTGCAGTCATGCGGCCAGCAGTTTCTTTTTGGAAAATCTTTGGTTACTTTTATAGAGAAAAAAAACACCTAAATTTTATTTTTTCATTAGGCTACTTGGCGAGAAAATTTCATAAAATGCTACAAGATCGGAATGGAGCCCCTAACTTTTGAAAGCGCAGCAAAGTTAGAATGTTTTTCCAAACTAGGTAAAAACTTAATTTGCTCAATTTAATTTAGCACAAGATTGAAAATTGAATTGTGATCTTAAACTTGTATTTTCCTCAATGGTTTTTTATACAATATTTTTTTTACCGATCTACGAGCTGTGGATTTCTGTGAAAAAATTTAGCACACAAATTAAATTCAAAATTTATCTGTCAAGTTGCTCAATTTCTAAAAAGGCTCCTTTGTTTGAAAGAAAAATAATAAATAATATTTACGGTAAGTATCATGTGTTTGAAACATTTTTGTCTACTTTCATCACGGTCGTATAATTCTTTAAATTTTTTTATATTAAATATGCCCAAGAAAAAAGAGGGCAATTGATTTTTTTTCTCTTCTATGAAACAATATAAACAACTCAATTAAGGGAATAGTAGGATTTAAATTAAATTATTTTAATTTTCTAAACCTTTAGTTTCCACGTGGAAGTACAGTTCGAATTACTGGACTTCAAGTTTAAGGGTGAACGAAAGTGAATTTTCGTGGTGCACCAAGAACGGATCGTTCGCAGTGGACAGAGCGAAACTGCCCTGGGCGGCAGGTCAGCCCCAAAATGTCAACAACTCTGAAAACTGCGTGCACCTCAACATTGAAAAATCAAACGCTACTTTCTCATTCACGGACAGAATGTGCACCGACCAACTAATATTCGGCTGCCAAGTGATTTTTTTATTTTTATTTATTCCTCAAATTCAATTCTCTTAAATTTTTCCTAGGGGCCACCAACACCAGCACCCCCATGCTCAATGCCCACATGTCCAAATATAACTTGTACTAAAAACGTTTGTTGCTAATTGTTTTGAAGAATAAAATTATAATCATTGCTTCATTATTTACAGACTGCGTTGTATACAACATCGGGAAGTTCTCAATACTTGACTCGTAAGGCAATAAAAAAACTAGAAAAATATTTGGGTTTTAAAATAATTACAGTTCCAAGTTCGCACGGAAGTTGGTTTACCTATAACGGCAGATCATTTCTCTTCAGCACCATAAATAAGACTGAAACTGTATGGATCTTCATCTTTATACCACTTTTATAAAATTAAAACTTTAATTTCAAAGTATACTGGTGCGATGCAGGCGTGTTGTGGAATTGGAATGACTTTAATAAGTTTAGAGTACGACTATAAATACAAATCGTTAATCGCGGCAATTAAAGGTATACATACATTCAATTTCAAACATTATTTAAAATTTGCTTGATTGCAGACAATTCCAATTTAAGTGATTATTACTGGACGTCCGGAAGCGACCAAGGTTGCGAGTCGAATTTCGGTTATTGCACGGCAAAGAGAAGTTTGCGCCAAGAAGCCATTTGGGCTTCTGGTCAACCAGACAATGCTGATGGAAACGAGAGCGCCGTTGTGGTTTTTGTCAATCAGAACAACGCTCAGTTATACGACTTCAACGAGGAGTCCAAATTCAGATACATTTGCGAGGTTTTGAAATTTCTAGATCTTATATATTAATAAAAAATACATGTGAATAGGCAAGAGATACGTCGAAATCAAAGTCTGGTGGAACTGCTGTGAGAGATGAGTGCGCTGCAATTTACAACGTCAGCCAGGGTAAAATTTTTTAGAAAATATAAAATTTGGTGTCAATTCTTGAAAAAAATTTTAATAGCTGAAATTGACACTTTATTGAATCCATCCGTTCCAAAGGATTTAAGGATGAAGGTTTCATTTCATTTTCCATCTTCCATAATAGTTTAATTCCATTCAATTGTTGCTGATTTCAGTGCTTCATTAAATGCCTTGGAGAGAATTCAAACCTTGTAATATTGAATTAAATTTTTTTTCATTAATCTTTTTCATATTTTTTGTGACTAACTAAATTTGCAGATGGTCAATGGAAAATTTTTGGAGAACGAAGTCTTTGCGATTTTGGAGAAAATGGCTGCAGGCAATGTGTCGGAGTTGCAAAATAACATGGGAGTTATGAATGACTGCGGGACCTCGAGTTTGTTTATAGAAAATTTGAAATATATTGCACGAAATTTAATATTATTAAAAGGTGCTGGAATGGACGAGTGCGACAAAGCGTCACAAATGATTAAGTGCAGCAGCGAGAAAGCCCCTGAGGTTCTGAACGGCATCGTTTCAGCAATGGACCAATCCATGCCAATTGTTAGTGGCTAGAAAAAATATTAAATATAAATTACTTCACAAAAATATTATAAAAGGCACCTGCTCCATTGCCTCCTCAAGCGGTTTGCAGTTACGGCCCTTTCCCATGCACCGTTGCTGTGCGTGAACTTAATTTAAATATATTAAAATGTTGTATTATTAATTTTATTCCTCAATTTAAATTTTCATTTTTTCAGCCAAGTCTTGCTCAGGAAGTGGCAAATTGCACCGGGAATTGCTCAATATCTGACGGATATGTACAAAATTTGTGTGGCACAAAATATTTATTTGTGGCGGCCGTGGTGGGGAAAATTTTATTTGATCTTTATAGATTATTTAGTAAAAATTTTTAGATGTACAATTCTCAAGCATATGATAATTGTTGTCGACACGGAATGAAACTGGCCTCAATTGAATCTGTCAATGAAATCAACTGCATTGCAGGTGCAAGTAAGTGGAAATAATTGCTAATGATAAAATAATGCTATACAAATAAAATTTATATTTTATAATGCTGATAATTAAGATAATTCCAGTATTTGCAATCAATACAAAAAATTAATTATTTTCACTGAAGAAATAAATAATGTTCTCGCAAAAAATTAAATATTGACAAGTTGCAAATTTTTCAATTTTTCAGACACGCCTACGATAGGTTCTTGGCATTGGGTCGCTGCTAGCAAAGTCAACGGTACCACTCCACGCTGGTGCACCTCTAATGTCCCATATTCGACAGAGGGATTTTCTGGTGCTTATGACACCCAAAATATTCCTTCCGACAATGCATATGTCCTAACACCAAATTCCAAGGCATTTAGCGTTACATCTGATACCCAACGCTATGTGCTATGCAAAGCGCTTTAATAATTTTTGCTTCAAATTTAAATGCCTTAAACTCTTATTCACTGCAAATTCGGAAACAAAAATTCTAAAAATCGCACTTAATCCCTCTTTATCCTTGAAGGCTGTAGACAAATATTGGCAGTTTTAAATGGCAAATAAGAAAATCAATTTTTGTGAAACTTGATTTGAAACTTGACTGATTCAGAAACAAGTAAAGTCTAAATATCGCCTTTAAAAATAAAATTTATTTTGGATTTTGACTGCTTAAACTTTCAAATATAAAATTCAAGAATCAATTTGAGGGAAAAAATTCTCAAAAATTTTTTCAGCAAGTTACAAATATCCCCATAATAAAAATACAACAAAAATTATATAAATGTTAGAAAAAAATATTGGTGGATATGCATGGAAATAAATTTTTGTTAAGGTGGTGTAGGTGTAGAGTTTTCAAAAATTATATTTCATACATATATCACCTTGACATTAACACAAACTGGCAAATTTGGTTTTGATAATTTCTTTTAATAAAAAAAGTAAGCAAATTAATAAATTTAATCTTTCTGCAAGGGATTACGACATCTTATTATTTTATTAACATCTATTGAAAGATATTTTATTTGTTAAAAAAAAAGGATCTAGTCATTTGATTTGGAACATTTGATTCAAAATTTGAGATATTGAAATAAGAGTATTTATAATTATTTGCAATGAATTTTACAATAGAGGGAGAAGACGTTTTCAATTAAATTTAGCTGATGGTCTCAGGCTGTCACTATTACACATTAATTTTAAGATAAAACACACGACGACAACGAGGCTTTACAAGTTGAATAAATATTAATGCATTAAAACCAATTTTTTATCTTTATTTAGTAATAAATTCAAAACAAATTTTTTTTCAATTGGAACCCAAATGTGAAAAAATCAAAAGACTGCAGGTCAATGATCATCCTGCTGTGAATGCAGGAATCGCCAGAGGTGCCAGCATTTTCTCAAAGAACGAATTTGCACGACAGCTTTGGAACGAAGCAAAGGTAGGATCGCAAGTTGTAGCTAACAAAATTACAAATTGAATAAGAAGCTGCACTTGTTAAAAATGAAATAATTTTTACCGAAGCTGGTAAAGATGCTGGTGTAAGGTACATTTTTCTCGAAATGAGCAATTGCAATCGACTAATTCAATAATGTTGTAAAATATTTTATAGCATAATATACGAGTAATATTTTTACCCTCCAAGATGCGTATAAAGTGCATTGCATCAAGAGGAACCAATCAATGCTAACATAGGACGTTGTTCCAGGAACGAGAAGTTTTGCAAAATTCTTTGCTATAGTTCAAAATAATTTTCAGATTAAAAGATCAACCGCTTTGCACGATTTTTTAGTTTAAGATCCATGTCAGCGTTTTTTTAATGTTAATTATAATTTTGTATGTGATACTAACCCTTGATGGCCGTCAAGCAGTAACTATGCAAGTTGCCAAACATGTTGCCCCAAAGGGGAGCTTGATTAGGAGCGTTGATCATCAAAGTTTTCAGGGCGGTACTGTTGTATGAGCCATTGGCTTGGAGCTAATTTTTCCCCAAATATTATTCAGACCTATGATTTTAATTATGGGGAAAATTAACTTACAATTCCGGTTCTGACAAAGTAGCATTCATAAAAGCGCTATCGCAATACAAGGTTTTTAAAAGGTAAATAATGAAAGATTAATTTGATTCTTACAGCCAACGGTACTATCATTTTCACTGTTTGGATTTTTGTTCATTATTATTTGGACTTTTGGATAACATTGGTCTGCGTATTTACCAGTGTTGGCATCTTGCAGATTAAGATCATTGGACGCGTTGTACCAAGAGTTGAGCAGGTAATAGGTCATCCAATTTCCAGAAGCGAGATTGCCCCCGCACGTTTTGATGGCTGCAGTGAACGAGGTTTGACCCTCCACAATTCCCTTTTGCACGGGAACGGGACATTTCGGCAGAACCTGTTTCAAGTATCAAATAAAATCTTTGTTTAATCCATAAAACACAACAATGGCAATGGACTGAGCTAGACTCGCGAACATATGATTTCACCGATTTTCCCATTGTTGTCATTTTTCTGGGTAAACTTTAGTTTTGTTCTATTATTTTGAAATCCAACACCATACATATGTCAATAAACATACGTTGGAACTAAAAAGCTTTTTTTTTAAATAAAAGTATTCCTACCGAATAATCTGGGCCGGTGAGGCCGGTGCAATTCAGCTGCACAATGGCTGAAAAGGCCATAGGAAAACCTATTGCCAAAATCAACGTGACTGAGGAAATCATACTGACACGCTCTAGGATGAAACTGTATGTATAATTTGACCAAGTCAGCTGCCGGCTTTTATACCCTCCTTCAGGAAATGCGTACGTGACCAAATAAAATTTATAGTGTTTAGCACTTTAAGGACTTCTGTTTTGAAAGTCAAAAGTGTCAAAACACAATAATTTACGTGCCTCTATTCAGAGTTTTGAACGAACGCTTTTGCAATCTGAATAGATTGAAAGTTTGTTTCCTGTGTGTCATGAGCGCGGTCGCAATCATATGAAACGTAGCCTTTTCCTGTCTGACGTGGGAAAGCGAGGCTCATTTATTATTTAAATTTTTGATAAAGTCTGGATTTTAATACTTGTGAGAAGATGCATAAACTCAATTTTTTTTTTAAATATCATTTTTCTAAGCTTTGAAAAATTTCGACACCACGATACTATGCAACCGTCTTGTCATACAGATGGAGCGGGTTGCCTCATGGCATTAGGATCAGGCGCTGTGATTTTTGATAATAAATTCTTTTTTTTAGGGTCAGGCCAAGACAAAGTCTTGTTGGCCTGTGCCCTTTAGTGGTGCAGAAGGCACCACCCAATTTATAATTATTATTATTATTATTTTTTTTTTTGGTTCAACTTTATTTAAAAAAATCATCATTTTTTGCTGGTATGGGAAATCATGAGAAAAAATACTTTCAGCTCATTAAAGTAAATCTTGACAAGAACTAATTCCAAGTAAAAATGATTTACAGAAAAATGAAAGGCATAAAATTTTCAGGAATGTAAAAATTTACAATTTCTAAAACGCTTATATGATGACTACGTTGTTGGTATTAAAGGACCACACATAACCATGAACTCAACTTAATTTCAACGGTGTCCTGCATTCTGAACTCTGAAAAATTGGCAATTTTCTGTTTTTAAATAAATTCGGTTTTCCAAATTTACATGGGTAGTTGCCGTAAATATTATTATGCTAAAATAAAAATCCAGGTTTATTATTATGTATTATTTTTTTTTAATCTGATAGATATTATTTATTTATAAATTTAATAATATTGCATCATGCGAGAATTAAATTGAAATTCTGGACTTACACGCATTTTAATACATTTAGTAAATATGGTACTAACAAGTTTAAATAGTTATTTGCCAAGTAAAAATAAACGTAATTATAATTATATTCAAGCCCCCTGAAATTGTATTACGAAAAACGCAGTTAAAAAAGTTTGGCATTCGGTGAGAGTCCTCCTCTGAAACCAGCCAAACCGCCTTCCTGTCGACCTTCTGTCAGCCTTGGTGGCGAAACGGCAAGGTTTTGCACAAAATCATATCATGATGAAACGCGAGTGGCGGCACCAAAATGGGGAGGCGAAGTGGACACGTATCAATCTTTCTGCTTTTAGTGGTACAATTATGTTGAAATTAATTAAAAAAATTGCATGGAAAGTGCAAAATAAAATCTTCAATAATAACATTTAACACATTTAATTTTCAGATTCATGTCGGTCCTTGTAAAATGATAATAAATAATAATTATTTGGGTGAATTCATGTATGGGACACAGTTGCCTTCTTTCTTGAACCCAATAAACATGCATTTGAAACTAAATATATTAATAAAATAAAATAAAATTTTAATCTTTATATCATGTTAATACCTGAGAATGAATTTTTATGTAGTGAAGTTAATTGAGTCTCATTTTGCCTTGCAATTAAAACAAACTGGCCTGGAAAGTCACTCCTTTTAGTGTCTTTTGAGGATTAAAGTTTTCTGCGAAGTATACCATTGTATCTATTTTAAAAATTAAGATCATTGGACGCGTTGTACAAAGAGTTAAGCATGTAATAGGTCATCGAACGGTCAGCATCGCCCCCACTGCACCTTGCTCGTGTAAAATGGGGTTGACCCTCCAAAATATCAAATATCATTATTTACGTTAACTACGTTCAATTATTCAGTGATTAAGAGCAATAATAATATAAGTAAGAAATAATTTATTATAATGATTAAATTAGTTATGAAAAAAATTGTTCTAAAGACAATAATTTTTTTGACGGAAATCATGAGAAATTTAGATCTATAAATTATTCAGCATGGTGACGGAAAGGACGCGCGAATTAATTAGGCTACGGAGCCGGAGCAAACGATGCAATATATCAAATATATACGTCAATCAATGTGAAAGGTGGGTTTTTTTCATAAATTTCCAGTTCAGGTCAGACTGAAATGCCACTTTGGCTACAAACACGTCGGCAGTAACCATGAAAATGCGCGCTATTTTTGTTGATATTTTTCTTCTAATCATGGTTATAACAAATTTGTTACAATTAATTAAGTCAAAATATTTTATTGCTTGATTTACGTTTTTCAGGCTTTTTTGATTGATGAAGCAGTGTCAGCAAAAAAAGGACAAAATAAATTTACAGGTATGTTCAAGCAATTTGAGCTTGAAATTATATAATTGTTTGTTTTTATATTATAAAGGAAGTAAAAGGAATACAATTGTGCAGTGTTGCGGAGCAAATTCGTGCACAAAACCGGCAACAAAACTGATAGCAAACACCACAAGTTCAACAAGCTCGGTAATTTGATAATCATTTTAATTAATTAAATTATCAACATTTTTAAATTTTGTAGCTATATTTTGCGATATTTTAAAAATCTATTAGCATAAATAAAGTTCATACCAATATTTAGGTAGAAAACTCAGGAAAAATAAATGCCAACCAAAAATAAAATAAAATATTTATTAATTTTATCACTTAGAAATCACCAAGTTTTGCTTCAACGACAACTAAAGACCTGCCAACCGCGACTGATAGCGAACCTACGTCTGACGCGATAGTTGATGAGCAGCCTACGACAGACGCGTATTTGACTTATTTTTCAAATTGAAAGTTAAAAAAAATACATCAATTTACAGATCTACTACTGAAATTGCAAGTTCTCCAGAATCATCAACTAGCACTTTCACAACAACCACCGTCACAACTCCAACGACTACAATTACGACCCCAACAACCACAATAACAACAACCACCACCACTAAACCTCCAACCAAAGAAGTTTCTTTGCAAATTTAAAAGTTTCATAGTATCATTAAATTAAAAATATAGGAGCTTATTCTAGGGACGTGCGACACTTCTTTCATTCAAGACGTAAATTAAATAATACTTTAATTAAATTTGTCAATCAAAAAATACTGCAGCCGACGTTAATGGACACTGATGGGACACTAAAAGGCAAAGAAGAATTTGATTAATATATAATCAATGTTTAATTTAGCGGAAATCTAAAGATCCGGAAAAGTATGGATTTTGGGTGCAGTCGTGCGGCAAGCAATTTCTCTTTGGAAAATCTCTAGTAAAAACTTACTAATTGAACTCTCCCTGACTAAAATAAAAAAAAAAATTAAAATTAATATAAATTTAAGGCCACTTGGAGAGACAATTTCATAAGATGCTACAAAATTGGAATGGAGCCAGTAACTTTTGAAAACGCAGAAAAATTAGAATGCTTCTCAAATTTGGGTATAAATTTAATCTGGAAATCACGATAATTTAATCTTTTGAAACAGTTTCTAAGTGGAAGTACAGCTCCAATTACTGGACCTCCGGTTTAAGGGTGAACGAAAGCGACTTTTCGTGGTGCACAAAGAACGGGTCATTCGCAGTGGACAGAACGAAACTGCCCTGGGCAACAGGTCAGCCCCAAAATGTCAATAATAGCGAAAACTGCCTACACCTCAACGTGACAAAAGCAACCGCAACTTTCACATTCTCGGACAGACTTTGCACCGACCCGCAAATATTTGCATGCCAGGTGAAATATAAATTATAAGCTCGGATTCAAAATCAGAAATTAATCGTCATAGGGCCCTCCAACTCCGGCTCCTTCATGCTCATCTCCTGTGTGCCCGAACATCACATGCGCCAAAAATGTAAATTTTTATAGAAAAATTAAGTTATGTTTCTTTCAACAATTATTTTCAGCCAAATTATTATACTTCGTCAGGTAGCTCCCAATTCTTGACATGTATGTAAAATAATAGCTAGAAATATAATATGGTCTTCCTCATTTAAATAATTCTTTCAAACAGTGCCAAATAATCACGGCAGATGGTTCACTTACAACGGCAGGACATATGTTTTCGGTCCAGTAAATAAAACTGAAACAGTAATTTTCCTATTTTTTTTTCAATCATTATGGCAATTTCAATTTTATTTTTAATGAAAAGTTTTTTGGTGCAATGCAATCGTGTTGCGAAATTGGAATGACTTTGCTCAGTTTGGAGTACGATTACAAATACAAATCGGTCATTCAGGCTATAAAAGGTTAATGATATTCTTGTAAAATATGCAATTCATTAAATTTTTTTAAAGAAAACACATCGATGAGTGACTTTTTCTGGACGTCTGGCAGCGACCGGGGATGCGAATCAAATTTCGGTTATTGCGTGGCAAAAAGACTATTTCGCCAGGAGGCCATTTGGGCTTCTGGTCAACCAGACAACGCAGAGGGAAACGAGAGCGCCGTTGCTGTTTTCATTACTTCGAGCCAAGCTCAATTATACGATTTCAACGAGGAGAAAAAATTCAGATATATATGCGAGGTTTGTTGATGTAATAATTAATTGTGAATAAAAATTAAAATAAAATGTTTAAAATTTAGGCCAGGGACACTTCCAAGTCAAAATCAGGTGGCACTGCAGTGAGGGATGAATGCGCCTCCATTTACAATGTCAGCCAAGGTAAGCAAAATGATGATATTATTTATTATTTAATAAAATTTAAATCTGATAATTCGCAGCTGAAATTGACGATCTATTAAATCCCACTACTAAAAAAGATATGAGGATCAAGGTTCCGTTAAGGAATTAAAATAATAATCATTATTATAATAATAAACATTTTAGTGCTTTGCAAAATGCTTGGGAGAAAATTCTGGATTGGTAAAATCATAAAAAATTTAAACTCTGAGAAAATTCAAAATTTATAATTATAGATGGTTAATGGAAAGTTTTTGGAGAATGAAGTTTTGGCAATTTTGGAAAAAAATTCTGGAGGAAATCTGGACGAGCTTCAAAAAAGCATGGGAGTAATGGACGAATGTGGAAATTCCTCAAGTGGTATTAAATTTAAATTAATTATAATTGTTGTTTATTCATTGAAATAATCAGCTGCTGGGATGGACGAGTGTGACAAAGCGGCCCAAATGATCAAATGCAGCAGCGAGAAAGCGCCCGACGTTCTTAACGGCATAATCACGGCCATGGACCAGTCGATGCCCATTGTTTGTTTTAGGAAATAAATCGTGATTACACCTTTTGATTAATTTCTTTTAGGAACAAGCAGCATTACCGCCTGTAGCAGTTTGTCCCGACCCTTTTGCGTGCACCGTTGCGGTGCGACAAAATTTTACCACCAAATATTGAATTTCTTAATTATTTTTATTATGACCACAGCCAACTTATGCGCAAGAAGTTGCAAATTGTACCGGTAATTGCACAACAACATATGGCTTTGTGCGCCATTTGTGCGGCAAGAAATATTTCTATGACATAACCAGGGTGTGTAAAAATATATTATAATTAATTTAATAATTTTTTGTTTCATGTGAACCGATGAAATCGTTATAAAGGTTACCCTGCAGCAGGCCTATATCAACTGTTGCGCTCACGGCACAAAACTGGCGTCCATCGAAACTCCAGAGGAGGTCCAGTGCCTCTTGAGTTTAAGTATTGGTTTTAAAATAAAGTACACAGATTGCATTCAGTTGGGAAACAAATGTGGCTTGTTGAGCAAAATAGTCAACTTCTTTTATATACTATTTTTATAATATCATTTATAAAGGTTGACAAAAGAGTTTATTTTCCATATTTCAAGTTCAGGTTTGAAATCTTGACCGAAAAAAAATAAGAAGCCCTTGAAACTGAAGATTTTAATCGAAAGATAACAAAAGTGAACGAGTTTGTCTGAATGTGAACATAATTAAAAGTATTTAGCCTTAAAATAATCTAATGCAAAACTGTGCAAAACCATATAAATTTTTGTTTATAGTCATTTTAGTTTTGGAAAAGCATTATTTTACAATATATTTGCGTATAATTTATAAATTTTTTGGTGACTTGAGTCATGGGTCTTGATTTTCTAAGATTCGCTAAATTTCTTATAAAAATGAAATAGAAAAAATAGTCTAGCGTCGAAGTTCCAAAACTGTTATTAATTTTTTTAAATACACGGTGCCACCGTTCCTTATGTTTTAATTTTCTCTTGCATTTTTTTATATTTCTTCACTTCATTTGTGGAAACAATAACAAAAACCCTTAAGATTTACAATTATTTATTATTCATTTGAAGTTTTCTTTAATCGAATTGAAATATAATGATTGTAAATTTTCGCAGACACTACTATGATGACAGACTGGACGTGGGTGGCAGTTAGCAAGGTCAACACTACTTCTCCACGATGGTGCACCTCAAACGTCCCGTTTTCTTTCGCCGGCTTCGCTATTGTAACGCACTACCCTAATCCTCCTTATGACTCGTACGCCATAACACCAAGCAAACAACAAATCTGCGCTACTACCCAAGACAACTTACACTACCCTTTATGTCAGGCCTGATCATACATAAAAACAAATACAATATTGCGTTGAACAGGAAATTTGTAGTTTTAATACTTTTCCGAAAAAACTGGCAAAATTCATTAAAAAATTATTAGTGCATGGGAAACACAATGAATTAATGCAGGTTTTGAAAATGTGTTATCAGTGGAAAAACCAAATTGTAGGATTTTCCTAAGTGAAGACTTGTGTCAGAAAGGTTTCGCGTCCTGTTGCCCTACGCGTCAAAATGAATGTGGACACGCTTTTTGTGCTGCTTTTTGTTATTATCATGGTATTTTTTTAATTTGCGATAGCAAGCTTTGTTAATTTTTTTGGAATTCTGACAGGTTTTCGCGATTGACAATCAGGCAGTTGCGGCAAAGAGAGGGAGAAATAAATCTTCAGGTTCTTACTTCAATTGAAATTTGCACGAAATTCATGATTCAAATTAACAGAAAATAGGAGGAATGCGATTGTGCAGTGCTGTGGAGGAAGTTCGTGCATAAATACTGCAACAAAATCAAAGGCTAACACTACAATCTCTACAAGTTCAGTAAGCATATGACGTAGTTATTAATATCTGTAAAATAATTATTTTAAAACGAACTCTCCGTGGTCAGTAATTTTAATCTTTCACACGCCTTTATTTAAAAAAAATTTAATAAAAAAAAATACAATTTACTTAGTTAATTTAATTATATAATTATGTAAGTGTAAAAATTAAATTTGCATTACTCTACCTCCACTAAAGGTTCACACACACAAATTATCAACAATAACAATGAGATATTTAATTTTCAATTGCACTTTGCTCTTCAGAAATCAGAAACAGAAATTACAAAGTTAACAACAGAGACTGACACTGAGTCTTTGCCATCCGATGAGCCTACGACAGATGAGTAAATTTCTATATTTTTTTCTTATTTTTTGTTATAGATAAAATGCATCAATTCATAGAACTACTTCTGCTGAAATTACCACTTCTCCAGAATCTTCAACTAGCACATCCACAAGCACCACCACAACAACCACAACCACGACGACAACAACAACAACTACAACAACAACAAAACCGCCAACCAAAGAGGTTTTACGCATAAATAAATATTCAAATATACCCAATTTTATAAATGAACGCATTAAAAAGGAGCTTATTCTTGGAACTTGTGAAAATACTTTCGCGCAAGACGTGAGTATTTTTATTATCTTTATATGTATTTCTGCAATTACAACTTTAACACTGCAGCTGAAGTTATTTAACACTGATGGGACCCTTAAAGGTTTTTAAAAAGGAATTTTAATAGTTCGTTTCAATTTACCGGTTTTTTTAATGAAAGACCCGGAGAAGTATGGATTTTGGGTGCAATCTTGCGGCCAGCAATTTGTTTTTGGAAAATCAATTGTTATATAAAATATGGGAATAATAAAAAATTAAGAATAAAACTATCAGGCCACTTGGAGAGAAAATTTCATACGATGCTACCAAATCGGAATGGAGCCCCTGGTTTTTGAAAACGCCACAAAATTAGAATGCTTTTCGAATTTGGGTAGTCAAATTTTAAAATAATTATTGCGATATAAAAAATTATTTCTAATTTCTAATACAGTTACCAAGTGGAAATACAGTTCAAGTTACTGGACCTCCGGTTTAAGGGTGAACGAAAGCGAATTTTCTTGGTGCACAAAGAACGGGTCATTCGCGGTGGATAGAACGAAACTGCCCTGGGCAACAGGTCAGCCTCAAAATGCAAACAACTCTGAAAACTGCCTGCACCTCAACGTGACAAAATCAACTGCAACTTTCACATTCTCGGACAGAATGTGCACCGACCCGCAAATATTTGCATGCCAGGTGAGTGGATGGAAAACGAAATTGAATAAAAAATTACAAAATCTATGAATAGGGCCCAACGACTCCAGCGCCGTCATGCTCAATGCCTTCGTGTCCTAACGTCACCTGCACAAAAAATGTGAATTCAAAAAGAGAAATAAAATATATAGGATTTTTAATTAAATTTAGATCAGCCTCTACTTTATACTACGGCAGGAAGCATGGTGTTTTTGACATGTAACTTTTTACTAAATTGGTCAAAAAGAGAGAAATTTTTAAAAATTTATTTATTTTCTATATCAGCACCAAATGATTACGGCAATTGGTTCACTTACAACGGACGGACGTATCTTTTCAGCCCACCAAACAAAACCGACACTGTATGAATTTTTTTTAAATTTTCCAGATTGTATTTAAATTATTAAGGAAAAGGAGAATTTCAGTTGGTCCAAAAATTTTCCATAAGTTGCAATTAATTTAAAACAATCGTAATTTGCGTTTGGACTAAAATTGACAGTTTTCATAAAACAAACGATAATTCAGCTTGTGAAAACTATGAAAGTCCGTCAATTTTTTCCCCAAAAATATAATTTACTTACACGATATTACAAACGCTATAAGCTCTATTTTAATCTCAACTACATGGAAAATCGTTTTTTTTTTCCTGTTAATTATTAATTATCTTACAGTATATTGGTGCAATGCAAGCGTGTTGCGGAATAGGAATGACTCTGCTGAGTTTGGAGTACGATTATAAATACAAATCTGTTATCGCAGCAATCAAAGGTATACAATACAAATTTAATTTCAAACCTTATTTAAAATTTGCTTGTTTGAAGATAATTCCAATTTGAGTGATTATTACTGGACGTCCGGCAGCGACCGGGGCTGCGAGTCGAATTTTGGTTATTGCACGGCAAAAAGAATTTTGCGCCAAGAAGCAATTTGGGCTTCAGGTCAACCAGACAACGCAGACGGAAACGAGAGCGCGGTTGTTGTTTTCATTAATCAGAACAACGCTCAATTATACGATTTTAACGAGGATTCGAAATTCAGATACATTTGCGAGGTTTGAAGAAAATAAATTATTTTAAACGCGATTATGAAAATTATTAACAGGCTCGGGACACTTCAAAGTCAAAGTCAGGAGGCACTGCAGTTAGGGATGAGTGTGCAGCCATTTACAATGTCAACCAAAGTATGTTCAAATACTTATTATACTAATAATTTTAAACATAATTAATTCACAGCTGAAATTGATGACTTATTAAATCCAAATACCAAAAAAGATATGAGGATAAAGGTTTAATTTACAGTTAGATTTTCCAGGTTAAAAAGATTAAATATTAATATCTCGAATCAGTGCTTTGCTAGATGCTTGGGGGAGAATTCTGGATTGGTATTCTCATAAAAAAAATGAAATTAAAATTGTATTTAATAAATTAAAATACTTAGATGGTGAATGGAAAATTTTTGGAGAACGAAGTTATGGCGATTCTGGAGAAAATGTCTGGTGGGAATTTGGATGAGCTTCAGAAAAGCATGGGTATCATGGACGAATGCGGAAATTCCTCAAGCGGTATCAAATTTTGATCAATTATAAATAAATTATTGGTTATTGACGAAAGTTTTCAGCTGTTGGTATGGACGAGTGCGACAAAGCGGCACAAATGATGAAATGCAGCAGCGAAAAAGCACCTGAGCTTGTAAACGGCATAATCACGGCCATGGACCAAGCAATGCCAATGGTAAAAAAAACGCGACGTTTGAAAAATGGCTTTAAAACGACGGAATGTTTAATTCAAAGAGTAAAATTTTTTTAGCAATTCCACGAAACAGAAAAAGAATTAAAGGAATAATTTATCAATTAAAGAAAACAAATACATTACTAGAGTATAAAGAGATGTGGAAAAGTTGTTTTTTAGTTTCACATAAGTTGAAATCAGAAGGACTCAATTTATATGGAGCAATTGTCAGAATGAAGTTGCAGTCGAGATTACTTTATGCACATCAAAATGATTTTGATTTTTCTTACTTCTCTATATTTCTGTTGAATCCTGACTTAAAATAAAACAGGAAAAGGCTCCCCTTCCGCCAGTAGGAGACTGTTCAGATGCAGTATGCAAAGATCCTCCAAATGTGGGTTTTCAAAATTTGTGTGATATTCTTTCTTAATTACAATTAAAAATAATGTAATCTTCGCAATACCAAAGTTATTCCTGGCTCAAGAAATTGCTAGTTGCACAGGAAACTGTACAACCACGAATGGCTTCGTTCGGACAATGTGCGGCAAAAAGTACTATCATCACAACGCAGTGGTAGAAACTATTTTTTTTCTTTCTTGGCGAGTTATCAATGGCGAATTTAGAATAATTACACGACTAGTTATCAAACCTGCTGTCAGTACGGAATGAAGCTTAATTCACTTGAATCGGTCGAAGAAATAAATTGCCTCGCTGGAATAGGCAAGACTAAACTTAATAAACCTCTATCATGATTTTAAAACCTTTAACAAAATTTACAGGCACGCCAATGGCAGGCGCTTGGTCAGAAGTTGCGTTGAGCAGAATCAACAGCACCACCCCCCGATGGTGCACTTCGAACGTCACATTTTCTTTCAATGGATTTGCATCTGTAAATAGCGACACGCGTTACGAATTTAACGTTTACGCCGTCACGTTAAGTACCAAAACACTCTGCATGACTTATGTTCAAAATATGCATTATCCTCTATGCACAACAGTTTGAAAGTGCGTTTTGTTTTCAAAAGAAATTGATTTGCGCACGAATTTGGGATTTTTCGAAATAAATTTGAAGCTTTAAATTTGAGTTCTTTTTACCAACGCAATGATATTAACTTGCAAAAAGTCTTCTAAAAAAATTAAAGTTCAAAATGTGCTAGACACAACATATTTAAAGCCGTCCATACCCCATAAAGTAATACTGAACTGATTTGTCTGATTCTTGATATCGAAGTAAAATGATGAAAGGATACGTTGATCTGAATACAATTAATCCTGGCTAACAAAAAATTTATTGCTAGCTAAAAACGATGTAATACAATTAATCAATTTAATCATCTATTCCGAAATCAGCAGTTTTGAAATTGCAGAAAAAGAAAATTTAATTATGAAAACCTAGCATAAAAAACCAGAGAATCATTCGTTATAATTATATAATAAAGTATTATTTGATTAACTTTGATTTATAAAATTCTTTCAACAGACGCTTTTGCGTACGTAGATGGAAAATAACAAATAAATTATAGGAATTATGGGAACGGAGAGTAAAAAAATTAAGAAAATTAGTAATACAATACAAGTAAATAAAATATTACTACAACAAATTGAATGATGGAAAATCGAAGCAATTTTTTAAAGTAAAGTTGCACTTATAGTGATTGTACTTACGTTGGAGGTGAGAACTCGTGGCAGGACGGACCTTGTAATTCGGTTGATGGTTTAACACCGTCTTCGAAGCTGCAGTCATGGAGGTGCAATGAAGTTGCGGATGACCTCCTCCGGAATCCAGGGTGACGACTTTCCGTAGGCGAGAGTTTTTGGCGCAAAAATTTCGCTTAAATTCTGCTGGACGGCACGAATCAGTTTAAACAGGAAATTGAAAGGTCCATTCACCACCAATTTGAAGATTCCAACTTCCAACTTCGCAACAGTGAAATTTAACAGAAAAAAACACGAGGCCGGTGGCCTTTACTTTTTGCTCACTGTTTCTATTATATCAGCTGCTTGGAGAGAGGTGGGAGTGTGTGCTGCTTGTGAAGCAAGTTGCATAAATTCATGCAGGCGTTCGCTCGCAAAATCGTGCTGCACAAACGCTTTTACTCTACAAACTCGATCGCACTGGATCGCACTACGTATTATAACACGGAATGTTTTCAATTTTCAGAGACACCTTGCGCATTTCCGAAAGGGAGGGCTATGAAATAAAAATTTCAATATAAGCTTATTAACCAAATTTAAGATAAGGTTAATTGGTGGAATATTATGAAACAAACAAAAAGGATAAAAATTATTTATAGATTGGGAATTATATTGCAGAGTAACTAGAGTATTTGAAGCAGGGAATTAGTTTTTTTTTGTCACATCACATCTCACATCGCTGTTGGACCATGTCGGACGTTGAAATATAAAAATAAAATGCATTGATCTGGTGAAAGATTTTAATAACATACATATTTAAATATTCTCCAAAAGATTATAGAGATAAAGATTAATGTATCATGGATTGAAAACGAATTGAAAAAAAATTCGTGGTATAATTATTTATAGAATGTTTTATTCGTTTTATTAATCAATAGAAATCTTAAACGTTTTGTACTATTTTGCAAAAATTATAAACTTTTCTGTTTTGTCATTTGTATGCCAAATTTTTTCCAATATTTTGAGTGTGATTTTTTAATACTTACTAAAGTAATAAATAAAAGAAATATTAATAATAAATACTAGAACTAAATTTGAAGTGATTAACAATTAAAATTGTCTTCTGAGTATTTCATTTGTCTATTGTTCTCAAACTTATTAAACGGAAAATGAAAGAAAAGCAAAATACATCAACATCAGTCATTATCGATTGCTAATATTTTTCTGTGGGTAAAAATATAGCCGTGTGATTTCACCGCAAGTTCCGTTGAACGAGACCATAATACAATAAGAGCAGAAAATCAGTGGGACGTAAATGTCAGCAAATATGGGAAGAGAATTTCTCGCGCGTAGGTGCGGAAATATCTTGTTGTTTTATTTTTTCGTTCTAGTGCAAACAACAGGTTTCCTGTTTCAAAGTATATAAGAAGTGTACCAGTGACCAACATATTGCCCACGCCGTGTTCCAGTAAAAAATTTGTTTGGTTCCGTGCCGTAGACCGAGAGCAGGGCCAATTTCGCACGGGCACTTGACTTTGGAATAAATACGCAACAGGGTCGAACACGTAATAAATTGTGTGTCGTAATTTAATTGGATCGTTTGTAGATCCCGCGGTGCGTGGGTGGGTGACACAGTTCGCCAAAGTCCTGTTACAAAAACACGTACATACGCGAGAAGATCCCACCAGTTTCAGTCATTTGAGATAATGCTTGGGTGGATCCCGATTCCCAAAATAGAAGAATCAATGCGTTGTTACATTCTTATGAGTTCTCTAGATTTTAAAAGTATGAAGTAATTTTAGTTCATAACAAATTTAGAATTTAAAAAAGTTATGGCAAATAAAACTCCGATTTTTCTATAGAAAATAGGCGATAAACACGAAAAATAAAAATAGAAAAATTTGATCAAAACCAACATAAGAATCGCCAATCAAAATAAAAAATCAAATAAAAATTGCAAATAACTATAAAAATTAATGTAAAATTTATTGCTTTTTCAAATAAATCACATTATTATATAAAAATAAATACAAAATCGTCACTCGTTGGTAATTGAGGTGTCATGTCAGTCAAGCAGTTCAGAGTCAAAAAGTAGTCAAGGGGCAGTATTTGGATTGTCGCAATAAATTATATAAATAAATTATACAAATAAATTATACAAATAAATAATGAGCTTTTGTTAATTTTGGCTTTGGTGTGTGGCAGCTCGGTGTTGAATTTTACTGCTGCTGGGCCTGGGCCTGGGTCTGGGCGCGGTAGGCCATATTTTGGGCCTCGTAGTTGCGACGGGCGTACAGGTCCTTTCCGTAGGTGGAGGCGGAAGAGGCGCCACCGCCGGCAGCGTAGCTGGTCACGCCATAGTCGTAGGCGGCCGGCGCCGAGTACTCGTGGTAGAAGGGCTGCTGCTTGCAGAACTTGAGCAGACCTACGATGCTGGGCAGGAAGACGGCGGCCAACAGCAGGATCTTCTTGATGGCCAACACGCCCAGCAGGATGGGGATCAGCAGCACCTTCAGCTTGAAGAACTTGAACAGGATCAACAGGGGCAACAGCAGCTGCAGCTTCTTCTTCTTTCCACGAGATTCTGGATAAAAGTTTGAAAAAATATGTTATTATTCTATGCTGGAGATTTCAATGCTTGAAATAACATAAATTTTAACTTTGTATTTTGAATTGGAGAATTTCAATTGCAATCATTAAATTTTGTCTGCTTTTCCATTAAAAAATAATTAATATAAAAGGAAGGTTAAAGTAAATAAAGTGTGTTGAAGAAAAGTTTGCAATGAATGGATGAATAATTAAAATAAAAGCAGTAAAAATTACTGATTTTGGAAATTTAATATAATTTTTCGTCGTATAGATTTAATTAACAAATTAATATTTAATTTAAATTTACCTCCGCTCTCGATCGCGTTGACGTCGTCCTCGCTGATGACCCTTGGGACGAGTCCAGCGTTGGTTTCAGGCACGGCGACAGCGACGGCGTATTTGCGGGCAAACCGCTCCACTTGTCTCAAACCAAACTTCCACAACTTGGCCACTTCCGAGTCGTCGCTGCGCTGCTCCACGTCGTCAAAAAGTTCAAAGGGCGCATCTTCGGCACCTTCGGAGGGCACCTTCACCAAGCGGACGCCGGCAGCACTCAGCGGCGAGAACATAGAGTTGAAAGCACGCGCCGAAGAAACCTACAAAACATTTGGAGAAAATAAAAGTTTTTAATTTGAAAATTTCATAAAAATGTGAAGAAAATTATTAATTTTTAAATATTTGAAAATGAAAAAATTACAAATAAACTTTAAGCCCCTTTTTCTTTTAAAATTAACGTATCTATAAAATTAATACAAAAATTTCAAAATCGCCCAACATTTCACCTCTTTTTTAATTAATTAATGTGCGTATTAAAATTATTTTTTAAGAAACTGATATTATTTGAAAATTTTAATTTTGAATTAAAGTACCTGTCCTGCTGCGACGGCGTCCAGGTAGGAAAGGGCCCTGTGTTTGGCGCAAGCGATCGCATCCTTTCGCTCGCAAGCAATGCGAGCGTCCTCGAGGTACGCGTCTCGGTGGTCGGCGGCCACCGCGGCCACTACTGAGAGGCCGAAGGCCAAGAGCAGTGCTATCCTGCTGAAGGACATGTTGTTGGACGGCAGAGGTGCGAATGGTGATGAGAACAATGGGCGCGCCACCTTAAATACTGGGACGAGCAGAAGGAGGGGCGCCGTGGGTCAGCAGAAAACAGGGTCACTCTCGCGGCGGAGCAGAGCACACGGCGCCGCGCCTCATCGTCAAACCTACACCGCATGCTCTTCTGCACTACAAGGCGCTCATAACAAATGGCTGTTTATCTTTTCGTGCGGCAGGCTTACATTTAATAACAAAATCTAAATTAAAGATTTAAAAGATAATATAATATATGTTACTATAGTAAAATTCTAAATTTAAAAAAAAAATGTACAATGTATCACAGCATTAGGCGTTCATAACAAATGGCTTGTTTATCTTTTAATGCAGATGAGTAAAATTTAATTAAAAAGTTAATAAAAGATGTAAAATAAAATAAATATTTTGATTAAAATTTCCAAATTCTTAAGTTGATATTAAATTATAAATTTGGAAAAACTTGATTTGAAACATGATTTTTCATATATTTTACTAACAATTATAAATTTGTATTGAAATCTTTTTCTTTATTTGCAAAATCATGGATATTTGTTATTTGCTTAAAAAGTATTGCGATCTACAACGTCTCTCCACGTTTTTCTCACACTCCTCTCATACATTCAAGGGAGTGCAATTCAAAAATCATCGATGCATTCCTCAGCGATTTATTTTTTCTCATTTACAGTTCAAAGAGTGCGTATTACAATCAAGAGTAATGGTAGAGTACCTGGTGCAATTAAAATCAACCGCATCACACACGCTGGGTGCATCCTCTCAATGTTGCGCGCTCTGATTGATTATTATTACATTAAAGTGAATGAAGAATAATTGTTCATCCTAGAAAGTCTGGTTAAAATACATAGAAGAGCTAGATCACTTGATTTACGAAATAACTGATGTTTCTCTGCAATATTTTGATACAAAAATCTGAGGGAATTTTCAAATATAAGAATAGTTATCTGAGAAAAAACCACTAGCTATATATCTAATTTTAATAAGTAAAAAGACATTATATTTTTACGCACTGCATCTCTTTCTTCCTCTCAACAATTTTAAGATTTTTGTCACAATTGTTTAAAAAAATTTCCCATTTGAGTAAAATAATAAATAACTAATTTCAGAAAAGAAAAATTAAAACAATTAAAACAAAATACTCATCTTCCCCTAAATAATTTCATCCCATATTTGACATAAAAAAATTAAACCTTTAATTTGAGCGGTACGTGTTGAAGATTGGTTTTTTTTTTATTGGAACAATAAGAATAAGTGCGCGTAATTCCTCCAAGAGAACCGCACCGAGCATCGCAATGGACTGTTTATTTTTTATAGCTGAAGGTCACTGTGCCAATACGGTCGTTTTCAATTTTCACGCACGCGACTTTCCGCGAGTTCTGAGCCTCTCATTTGCACCCACCTGCGCCTAACGGGTCTCTCTTTTTGACAAATGCATCACTCGCACACGCCCGAACTAAACTCACCCAATTCCACTTCGTGAACTTTACTGAAGCACTCAAACAGGATATATATTATAATGTTAGTCAAAAATGAAATATCCTTCCTCGCTCTCTCTCCCAGTTCGGTGATAAAATCACTTATTTAAAAAATCTCAATATCATCTTGTGTGATCTTGTGAAAGGACGAACATAAAATAACATTTGAAAAAAAATTACAATAAGAAAAAAATCGCCGTAAAAATTTAAAAAATTCTTACATGCTTTTTCAATCAGCTTTCTTTTTGCACGTTTCTGATCAATCGCAGTTTGTCGTGATTCACCTCAATAAAAGAAAAAAAGAGATAACGTTCAATATAGATTTCGCGGATATATATTCCATATTCTTTGGCATTGAATCAAAAACGATTTCGCTTGGAGCACGCACTTGTATTCGCAATACGCACTTGCATTAAATTTAATTCTGTCAATAGTTTTCAGAACCCGGCAGGAAATAGGAATTAGGGCACTTTAAAAAAGGTCACTCGCTGTTTGATTAACTAGAATGGACTTCACTTTTTCCCACGCTAAAATTATTTCTTGTTCGGCCACTTAGCAAATTCTTTTGACATTTTGTGTTTATTTCCTAAAAAGGCCAGGAGCAACGGAAGTGGACAGTAATCTTGGTTCTCTTTAACAAAAAATTGCTTGCGATTTGCTCGTTCTTATGCTTTTATGAAAAAGACACGGATTTGAATAAATGAGGTTGCTGTTTTGATTTAAAGTCGATCGTCAACCGCAGTTTTGCTTCGAGAATCAAAAATAAATATCAGAGGTGTCGTCTTTCAACCTGCAAAACTCGAATTTGAGTGCAAGATGCACCTCTCCTCTCAATAAGTAGGTTTCTTGCATACTTTTTCCCTTGACACTCAATTGGAATACTGCGGCGTGAAGCGAGTGAAACAGATATGTGCACTCCGACAGGAAACAAACTATTGGAGTAAGACAAAGAAAAATGCGTGCGGCTCTGCTCGAGTGCGCGCCTCAGAAAGAAAATAATATAGAGTATTAAAAAGAGGTAACAATTTTATTGAATAGCTCATTGATGCATTAAATCGATCAAAATGAAATACATTGTGTTTTTATATAATAAAAGATTTAATCGTAAAACAACATAGTACAGCTGTCTGTCTGTCTGTGAATTAAAAATACATACAACACTTTACGTCAGCAAGTCTTTTGTAAACCTTAAAAGTATTTGGCTAGCTGTGTGTTTGTGGTGATGACTAAGTTTTGCGTGAACCTTGGTAGTAAAAGGAACTCTGCTCAACAGAGCTGAAACTGGTCATACTCGTGCTACTCTCATGGCAGTTTTTTTCGCACCTGGACATTGTGCGATTGAGCAAATTATAAATCAATCGAACCGGATCACAAGTGAAGGCACTTAAGGCAAGTCTTCTTCCTTTGAGATATGAGTTTTTAATCAAAATTCACTGTGGTGCCGAACAGACGAGAGAGCGCAGCCTGTTGACCACGGGCGCAACGGCCGTCTCTGAGTCGAAGTCTGGCCGTAAGTAGTAGACCTTCAGACGGTCTTGCGAGTGACACTCAAGCACCTCCCATTTCTCCAGCATCCTTAGTGCATTTCGAATGGGGTCTATGCACCTGCTCTCCTCTGTAAACAAGAAAAATTTTATATTTAGTCGTTTCACTTAAATGAAATTAGAGGGAAGAATGGCCAATTGAAGGGGGCTGCAGTATCTTTATTAAAACAATGGAATAGTTTAATTATTTAAATTGCACTTTAAGAATTGGGTCCTTTTAAATGAAGGATAATATTCTAGGAGTACCAACCGAAGAGAGCGAATCCTCTGCGCAGCTGTGAATCGCACTCAGCAGTGACCCTTTCAAGTAGCTGCTTTTCCGTGACCTGTTGACCTGCCAATGAGGGCAGACAGGTGGCACAAGCTGCGTAACCTTCAAGCAGTGGCCGCACCACGCTGCACAGGAATCCGAGTCTCTTGCGGTACTCGATGCCCTTGTTGATGGAGTAGCAAACGTGGGGTGGCACAAAGTCTGCCTCCTCTTCACTGTCAAAGTCGTCTGAAAAGTGCCGCCGCCTTTGGAAGTTGCTCTCGTCAACCTCGAGGTAGCCTTTGTGCTGCAAGTCATCAATGGTGTCCAAAACCAGGGTCTCCAGGGACTGACAGGGCTTGGCCAGGATGAACTCAAACTGCAAAACGCTGCAGATCTCCAAACACCGGCTGACCAACTCGTCTCGACCCACAAAGTGTTCCTTCTCCTCCTCCAAGGTGCTTTCCGGCAGCAGAGAGCACAATGCAGTAGCTGATGAATTTTTAAGAGTAAATTACTGGTTCAATTCAGTTATGATTTTAGTTTTTTACCTGCAACCGCCTCTCTGACGTAGATGTTGAGGCAAGTGTTTGCATAGTAAGAGAGCTCTATTACATTAGGTACCATGACGACGGGCTTGATGGCCACCGTGTCGCCCTGAGGCGTCGTCAGTCTCTCTCTCCTAACCACACCAGGCCCAAGAATACTCAGCTAAAATTTGGAAATTTTCATTATAGTTTTTCAATTAAATTTATAAATGTTTTAAATTTTGAATTGGAAAATAATAGACTTACAGCGTGGTTGATGACATCGACAGAATCTCCAGTGAAGCCAAGCTCAAGTCTGGCTGATCGAACATCAAGTCTCATGTCATCGAGAGCCTGGGCCAATTCCTCAAGGTTGGTGCCTGCTCTGAATTTGGTCAGCAGCAGAAAGGCAACTGCGTTTGTTGACATCACTGACATAGCTTCAATTGCATCTGGAAAAATAAATGTTTGGATTGAATTGGTTGAAATATTAAATATAATTATACATATTAAAATTAATGTATTCATTAAGTAGACTAACTTAATTAACCGATTACAACAAATGTTAAGTTTTTCTAATATACCATAAACAATGTGCTTGGCAATGTCTTCGACAATGTGTCGTTGCTCCTCCACAACAACATCTGTGCCATAAAGAGATGAGCTGGAGGGAGGCGAGTGGAGCAACTTCTTTGAGCCAGGAACCGTAACGTGGTAGTGGCCAAAAGAAAGGCTGCGGTGCAACAGGCCATCGGGAGTTGGAGTTGCGTCCGGTGTGACGGCACGGGATCGGAGGTTGTGATTGTGGTAAGAGTCAATCATTTCTCTTAACGAGAAGGGCTGGTTGAAGTCGACGCGCATCATACCGTAACTTGAGTTCAGCGTTTTCCAGATGGACCTGATGGCGCTGCCAAAGCTCTCCATCACCTTTGGTTGACCCAGCTGCTCTCGGACAAAGTTTCCATCCACTATTTTTTCGTAGTTGATACCCACGGGCACCAAAAGCGCATCCTCCACCACTCCATCCATGAATGTGTCCACAATTACACTCAGCAAACCACCTTGATGAAAACCCAAAAAATAAGGAATTATTATATACAAGGAGAAAAATTTAATATTTATCTCAAAAAAATTAATTATTTCACTTTAATTGATATAAAAGTTGACAAATTTCTATAACAATATTCATTGTGAAAATTTAAAATACAACCGAAAGCATACAATTTGAAGTATTAGAGACACTATTAGAATCTTAATCACAAAATTTTTGATAGATAAATTTCTGATGTAAGGCAAAATCTTTAAAGTTCTATGTACCTTTTGGCATGCAAGCCTTGCCGGTCCTGGTGCGACCACCCTCAATGAAAAACTCAACATAGTGTCCGGCACGCAAATTCTCCACCATGTAAGTGTGGAGCACAGCTCTGTAGACCAGATCCTTGCGTCCAGCTGTGGGGTCAATCTTCCTCTTTATGTAGAAAGCACCCAACCCTCTCAGCAGCCATCTGAATCAAAAAATTAAAAACTCTTCTTCTTTCCTTCAATCCAAAGAACTGACCCGAAGAGTGGAATGTTGAGGTTGTCGCCAGCAGCGACAAGTGGCGCCTTGATGCCAGCATTGACCAGAATGAAGGTCATCAAGATGTAGTCGAGGTGACTGCGGTGATTGGGCAGAAAGATGAGCGGGATACCCGCATCAGCTGCCTCCTTAATCCGCTGCACTTGCTCACGATTCACCACCACCCTGGTCAGAAACATCGGCAGCAACTTGTACAACACGTAGGAAGTTAATCTGGAAATAATTTTATAAATGTGATGAAAGAAATATATAAAGGGGGATTAAATAAATGAAAGGTTAGTTTATTTAAATTTTTTACTTTTTTAAAATATCCACGAATCTCGGGTACCAAGACTGAGTTTTATTCCAAGTGTCTTTAAATAATGTATCTTGAATTCTGGTTTACCCATTTTGGCTTTTCAAAATTACCTGAGGAGAAAATCGTTGAGGTTGGAGCCCATGGTCTTCAGCACCTTGTAAGCACGACTGTGGTGCTTCCGAATGAGCTCGGCCAGGCGGGAGGCAGTTGCCTCGTCCTCCTCTTTCTGCTCCTCGTCTTCCTCTTGACTGCTCAACTCGCTGCCAGTGCTTTCTCGCATCTCCATTCGTGCCACCTTCTGCACCGCTTGCAATACCCGTTCATCCTTTAAAACCTGTACAAAATAAATAATTAGTTGCATGTAAACAAAGGATAAGTAATCTAGATAATAATTAGATTCAATAACTTTTTATTTTTTCTTGTTTCATTTGTGAATTTCTTCTCCCTAAATTTTATTTAAGAAGGAGAATATATAAATTAATTTTAAATGGTTTGAAATTTTGCAATAATAGAAGATTTAAATTAATAAGTTACTTCAGTAATGAAAATTGCAAATAATAACTTACAGATGAAAATATTTTTGGGTACGGGAAGGCGTGGAATTCCCAAACGTGATAAATAATGTGCTTGAAGTACGAAGTGACAAAGCCGTGTTCAGTCTGCAGACGAAGAATGTTGCGCACCTCCAGTCCAGGCACCACCGGCCTGCTCTTGCCATTCTCCTGCAACAAAGTAAATACATGAAAATGAGCAAATAATTAAAAACAAAATCCGCGCCTGCTCTTTCAGTCTGCGAAGGCGCCAGTCAAGAAAGGGTGTCGGACTGGGCGCTCGACTTGCGTCGATTTTTAGGACAAAGGCGCTCATTTTGCCGATTGTGAGGAAAATAAAAACAGCTGAGAGAAAATTAGAAGAGGCGGACAGTGCATGGTGCGGCCGCTGAGTGGGAATTGGGACTGCTGGTGCCCGAGATAAAAATAGCAAAGACTCGCGTGATGACATTTAGCGCCGCGGTGGCCCATCTAATTATCACCGGCAGACAGAGAGGCACACAATCGTGCAATTCTCTCTATTGTCTCTTTCCAAATCAGGCCAAAATGATTTTTTTTAAATTTCGAACAAATATTATTTTAAAGTTTAGATACATAGTCTTTTTTCAAGACGATTTAAACATTTACAAATAATTTTAATATGGCATTCTTTAACAATCCATGAGATAATTAAATAGTAAAAACAAGATTTACTTAATCTAGTATTGATTTCTATAATAAAATTTGATGTTGGAGTTTATTTAGAGAATGACTCCTAAAGATAAGAGAACAATCTAAAAATAAAAATATTCGATGCCTGCTTCCTTTTCAGATCTTAAAATCCTGCACTCAAAACTCTAATAAATTTGTTTAAAAAAATAAATTTTTAAGTCCAATCGATCTTATTTGGAATTTTGCCAAAAATTTCATTGTTTTTTTTTTTTAATCTTAATTTTAATTCTAATTTATTCAACTTACTCTTGAGGTGGGGGTGCAGTGGCTGCAGCAAAGTGGTGCGGCCCGTCGCGAACTCTTGAATTGCAGGGTGACGAGCGGCGCCGACTTTGCCCTGTAAAGTTGCTGCTCTCTGACCTGCAACCGCAAATTAGCGCTCCAGGTTCGCAATTCAACTCAATTTTCCTACTGTTGTGACTGCCGATTCTTCGAACTGCCTCTGGGCTGCGCGTTTAGCTGCCGCGTAGGCACGGAGGCCGAGACTGGACATTTGCTTCTCATCGCCGCTGCCCATCGCTGGCCTCTTACCCTGCTGGTGACACCGCCGCTCCCAGTTCTGGTAAATGTGTTGCAGACTGCTCAGCACGTCCGCCATTGCTCTGCAAAAAAATACATAAAAATTCAGTTTTGGTCACTTAAAGCAATTTCCATTTCGTTCAACTATATTTCACTTTGAAATATCCAAATTCCACAATTTCATTTTCATGCATCAAATAGATTTTTAACGAAAATTGACAGATCTCCCAATCTAATGGAGGTGGAGTCATCAAAAAGATGGAATTAAAAAAAATCAAGTTACCATGAATGTAAAAAGTTGCAATTTTTAATTATTCAATTTCTTATTTATTAAAATTTTAATAATATAATATAATTGGAATAATACAGTAAAAATAAATTTTCTGCCAATAAATTATTAGAAAAATATTGCGGTAATGATTAATGAGTTTTCACTCGCTTCAGTTACGATCCGAGCTGACATAACTCGCGACGCAACTTTCTCAAAGTGAAATTAAAGCGCTCCGTTTACGGAAGGGTTACATTTTTTCGCTCAAAACACATCAATGTTTTGAAATAAAAAACTCTAATTTATCTGCAGACCGGTCATTGGTCTGCATGGTGTGAGTGAACACGTGATTTCGCAGTCTCAGGGTCACGACCCAAGCACACCATTCAAGCATTTGACGACTTAAGTGTGACCTCTGCTCGCCAGACGTCAAACTGGATTTTCTCTGTTTGGCCGAAAACAAGCAATCTGCCAGATGTTCAAACACGCGCTCCGTCAGCAAATTAAAAATAACGATTTTCTTGATCATTAATTATTATTATTTATCTTGATAAATCAAATTGTTGGTTTGTCGGCAGGACGAATATAGAAATTCCGATTCTAACTTAGTAAGAGGAAAAGTGATAAAAGACGCAATCGAAGATGGTAAACAAAAACACTTGACATTTTGTCAAGGAGCACTCGACGGGTGCGCAACAAAGTAATATGCTAAAACGTGCGGCGAACCCAAAACAACAAGCTGAACAACGCAGCGACTATCGCAAGGGTTATCGACTGTTGTTTCGTCGTCAGAAAAGCGTTTGAATGGGGATTAGAGCAGATAGGAACTATTGTTCGATCAAATTTATAAAATGATGAAAAGTAAAAAATGATTTAGAATCATTCAATTATTATAAAAAAAAATTTTTAACTTATAAACTAAACCAATTGGGATTTTAATCATTAAGGAAATTTCAGTTTGTCCTGATTTATGCTGAAATATTGACTCTTGTCCAAGGCTCAAATCCTTTTGGTAGGAAAATACGATGTACATTATTTACGATATTCATAAATTTCTTCAAATTTTTTATTTAGGGAATAAATTAATTTTTAAATCATTTTTTCCTATTTTTCTGGTCACTGTGCCATTGCAAGATAATTTATCCTGGTTTTAGTTTCAAATGAATGTTTATTTGATAAGAAATTTTAGCCAATAGCTTTGAAAATCTAGGGAAAGTAATAAAAAATAAATTCAATCAAGGATGCCAAATTTTATACCTCTTCAGTGTGCTCAAAATTGCAATAAAAACTTTTTAAAAAGTGTAATGTAAATACATTTTTTTAAACACTGAATTTATAAATTTTAGAATATTTAGCACTGGCTTTATTTGGATAATATTTAGCTTATAGTTTTGACAGTTTTTAAATTAATTGGTTCATTGAAAAGAGTAATCAAGTGTTTCTATCATGCACTTTAGAGTTGATAATAAAATTTGAACAGCAGCTAGCGATAGATAAGACTTGGATTTTGGTTGGTCATTGTGAATGTGAATTTGAATGGAGACGAGCACCTTGATATTTGGGAAGATCGGCATTGAATCAATTTAGAACACACGGCGGGACTAAGAATAACGCGATTGCAGTCAGATTTCCTCCCGGCCGCGAGTGCACCTCGCCAAGTGTTTGTTATTCCACTTCCTGTCACCCACCAGCAGCACTGCCATTTGATTTGCAAATCAATAAAATTAATTCCATAAAACGAGTGAAAACTTGATTAAATCCGAAAATCAGAGTCAACTGTGGAAAGAGTAATCAAGAGTGTGATTTTGAAATGGAAACGGTGAAGAGATGAATGAATGATTAGAGTTGGCTGACAATGAGCTGGCAGGGGGACAAAAACAAAAAGTGTGTCGATCGCAGAACACTCATCGATCACATGCAAATAATGTGTGTCTAATGATTGCCCTCTGTGCTGATTATCTGGAGCAGCTAATTACCGTCAGCTGCAGTTTAAAGTGCAACAACACGGACGGTGACTTGTGGTAAAGACACAGATGTTGGCCAAGACGTCGTCCGTCTTTCGTCACGCTCAAACGCGTCAACAGAAAAACACGAGCGTTACAATAATTTTACATCAAGACGTTTGAAATTTCACTCTTTGTCGCGAGGAAATGAAAGAGTGGAGAATTCAACTCGGAATTAATTAAGGGCAGGAGAGTGCACAATGGGCGAGATTAGATAAGTGCGTGCAGCAAGAGTACAATACCGGTTTCGAAAATAAGATCAAAGATCGCGTGCTTGACCTTAGTCCGCTCCATTTTCTTATACAAAGTATTGCAAGAATTCGCACTCGAAAATCGTCACTGTCAACGATCTAGAAGATCAAAGACCTTTTGGACCTCTTCAAAATTTCATTCTCAATTTGAGGAATATTCTATTAGAGATAACAAACTATTTTATTTTGCTGTTTTAATTGTTTCCATCAAATTGAAAAGTGCAAGTTGCTACAGAATTATCATAAAAATATTTATAAGTCAATTATACAGATTGATGCTGATTAACTTCATCTAATTTTAAATACAATATAATCAATTATTGACAATTCCATAATTAACAAAAAAGAATAGCATCATAATCAAATATTAACAACAATGGTTAAAATTAATAATTAATTTCAAAAAATTGCTACTATTTTTAAAGACACTATAGACTGGACTTGACAATGCCAATGAAGAGTCAGTCGCATGCAGTCGCATAAACTAAAAAACCAAGCTACTGCACACATTTTAATTTTTTTTACAAATTATATAGAGTTACTCTCAGAGGAAACTTCTAAATATTGAGGTTTTTATTGATTTTCAAAGCTGCAACAGTATATTTTAATTTTAAAATATCAGTTAAATCGATTTATGCAGGGAAAAAAAGCATGATTACACCTTAGGTGTTTGTGAAAAAAAAAATGGTGGAAATTTCAAATTGTTTTCCAATAATTGCCAAAAATGGCTCTTACTGTTGTAAAGATTTGATTATTATGCCAATACGGAGCATTTAAAAATGTTCCCCGCCAAAATTCTAGTTTTTCCAACTTCTATAATGAAAGTAATGTTTAAATTCACTTTAATGTGAGATTTTGACAGGCATAATTTTTTTTAATTAATTTCTAGAAGCATATTATGTACAGAAGAAGAAGAAAACAAGATTTCCAAACAATTTAAAACACCAATGGAATTTGTTTTGGTTTGAAATCATAATATAATAATAAACTTAATTTGCAACCAATAATAATTAATTATCAACAGAAAAATACAAGTCTTTCCAGTTTTTTCCAAGCAACATCAATTGAATAAAAGGATGAATAGCAATTGTCAGAGGGATGACATCAGTCAATATGCAAAGTGATTGTTTTCCTAAATGAGTTATATTCAAAAATGGGTTCGAACGGCGCGAATCCATTTACGTCGAACACGCGACAACAATAACAAACTCACTTGCTAGCTTCAGGGCAGAGTGTTTACTCTTGCTGTGTTAATGTGTGTTATTGGCACAGATTTATTTTCTTCGTTGTGCGTCGCTCGCAGACCAGTTTTGCTCGCACAGAAGGCGAATATTTTTATTCTTCAAGAGAGTGTAATGAAAACATTAACTCGCGGCAGCACGTGGTAATCTCGAAGCAACAAATGTGCAGGAGATCGTTTGTTTTGCCACGCGAAGGACGTTCTTTTGCGCGCACCGATACTACAGAAAATTTAAAATTTTGATCAGTATAGCAATAAAAAAAAGATCAAAATTTTTAATCAAATAATGTAAAAACAACTTATTATCAAAATTATCCACTTTTGAGGAATTTTTATTTACAGGGATTAATAATTTTTTAATCTCGGTAATTAACGACAAAAAATTGTATTTTGCTTTCAAATGAAATAATTTGAAATAATTAAAATACATAAATCCTTATTGAAGTAAGTCAAATTTAAGCCGTTTAATCTGAATGCAAGGCATATTAATTTATATAATTTCAAGAAGATTGTCATCAAGAGTTTTTGTAGTTTTGAACTTTGGATGGTGCCGAAAATCAAAACTTCAGACAAAGGTATTTATAAGCCGCTAATTGGAATACTTTGCACTTCCCTATCAGGACCATTTGCGTGCGAAAGTTTTTATCTTCCTGCCGGTGGACCAAAGTGCATTGCATTATTTCAGCACGCCGAAATTGTTTAAAGTTCAAGGCTGCCGGCCACTTAAGGAGCGCGATTAAACTAATGAGTCTGCCTGCCGGCACATTTCGCTCAAAGTTCATCAAATCCTTAATTACCGCAATTAAAAAATTCTCAAAGGAACTATGAAAATTAATTATTCTTCTGCAAATTAAAAACAAATAAATAAATTCACTTTTAAAAAACATAATTAGTTTTCTTTCTTAATATTTTCAATCTGAAATAAAATTAAAAAATTCACTTTTCCACATTATAAAATATTAGATAAATTTCAAAGTTTTCTCAATTTCCCCTGTGCAGGAAAATTAAAATTTCTTTTATAAAAAGATCAATGAAAAACCCAAAACTAAGATAAAATTTTATCTGAAGCATTTAAGTTTTTTAAACCAATTTAAATATATAATTTAAGCTTCCTAATTTCATAGCTGAGAATTTTTCTCTGCTAAAAGTGATTTGTAAGCGAGTAAAATTCTGAGATTTTGAATCTTAATTGAGTTTGAAAAGTTCAATCATTTCCAACCTTGTGACATTCTTTCCAAAAAGCCAGTAGAGGAGGGCGCCGAGGAGGACGAGCTCCAGCAGGCCCATGTTGGTAAAGATCGCAGAGATCATGAGGACGACAAAGTGATAGGACCGGTCATTCAGCGGCTGGTGTTGCTGAAGCACTGACTTGGTGTGCGACACTGCCACTCTTATTGCCTCCCCACCCGACACTCCTCTTATCGCAATTGCAATTCAACAGCATCTCTGCTGTTGCCACCCATTCCAACCTTTGTTCAAACCAAAACTTTAATTAATTAATTAAAAAAAATTATAAATTTAAAATAAAAAATTTAACAGAAAAATTTTTAGGGAAAATATTGATTACCGAGATTAATAATGGTGGAATTATTTTTTCTAAATATTTGAATATAATTTCAAATATACAAGAATCTAATATTCACTAATAAAAATGCCAGAAAATCATCAATTAAACGTGTTATTATTTCATATTTTCATTTCAACACTCAATTTGTCATTTTCCTGACCACGGTCACAGCGGACTTGTGCTTGAATAGCGATTAAAATTGTGCACTCAGTACTGTAGGTATTACCGAGTATTACAACAATTGAACTAAACGCGCAGCCTTGAACTTTAATCTTAAAATTGATTAGATTGATTCTTTTTTTAATTTTAGGACTTGCAGGTGAGATAACAACTTTAAGTTATTCAATTATACTTCAATGTCACTTTGAATTTCTCTGAAAAAATAAAATAATAAAAGTGTGTTTATTTATTTACAAAAGTTTGCGTTTGTTTTGCTGTGACACACGCAGGCGACTCTGCAAAAAATCCATTACAGAATTACATCAATCGAACCTTTGAAGTCATCGCGACTATTTGCATCACTGAAATTACAATAGAAATATTCCACAGCGACGCATTCGAATCAATAATTAATATTCAATGTCAAATTGTGACGCGTTTAGAGTCAAAGTGCATTGGCGTCGCATCAAAAGTAAAAATGATTTCTGCAGAAGATGTCTTTTGTTATTATTATAAAAATAGTCGTAAAAAATTTCATGTTCAGAATTTACATAGCTTTTTTTTGCCTCATCACTAAAATTAGAATCTTTTATCATAACCATGCAGCTTTTTCAGTCAATCTGTTTTTTTTTTTTTTTTTTTTTTTATAAGCGTTGAATGGAAACTTTTTAATATTTGAATTTGATCAATTGTAATTTCAAGTATAAATGTAAAGAAATTTGATATAATTTTAAAATTTAGAATATATTTCATCTTTAAAACAAATATACAACGAAAAATAATTTAGAGTTGATTTTAAAAAGATTTTAATTATTGTTCTTATTGTAATTACTATACTTATTCGAGGAGTAGGATAAGAAGCAAAAATTTTTAAATCTATAAAATCTATACAATTTAAACACTTACAAATTAAAATATCACCAGTTGTTAAATCACAACTTTGAAAATTTTCATTAAACATTTTCAAGCTCTAAAAATGTTGCCAAATACGAAATCATTCCAATTTAAATTTATTTACATTCTTGTGAAATTAAAATGAATTTAATTCCTGATAAAACGTTTCTTGCTAGACCCAGATATTATATAATGGACATTTTTAATATAAATTTAGTCCGTGGGTATAAATTCTTTTCAAGGAAGCGAGTGTTTTGGTTGCCATCAAGTGGAACCTCCGGTCGACCTTGAATTTGAAACTCTCTGCGAATTAGCTCTTTCGAATTCACCAAGTCAAGCCTTCCACTGCTGTCCTGGCCGCGAGTCAAATTAAAATTAGAGAGAAAAAACGACACATAGGCTGCTTTTTTATTTTGGCAACGTCGCTTAATTGCTGTCCGCCGAGCCTCCTCTCGCTTTTGACGATTCCGCAAAATATTTTCTGACGTAACAATTTCTCCAGTTTAATAATAATTTAATATCAAATTTATTCGATCGGCCGAGTTGGCAAAAATTGCAACGCGGCAAAAAGAAGTGCAGCATAAACGAATGCACCAATTTTTGTTTCATTTTCTAGCTGAAAGTCGTAGACGAATTACCAGAAAAGCCTAAATATCACATACCTGGTGGTCACCTGCTGCCGTGCGACGCAATCAATCGCCAAACTTGGTGCTCTACCAGGTGAAATTCGCTGCGAATGATGCGGAGAGAGACCATCCGTAGGTGAACCGACGATGAGAAAAACAAACGGGTCGAGCAACACTGTTGCCAACGGAATATAGCAACGAAATATTTTTTATCAGGTTTAGTTAGAGTTTTGACTTTTGACCCTCATTTCAGATTAAGATAAAGAAAATGGTATATTAATAAAAAAAATTTATATACACATATATATTTTCTTCTTATTAACATAATTTGAAATTTCATTTATGAAGTGTGCTAAAAATATTTTGAATCGTGTTGGCAGCAGCGTCAATGTCCCTCTTTGGTCCCTCTAGAGGAATTTTTACAACTATGGATGCGTGACGTCACCGGTGCACCTGCACTCGATCGCCAGCCCATCGAACGTGCTAGTGGATGCTGTGATCAGGGTCCCATGTCCCATCTCAATCTTAACAAATAAGAATCATTTATTCATCAATTCATTTTTGCATTATATATTATTTTTTTATTGCCCCATCATAATTTTCTTAAACAATTTCCATACTCTGTAAAAAATAATAATTGTATAAATATGATTTTAAGTTTTTTTAAAGTTCGTTAAAGTATAATTTAACTTATTTTGTATTTTTTTAAATTATTATCTTACTTTGCAAATTTTGAGTTTTAATCAATTTTAAAATGCTCTTACGAATTTTTATGCATCTTTTTTGTAAAAATTCTTGTTTTAAGGCTCAAGGAATGTTTATAAAAAAAATTAATAAAAACCGAACTAAAGCTGAAAATATTAATAAATAACAAATTATGGAACGGTGATGTTGCGCAGGCTTAACTCTCCATTGTAGTATTTAACATCAAATTCATACTTTACGCGCTGCCTTTAACATAAAGAAAAAACTAATTTGGGCATGAAAATCAATGAGAAGACATAAACCTAGATCGTGGGAAGGCTTTTAATTTGAATTGAAAATAATTCTTCGAGTCTATTTCTTTTTTCTTAGTAGGAATCAGTAGAAATATTGTATTTTTATATCATTTTTTTTCCAAATCTATTGCTACATGCATAAAAGAATTCTTCAAAAAATCGATTTAATTTTTTTATGTAAATTATTCAACCTGCCCGTCTCTGATGTCGCGCTGGTGGCATACATTTGAATTCTTCAAGGCGCTTATTCTTGCCGGTCTGTTTTTCACGGTTGATGAAAATGATTATTGTCATTTGTATTGCGGTATTTTTTTTTTATAAAATACATAAAATGTCTTTCTAAATATTGCACGTCCGGTTGACCTTTCAAAAACCGAAAAAACCAATCAATAAAAAATGAAATTCTATTTTATGCGTCGGAAGAAAAAATGGAGAAAAAAATTGTAAATAAGAAATTAATTTTTCAAATTAAAGTAAAATGAAATTGGCTATACTGAGCTATACTATAACGAAACAAGCTGGACAAAAGGTCTTTTTTTTATCTTATCCAAGCCTTTTGCTAATTTTATCATTTTTTTATTAATCAACAGTGATCGCTTCTTTTTAAACTGTCAATTATTTTAATCACCATTGAAAGTTCTGATTAAAATCAATTCAAATTTAGTACATGCTGATAAATGATAGAGTGCATGCAACGTGTAATAGACAAAATTTTGATTAAATTCTATTATTCAAAATGTTACACCAAAATAATTTTAATTTTTAGAATTACATAGTAAAAAGAAAGCAAGTTCACATCTACAAAATCAAACGAGCACTATCACCTAACAATTAAAAAATATTATTCTAAATAATACAAATCCAAAACTGGGAATTATATCACTTGTTTTCATCTCAAACATGTTTTTGTTTTGATTGGGGTCCATGAGAAAAAGGGGGCGTGGCGGTGGGGCGATCGTTGTGACGTCACGTCCGACATTGTGTCAAGTGTGTCAAGTGAGTAGAACAACAAAAATACTCGAGAACGAGTGCCATAATACCCTTGTTTTAGGCGAATTGAACTCGAGCGAGGTCTGTCGGTGGAAGAGTGGCCGAAATTCTTCCGGGTCGACGGTTTTCTCGGCCGCTTCCCGCCAATTCCACGCAGAATCGGCGCGCCAAGGGTCCAGAAGCAAGAACAAGAGTTAGCGAGCGAATGTAGGTCTTGGCATGTCCGTGTACGAGAGCAGATGTATAACGGGGGGTGGATTTTGCAGAGACGATGACTTCGGCGAGCAGTGGGCAGACAACGGAGCGAGCGGCCGGCAGGTGCAGTCCGTGCTTTTCGCAGGAGGGCGTCGCCACCTGACCCGACGACGACCACCTTCCTCCTGCTGCGGCCGACGTCGTCGCCGACGACGACGGCTGCAGACCGACGCCACCCGTCAGCAATAAAAAGAACAAAAAGATGAGCGCAGAGGAGGAAGCTGAGCTTCAGCAAAGAGCCCTCGAAGAGCGCCAGTCGATCGTCCGCAGGTACAAGATCGGCCGCTCAACCCACTCCAACATCGACCCCTGGGAAGACCCAGACTTCGAGCTCTACTCCGTCAAGGATAAATATGGATTCCTCCAGTACTGATTAAATTTCTTTACACTTTGACATGTTTATTACAATTTTTACGGTTTTAGTCAAAAAACACTGCCAAAGGTCAAGGACGCGAATGAAAAGAAGCAGGCGCATGTCCAGGTGGAGCGCGAGAAAAAGTGGAATAAAATGACCAGTGGTTATAACTGGAAGCAATTTAGGACGTCTGATAAGTTACGTAAGAGGATTTTCAAGGGCATTCCGGAAAGTTTCCGCTCCAGGGTGTGGGGCCTGCTGCTCAACCTGGACAGTCTCAAGCAGGAGCAGAAGGGAAAATATGAGGTTAGTTCTTTTTCTGGAAAAAAATTAATCTATCAAAAAAATCCTTTCACCTGGAAGAAAATTCCAAATTTTTGAATAATTTCATTCTTTTTTAATTTCTTGAGAATTGCGCCCATGCGAATATAAATCAAAACTCACCTTCAACTCGCAACTGATCATAACTCGAATTTGAGATATTTTAGATGCCTTCAGTTTAAATCAGTTTTAAATTTTTTCAATCTCTTTAAAAAGAAACTTTTTAAGGACATAAAAAAATCACTCCTAATGAACGTCAGCTAAATTTTGGCAATTTTTTTTCATTTCAATTTACACTAAAATATTTCTTGGATGATTTTCAACATGTTTTATTCAAATTTGTTTTAATAGGAAATGCGGGAATTGGCCCACCAATGGTCACCCGACATCAGGCAGATTGACCTGGATGTGAACCGGACATATCGAGACCATGTTGACTTTCGGGAGCGGTACAGCGACCGGCAGAAGTCTTTGTTCAACGTTCTTGGCGCATACAGCATGTACAACCTTGAAATTGGCTACTGTCAGGGTATGTCTCAAATCGTGGCGCTGCTGCTCATGTACTTGGACGAGGAAGAGTCCTTTTGGGCCCTCAGCGTCCTTGTCTCCGACCAAAGATTCGCCATGCACGGTTCGTCAAAAAACCCAAGTTTAAAAATAAGAAAATCTTAATTTGTGTTTGAACAGGATTTTTTATTCCTGGCTTTCCAAAGCTGCTGCGGTATCAGGAACATCATGACAAAATTATGAAAAAATTCCTGCCCAAGCTGAAGCGCCACCTAGACAAAAACGGGGTCGACACTGGCATTTACACCCTCAAGTGGTTCTTCCAGTGCTTCTTGGATCGAGTAATTTCTTTGAAATAAATTTGATTTTTGAATTAATGAGGAATTTCAAAGATACCCTTTTCACTGACGCTGCGAGTTTGGGACGTGTACATGCTGGAGGGCGAACGAGTGCTGACGGCCATGGCCTACACCCTGCTAAAGATGCACAGAAAAACGCTGCTCAAACTTGGCATGGACGAAATCCTGCAGTTCCTACAAGTACCACTATTATTCTAATTTTTTAGAATAACTTTGATGTTTGAAATTTTCAAAGGTTCGACTGGAGCATGAGTTTGGTTTTGACGACGACACGGTGATGTTGAACCTGAAGGAGTGCTTAGACGAGTTGAAGAAAGGCAAACTGGATTTCGCCGGCAGTCCACCTAGTCATGAGTTGCCTCAGAAACCATTCGGACTCTTTCACCCGCCTCCCATTCAGCAACAGGTGAGTTTGTAATTAAACCACCTGTGGAAACGGTGACGTTAAAGGAATTATCAAGTGACCCCCATAGGAATTATAACGTTTCATGAATTTAAAATTAGACCAAGCAAACAACTGCTTTTATCAGTCTCACAAATTTGCTTACATGAACTCTAAAGTGATAAAAAAAAACTGCACTTAATTAAACTGCAACCACAAGCAATTAACAAACGAGGAAAACTATTTTTAATTAAAAATACAATGTAAACAGATAAGTAAACAGGAAAGGTATATTTATTTCAATTATATGGAAGTCGTCATTATTTTTATCACTTCTCCTTAAATAAATATGAGCTGTTACTGAAATTTTCTACTCGTTTTTGTTTAATTGAATTAAAAAAAACCTGTTTCAGCTACAAGGATTTCAAATTTTTCACTTTTGATCTTGAAATATTCTTTCTGCGTACTGATACAGGTTGGTCGTCGAACCGACTTCAGCAGGGTGGAGGCAGCAGCGCGTGATAATGTGATTTCGAGGCGCGATGCTGCCATTGCCGAGGCTGCAGCCGCCCCTGAGTCTCCAACGTCTGGTGACGAGCGGCACGGCTCGCGAGCATCCGCAGATGAAGGTGCTAATTTTCTCAATTACTTATCCTCTGGTGTTAATTTTGGTTAAATTCTTCAGCAGGTTCGGCGAACTACTCTTTCGAACCGGAGGAGACAAGTTCGGTGCTGGGGTCACGGCGGTCGCTGGCCGAGACGAGCGTGACCTCAACGGCCGACCTGTCTGTCTTCTCAAATGCCACCACGGCTGGTGGCTCAGCGTCCAGGGCGTCTCAGGACAACTGCTCAGTCACCTCTGAGCATGCTGTTGCGCCCAAAACACACAGGCGCCTCCCGTCGGCCGACTCGGTCACACATTTCGGGTCGGGTCGATCCACGCCCAAGGCTTCCCTTTCTGGTGACCACCTCCACCCCTCTACAATAGGTGAAATTTTAAATTTTTTTTGTTTTTTTATTATGAAGTTTTTTTTCTTTGCTTCATAATAAATCATAATTTATGTAGAGTCATGCTTGCTAGAAAAATTTATTAATTCCATTTCATTATTGAAGATCATATAATAATTTAAAGGTTTCATTAGGTTTTATGTTATTAATTTTGTTAGTACATTAACAATTAACACTAAATCTCAAGATTTATTTAACTTTAATATTATCGCGTTATTGATACATCCATATTATGTCTAAATTGTGTTTAACTTTAAAAATCTACGAGAATTGTTGATAAGTTGATTATAGAATTTAAAATCTATTTTCCACTGTGGATTTTTTTATTAAAATTTTTGTTTTATAGAAGAAGAAAATACTTCTCAACTCTACTCGTTTTATCCACAGCCTTAACTGACGATCTTTATGTCAAGCAATTAAAAACTTTAAAAAATTACATAATATAATATATATTCAATCATCAAATTGTAGTCTTGAGTATCCCCACCTTTTATTTTCTTTATTCGTAAAAAAAAAGTTTGAAATGGAATTTGCACGAATTTTGGGTTTGCCTGAGAAATTGCATGACTAGTGTTGAAAAATTATGAGTGTTGTTGGATTGCGCTGCTAGTTCCAGGTCATGCCCATCAGGATTTGACCGGACTAGTAGACTTCCTGAGAAATGTAAATTATAGAGAAACGGTTGTGTGGTAAGAGCCTTCATTATTTCCACCTTTCCACAGTTCACTATTTGTATAAAATTTGCAGACCGTAGAAAAAAACACTGCCAAACTTTTTCAGTATGTAACTTTGAAAGATTCTAAAAATACGTTGTTTGCAAAACTGGACTGATTGTTAATTTCAGAGTCCCTGCGGAAGGCAACAGAGAGCGGTTCGCGACACTCGCCAACCATGACCCGACGATTGTCAGCCCATGAAAATGGTAGCGTCTCGCTGCGCTCATCCCCGAGACCGTCCAGGGGTAGCTCGAAGGACGTGGTGCGCATCTTTGTGCCGGCGCCGCAGAACGGTGAATTGGCGCCGGTGCCGCCTCCGCCGCCCCCGCGGCAACTCATCCTCAAGACGGGTGACCCGAACAAGATCAAAATCAAGGTGCCGGACCCTTTGGAGGACCGGACACCGCTGGTCGAACACGGCCGGCTGGTCATCAGCCCCTCAAACGGCGTTTCCCCTCCCCTCTTGCAATAACCGATTGCTTCAGCCAACCATTCCCTGGCGTCGTTCTATCAGCAAGTGATAATTAGTTTGTAGCTCGTTAGCAATTAATCGAATCTTTTTGTTCGCCGTGACTATTTTTAATCATGCATTTGACGGTGAGAGAATGGGTGTGATACATTTACGAAAAAGAGAATCCAGATATAATATCTCCAGCAGCTTTGAGACTCTTTTAAAATCGGTCTATAAAATTAATGATTGCCAACTGCCAACTTTGTTTCAAAAAGTTGAATTCTAGGTTTAAGCATAGATGGCTAAAAAGACTCGGACTTTTTCTTCCATCGTTTTATGGTTGCCATTTTTTTATACATAAAATAGCACTTAAAACCTTACTATGGATGCCTGTAATTCTCTTAGTTTTTACCTCAAATGGAATTCTTGTGCGTAGTTCTAATTATTTCAATGAAACTTTAAACATTTCCGATTCTCTTTAATCGGCCTATTAATTATAAATATCCAGTCTCATTGCTGCAAGCCAACACATTCCAATTGCAAGTGATTGTTAAAAATGATATTTGCGCATGTAGAAAGATAATTCTTGAAATTAGTCGAGATTAATAAAAATTGACCCTGATTCTTCTGCCCGTTGTGATTTGCAACCTGCTCTTGTGTATAAAAATAATAACAAGACGTGTACTTGTAAATAGGAATAAATAGATTTGATTCGCCGCGTAATAAAACGAACAGCTGCTGTAACACGAATAATAAAATGAAAGGAGTGAATTTGAACTAAAAATCCAATGTGACACACACTTGTAATAATAATAACATGACTATTTATTTTTCATTACTGCGCCTATATTAGGCCTCGTAGTTGGTGAAACAGTGCGGTTGTTGCTGGAGCATTCCAATCACAATTCCTCTCTTATCTCTCTATGGCAAAACACTCGCTCGACACTGATATAGAAAAGAAAAGTTTAAATATTTTGCTGGCATATAATGAACACCCCACAAATTCATGTATATATTGAGACAAGAAATTCAAAATTTATCAACTGTAATTAATAACTATTTACTAGAAAATTAGTCTAGAAAACGGAGGTATTTTGAGCACGACTCCATAATAATAAAAAAATGAATGGTTCCAACCCTTGGCATTATCCAGAGCTTAATTTTTGTTTCTGATTGTAAATTGTGTTGTAGCGTCAGCACTGAAAGGACACTTTGGAGTGCTGCAAAGACAAAATTCTGTACCTACTTATCATTTATTTGTAGCTTTAATTAACACTACTTATTGGTGTTTTAATTATTATTTATTTTATTCTCGTCAGCCATGTTAATTTACAATATTTTTTGTATTTAAAATGAAATTGTGTTATGAACTTCAAAAATTGTTTATGTTGGAATTAAATTTTGAATAAAACTAAAAAAATAAATTTTGGCTTTTTAATCATTTTTACTGATAATTCTTGTATTGAGAAGGAAGTTTTATGGTAGACAACAAATTCGTAGACATAGCCTTTAGCTTAACATTAATCAATATCTCACATTAGTGTAATGGTGCTTAAAGTTAGTACAACCTATCAAAAAGTCAATTTTCCTAAACTTGCTAGCTTTCAAACAAATTACAAACTGAAAACAATTATCACCTTTTTAGCAGAAGCATGATTGAAGTTAGTGTGTTGGGCACGTGTTGTTTTCTTACCTATTGTGTATTTTTTATTATTGGTTGATATACGTTTTGAGTTGTATTCCTAGTGAAATCTACTTTGTGATATTTATGCTTTCTGTTCCTTTATATTGATGCTAAAGACATAAGGTAGTCAGTAATTTGGTGGAACTCTCTGGTAGACAAAAAGTTTGCAACTTCAGATAAGAAGCACAATTAACAATGGTAAATTTGCAAGTTTGCAAAACTTAATCAAAAAATTATTAATCAATTGCTACTTTTTCAGCTAAAAATCAAATATTTTCTTTCTCGATCACAAATTCAATTAGTTCTGGTGCCTTGGATAGAATTTCCCAGGTTAAAAAAAAATCCATTTTAAAAGGAGCAAATTTTTTGAAAAGAAATTTATCGCTTAAAATTTCAATTAAATCGAATGATATTAAGGAATTAAATTAAATTTCACAAATTACCACCACCTTTTAGTTGAGATTATCGAGGGGCTATTTCATTCAAAAGCTCCTCACTTAGGAAAAAATACTTGGTCTCGTCGTTGTCCAAAAAAGTCCCTCTGTTGATTTTTTGGACTTTTCTGCAAATACAAAATTGGAAACGCGTTCGTTCTACAAAACAGCGTCTGCTTCGAGCAGGACGATATCAAATTTCCGTTTTCCTTCTGTTGTCATAGAGCAAATTTAAGGGTTGGCAAAGTTGATCTCGTAGGGCGGTTGTCCCCCTTCGACCATCCACACAGAGCCGCTCACTGCTCTCTGCAAAACCGTCACCAACGCCCGCGCCACGTGATCTGGCCTGTAAAATTTCCAAGTTAAAAAATCGTTTTATTGAAAAAATTCTTCATTATTTTATACTTTTGGTAAATGGAGTTGGCGGTGTCTCTCTGCCAGGCGGGTTCAAAACTCGCGTGTAGAAGCTGCTTCCTGATGTCGCTGATGATGCCAGTGCTGGTGGCGCCTGGACAAAGGGCCACAACTCGCACCCCTGTCTGCTCCACGTGGAACGGGTCCTGAATTCAAAAAAATATTTAATAAATTTATTTATTTTTTAGATTTTTGACAGTTTTGATAATATGCAATTTATTTTAATAAGCAAATGTTTAAATCTCTTTAATAAAAAGATAATTATTTTCCAATTTTTTTTTGTACTTATAACAACTTATAAAAGGTCTTTATAATGTTGAAACTTGTATCAATGATAACTGGAATTTAATATAATTTTGGATTTATGGGATTTATTAATTTTACTAATATTTCCCCCTTTGATCAACTCACCCCAAATGAGCGCGTGAATCCAAGCACTGCATGCTTGGTGGCCGAGTAGATGGGCGCTGACACGTACGGCCGCATCGACGTGTTGGAACCGACGTTGACGATGGTGCCGCCCTTGCCGCCACGGTCCTTGCCCATGAACCGCATCCCTAGTAGTGTGCCGCGAATCACCCCGTTCTAATGAAAATTCAGAAATAATAATACAATTAAAAAATAAAAATAATATATTGAATTTTACCAAATTTGTGTCAACCTCGAGCTCCCAAAAGCGGTCATTCATAATTCCAGCATTGTTGACAACAATGTCAATTGGGCCCAAAGCAGAGGTTGTCTCTTGAAACGCCTCTGAAGACAAAAAAGTATGATATTCAATACTAAAAAATTGTTATTTAACATTAAAATAATAAAATATTAATTTTTTATTATTAAAAGCGCATAAATGATTTGCAGTAATGTGTTTAAATTATTTTATCATATATTTTTTAACTTTTTTTGATGCTGTAAAATTTATGGAGTCAACATCGATCCTATCTACACGGCTCAAAAATGTTGAGACTGTTGTTTTAAAGAATCAATACAAATTCTGCAGCAGATCTGCAGAAGTAAAAGTGACAAAAATCAATTTTTTTTTACCTTCCGACTGAGGGTAATCTGTGACATCACATGGACAGAAAATTACTGATTTGTTGAATTTCTGTCCTAGTTCTTGGGCCAAAGTGTCTCCGTTTGATGAGTTAACGTCGCAAATTGAAACCTGCAAAATGAAAATCACGGAAAATGATAAAAACAGATAATATATTTGGAGATTTATAATTTTTATAACCGCTGTTTTTCCTAAAATTATAAATAAATATTTGATCACTTTTTCCTGAATAAAATTTGAAAAAAAAAACATGATAAACATAAAAATGCCTAGGAATAAATTCTTGATCTTATGCGCGCATACAATGAATGCTCTCTCTGCTAACGCAAAATAAAAGAATTCTACTTGCTGCGAAATTGCGAATCAAAAATTTTTCCAATATGTAAGTCATTTCCACAATCTCACATAATTATATAAAAAAATTAGAATTAAAATAAATCAAAAAATTTGAAACGCGATAGAGGAGTTCATTCGAGAAAGACACCTTGCAGCCAAGTTTGAGGAGCTCCTCGACGCACGCCTTGCCGATTCCGGCGGCGCCTCCCGTGATCAGGGCCACCTTGCCTCGCAGATCCATCACTCGTCGCTGTGGTCCAGGAAAGATTCGGGCGCCTAACAGCACCGGACGGCCATCGACGGACCAACAAGACACGAAAGTTGCAGTGCCGAGCTGCAGAGCCTAACGGAGAGGGGTGCGGTCTGAGTTGAGTGTTGGTGCTGCGCGGTGACAACCAAAGTTTATGCAACTCCGCACCTGACATGCGCGACCGGTTGCATACCCAGCGACGCAGACAAATGAAAGGAGCGAATGTGGAGCCTAGCTAGATCTGAAGCTACATACAACAGTTTTTTCAATATTTCGGTTTTAAATATTGATTTTTTTTTATTAAAACGACACATCAGTTGGCTGATATTTTGATCGTTTTATTTTTCATACATTTCACAAATGCTAAATCAAAACACAGAATCAAGGAAGTGATAAATGAAGGTGCGTTTTGAAAAAAGAAAATACAGATTTTCACTTGAAATAATTACAATGCAATAATGGCATCCAGCTGCAATTTAATGCAGTTTTTTTTCAAAATAAAAAATAATGAAAATGTTTCTTTACTCTTAATTGAAATTTTTCATTTAATCAAGGAAACTCGAAGCTTATGCTGTAAATATTACAGGGTAAATCTCCGTGCAATTTTATTTGCCATATACACGATTATTTTCTCGTTATTATTATTTTTTCTTCAAATATTCATATCTTCCTCACAACTTCGATTTGCAGTAATTGGCATAACTCATTCTAGAAATATATACCAAATAAGATTTTTTCAACTTTCAACACATATGGTTGATTGATAAAACATTTTTCCCGAGTTCAGTTCATCCTGAAAAGGTCACCAGCTGAGGGCAGAGGAGCCAACGACCCCGTCGTTTCAGCATTCATCTCAGGCAGATTCTGCAGGTGTGATTTGAGCTCCTCCTTCACCTGCTGCACCTTGGCCAACTTTTCGATGTACTCCTGCATTAAGAGTTTGTAAGAAATTTGGAAGTTTTAATTTTGAGAAACATACCACATGTCGCTCCTCAGCCTGCAACAAAAGCTCCTTTTGGGCGTGCAGAAAATCGTGCAACATCGACTTCAATTTTTTTCGGTCCTCCATTTCAGCTGCCAGCCGTGCATTGTAGTCGTTTAGCAAACTTAAAGCCTCGCCTACCCTCTGAATTAGCTGCTGCGCCTCGTCTTTGTCTGAAAAGGTGGATTGCAGACAAAATTTAAAGTTTAGTTAAAGCAGAATCAACAAAATTTCAAAATAAATCCAACCAAATAAAACGAACATTGTTGCTTTTTTTATACAAACTAGTAATATTTCTGGTATTTATATGACTTAAATTAAAAAAATTTAATCCCTACCTCTGAGCTTGCTTAGGAGGTCCACCCTGGAAACCTCAGGAGGCAAGTTGGCAATTTTCTCTCTCACAGCTGCGTCACTCGAAGCTGATCTCTCTAAATCCTGAGACAAATTTTGATAATTTCAGCCAAATCTTGGTTCAGAATTTTATTACCAGCAGAGCTTTGACTAGTTCCTCGGGCTCAGGAGGATCGCCTGGTGGGTTGTGTGCCGGAGATAGGATGATGTGTGATTCAGTTTTGCCGTCGACCTCGACCACTGTTTCCGAGTGTCGCCGCTCCTTTTCCTTAACTTCCATAGGCTTACTCTCTGTCTTGGCCTTTTTTGGTGCTGGTCCAGCACCGTTCTCCACAGCTTTTGAACTCAGAGCTTAATTCAAATGTTAATAATTAAATTATATAACAAAAAAAGAAAAAAAATTTATTTAAAAATCTGATTCTCATAATGATTTGAAAGAGAACCTTCCAAACACAAAAGTTTTGAACCAAAATTTGTTGAACAAATTTCAAAAGTTAACAAATTAAAATTTTAAATAATAATTTGAGGCAATTCTTTTAAAACACACCTATGAAATTTCTCCATTCCTTTATGAGTTTGTGCTCGTAGACGCCTCGGTCTTCCCAGACTTTGAGAATTTTCAGTAAACCCTGTTTGGTCTTGTCGTCGGTGGAGGCTGCCGAGCCCAGGTGCTCAAAGGCTCTGGTCAGGGTGCTGCGGTACTCGTCGCCAAACTCTGGCCCCTTCTTCTTGCTGTTCTGAATCACGTCGTTGGCCAGGTACATAAACGTCAGCTTCTGCTGCTCCTTGGCTGCAAAATTAATTCCTTTGTAGAGATAAATTTAATTTGGCAAATCAAAGTCAAACCTTTGACGAGCTCCCGCATCCACACTTTAACAATGACCGAGTGGTGCTTCCTGTGGTGGATCAGCCACAAAGACAGGGTCTGAATACTTTGCTGCGACGGGTTCAACTCGGTCAGCTTCTTCACCAGCGCGTTTTCCGTGAAGCCCGTCATCTCTGGCGATTTCTTTAAGTGGAAAAATGCACTTTTTAGAAAACATAAACAAATGAGAAGCACGCGGATATTTACTTGTTATTTAAGGAAACAATCCACCTTTTGGATGCCGAATTGGCGCAAAGTTCATTCGCTTGGCAGAAGAACAATCCAAAAGTAAGAGAAAACTCTTCAAAAGTCGTAAATTATTGTTAATTTATCGGTGGTATAAGAATGTGATTTCAAATTGTCGGTGTTTTTCTCAACACATGATCTCCTGTCGCTTCCGTTTGGCGATCGCAGCGCCAATCGAAGGAAACCATTTGCAAAGTTAGGCTGTCCGCTCGACATTGCTACTTACCCGGTTGCATACCTTTGAATTTAGCAGGCGATTGAAATAAAAATTAAACTCTGGTGTCTTACATGATTATCTCATTCTCTCGATTTATTATGTTAAATCCTCCGCGTGCGAAATTGACATCGAGAAGTTAAAGTTTTGCTTTTAGAAGTAGAACATTATTATTGACTGCACACAACATGACACATGTTTTGTAAGAAAAGATCTCTTCCAATAGAGATCAGAGAATTAAGTTTTAACTAAAAAAATATTCAATAAAATACAGACCCTATTTTATCATGTAAGAATAGAACATCAATTGCGTTAAGTAAGTATATTATTTACAGGTCTGTGTGTGAGTGAAGGATAGCAAAATTACCACAGCTTTTATTTTGTCATTGACTAATTAGACTCGGATTGAGACTTTGATTAGGACGAGTCGCCACTGAGCAAGTGTTGCTCCTCGATGTTTCCGTTGACTATTTCCACCGTGATCTCCTCATTATCATCTACCTCAAAAGACTGCATGCCTCTGAAGATTTAAAATTAAAATAAGTGTTCAATTAAAACTTAAAAAATCAAAATTATCAAACCTATATGGCTGAGAACAATCATCTATGTTGCGCTTCCTGATTAGCCGCCTGGTCGCAATTATCCCGGTGCCGCCTATTATGACGATGGCAAGACTCACGCATACAACTAAAAAATATAAAAAATCTTTGAAGTGGAGATCTCATAAAGTGGCAATTAGTGGACATTCAATGTAGTTGAAAGCAACAAAAGCTAACAGAAGCAACAATCAATCAAAAAGGCAAAAGTTTGGGTCTCAAATCTATATCTTATAATCTAAGCGTTCTATTACCTTTAAATGTTAATGCTGTTAATAAAAGACAAAAATTTTGGTATTTTTAAAAATAAATTATTCCTTCTTCGAACGCAAGGAAATTGTTATAAAACTTTAAAAAGAAGCAAAAAAAGCTTACACACAGCTCTGGGACATGCAATTCTTACACGTGATCAGCAAAGAAGAGAGGCTGGGCGAGATGTGGTGCACCCTGAGCATCTGCAGCGTTTCTGCGCTCAGGGTGCCATTGGTGGTTTGCTGCGGCAGCTTGAGCATTTCCGTCCACAGCGAGAACAGGTCTATCGAGTGGATCTGCGGGATGGTGAAGTCTTCTCGTATGCTCGGCCCGAAGGCCACAAAAAATGGCTGCATGCTTCGCAGCAGGTTGTCGTAGCCGTGCAAGCCGTACTTGTGGTTCACCGTGGCTGCTCAGAATCAAACATAAAAAATTAATTTTTTTTCTTGAGGCATTATTTTAAAAAATAAAAATAAAAAGGTTGAAAACTTTGTTTGAAGTTTGAAACTACAAAAGAACGTAATAATAAAAAATATATACAAAACCACGTGCTTTTTTTAACTTACGCGTAAAATTATACTTCTTGCCGTACTCGACGATAGACTCCCGCAGGTCATCAAAAGCGTAGCCCTCGTTGGCCACCAACAATATGGGAGGCGCACGCCTGCAGTTGGTCACCTTCCAGTGACTTGGAATATTATCATTTGTGAACACTTGGAAGGTTTTGTACTGGTGCGCCGCCCACTCAAACTGAAGCAACAAAGTGTGTTGCTGGCCTTTTAGGAGACATTTTTCAATTAATTTAATTAAAGTTAAAAAGAGTATTAGTACCAGGGTGTGGGAAAATGTGCACCACAGGTGACGTTCCAACCCTGAGGTAAGTGGAATTGTCGGTGAATTCGTTGAGATCAATTATTCGGTGGACGTCAGTCTCAGTCATCCCGTGATCACTAAGGACGAATGTGTTAACTGCCTCAGTGAGATTGTGCCTCTCCAATTGGTCGACCAAATAACCAATGTATCTGTTTAAAAAAAAAAGAAATCAGCTAGATTTTTTAGAAATAAAAAAATAAGTATTTAGAAAAACGATTTGCATCAAAAATAAAAATTAGGAAATTAAAAATTTGAGGACCTGTCGACATTCTTGATCTGCTCAGTGACCTCTGCAGATTCAGACCCAAAAGCGTGGGCATGCGTGTCCGGCTCCTCCATGTACAGCATGACCAAATTAGCAGGGTTGTGGGGGTGTGTGAGCCAGGACATGACCATGTCCACTCGCTGCTGCCACGTCCACCTGGGATCCCATTTCTGAATGAAGGTTGGCAGAACAGCCTTGTGGTAGCTGAATTCGCTGCCCGGCCACATCATCACGCCACTGTTCCGATCCACTCCGGACATTTCGTTCAAAGTCTGTCAAGAGATTTTTTTTTAATTTTCTCTAAAAAATTATATGGAATATTTTTACCCATATAGGCATGATTTGGTCGTTGTATTGCCACAGCTCGATGCTGTAGTTGACGGTGCGGTTATAGTTGGGGTCAAAGACGTGGTTGGCGAGCACTCCGTGGCTTTCAGGGTAGAGCCCGGTGGCCAGCGACTGATGGTTTGGAAAGGTTTTGGTTTCAAAAACGTTCATTATGTCGCCGTGGGAACCGCGCCGCTTCAACCGGTCGAAATTTGGCGATGACACACGGTCAAAGTAGTCGTGCCGAAAACCATCAAAGGACACGATCAGCACGGCAGGGTCGGTCGTCAGCACTGGCAAGATCAGACACGAAAGGACGAGGAAGGCCCAGCACGTCATAATCGGGCAATTAAAGGCAAGAATTTACCGAAAAATTATTTGTTTTAAGTCATTATTCCGAAAATGTAATCTTATTTCGTGTCTGGCTGCGTTTTGGTAAAATGAAGCGCTGAAAACTCCAGAATTTGCGCCGCAAAAGAGAAAATTTGCTGACTTTTGTTTACGAAACTTCAAAATCATATGGGTTTTAATGAGTTTATGCCCTTTAAAATGGGATGTATGAAAAGGAGTTATAATTAATCAATAAATGAGAGTAAATTTATAAATTTAAAAAATTTGAATTATTTTAAACTTTCAATTAATCAATATAATTTAATTTAAATCAATAAAAATTTTAAATTAATAAATCCTAAATATATATTTTAGGTAATAGACTTAAAAAGTATCGTAAATCCTCTCTACACTACCCATTGAATTTTACATTTTGCTACTGCAGCGCTCTCTGTTTTGCCCAATGACAGGTTCGGATCATTTTCGTTTCTCTTTGTTTTGCTTCGCCCGATCGCAAATCAGATTAAAAATTTTTCCATTGCCACCGCGTCAAGCAGCACTTCGAAGCGACTCGTGGTTCGGCGCCGGACGACTTGTGTTCCTCTCGGCCGCTCTTCTCTTCGTTCTCGACGTGACCGCTGCCCCTGCAGACGAACAAAAAACGATGGCCGCTAGTCCCGTTGTCATCGCAGCCTCGGCCAAGCACACGGCCACAGTATGTATATTTTTTTATTATGCACGAATTTTCGTGTTCTTTATACTCTTCGCCCTCAAGCATGTGATTGATTATACTTCAAAAATGCAACTCTGTCATATATCTCTATTATTAGAGAGGCTGATCGATTTTCTTCTCTTTTTCCAGGTCATTTTCCTCCACGGACTGGGAGACACGGGGTAATTAAATATTCCATTATTTCCGACTCATTACATAATTAATGTACATGAGCACGACTCGAAAGCCTCTCTTTAGATCTACTTTTATTATTAATTTACATAAAACTTTGATTATATAATATTTTATCAAATTGCAGTCACGGATGGGCCAGTGCAATGGCAGCAGTCAGACCGCCCCATGTCAAAGTCATCTGTCCCACTGCGTAAGGACCTTCCAAAAAATTGTGATTAAATTTGAATTTTTTTAATTTTGCAGACCAACCATGCCAGTCACTTTGAATGCTGGTTTCAAGATGCCTTCGTGGTAATTTAATCAATCTTAATATTGAAATCAAAATCTTCATTTCTGTCGTGAATAAAAGGTTTGACCTTCGTTCATTGGACGCCAATGGCCCTGAGGATGAAGATGGCATTAAAAAGGCCTGTGACATGGTTCATAAAATGATAGACGAAGAGCTCAAGGAGGGAATCTCCTCAGAGCGTATCGTCATTGGTGGCTTCTCTCAGGTTCACAAAATTTTATTTTTCTTTTTTTTTTAATATGTGTGAGGCAAAATTTAAGCCTTGAGACAGAGTTGGAAAATTTTATTATTTTCATTGTATTATTAAATTAATTTTAATTTGAAGAAATTGAATGTTTAAAAAATGTAACAATTTGAGCTCAAAACTAATTTAGTTTTATCTAAAGGGTGGAGCCCTGGCTCTGTACTCTGCCCTGAAGTACAATAAAACATTGGGTGGCGTTATGGCTCTTTCTTGCTGGCTGCCCATGCACCGTCAATTTCCTGCTGTAAGTTATTTCTGTTGTTAAAATCAGCCTAGTTAAAAAAAAAAATATTGATCAAAGGCTGCCTGCGGCAACTTGGACATTCCGTACTTGCAATGCCACGGAGACTGTGATCCGGTCGTGCCCTACAAGTGGGGCCAGGCCACGGCCACACTGCTCAAGCAGTTCTTAAAGAAGGCCGAGTTCAAAACCTACCGCGGCATGATGCACAGCTCTTCCGATGAGGTATAAGATTTTTATTTAAGAATATAATGAATTAAAAATTCATATTATTTTATTTTGTTTTTTTGAAATGGCATAAAATTTTTGAAAACCATGGTTTTTAATTCTACACAAGTATTTGTGGACTAAAGACTGATTTTCTTGATTTTTTTTTTTTCAGGAAATGCGAGACCTGAAGAAATTTGCAGAAGCAAACCTTCCGCCGAATTAATGGAAACAGTGCAGATCAGTTTTATTTTAAAAAGGTTGACCCACCCCGACACCCCTTCGGCAGGTCCCAATGGGCACGTTGTTCACTTGCCATGTCCAATTTAAATTATGTGTTGATGAATTCAAACAAGTAATTAGCTCGTAAGTTTCAGACATTTTGAATCAATTCAATCAAAATGGTAAAATTCTAAAGGAACTCATTCTCAGTCATTGATCATGAGGTAATATCCAACTTAGTCTAGCAAGAGGAATTTCAAGAACTAACATACTGTAGTTATGTTGCAAATGTGTAATATTTACATTGAAGTCTTAACCTTAGTTTTAAGGGATAATTCACTTCATACTTTGTTTTTCAATTTTAGGCATTGCAACTTAAAAGGAGGCATTTTTTAGCAATTTAAATGATAAAAGAAAAAGTCAATTGGAAAACTGCTCTACTTTGTCACCTTATTTGTTATTCAGTTGTATTCAAAAATATAAACCAAAAATTTTCCGCTTACGACTCTTGTCTCATTCCAATAAAATACAAATCGAACTGTTATTTTGTTTCAAGTTATTATTATTTTAATTAAACAAATTTTTTAATAATTAAAAAAGCATCTTATTGTAAATAAGATTGGGTTTTAAGCAACCAAAGGGAAAGTCCGCTGAGTCTACTCATCCGTACCTGCCACTTTATGTGGCTGTTATTAGTTCAGGTTAATACAATTTTGTAAAACTTTTCAAACTCAAGAAGTGCGGACCTTGACCAAAGGAAAGGAAGTTTAAGTCTGGGTTGTATCAAAGGTCGTCATCATCTGAATCCAAAGCAGCTCTTCGTCTGTCAAACTGGGTGAATATTTTGTAAGAAAATTTTAAGAATTACTTATAAATCCAACTTACGTTGACTGTGCTTTTGGACTTGGTACTGCTGACCTGTTCAAGGATGTTTCGCAGCTGGGCTTCCTCCAACTGACCTTGGATTTGCCCTCTCTGTGCCATTGAGATTAACATTGCCTCCACCTGACGCGCCATGTCCGGCTTAGCTGCCTGCAGTGTGCTCACTGCAAATTATTAGGAAACCTTTAATAAATTACAAATTGAGCGATTAAAAAATTCAAGCAGTTAAGGTCAAATTATTATTGAAGAGAAAACGTAGGATCTGTTTTCCACCTCAAAAGAGCTGCCAATTATGTATGTAGTGCATAAAATTAAAAATTCATAAATAAAAATTTATACATCTTGCTCTTGCATCCTGGCTTAGGATTTGAGAAAGCATTGAGTTTTTCATCTCAGACTGCTGCCTCATACGCTCTTCGGCTTCCTTTGGATTCTGAAAAATAAGAAAAGTTATTAAGTTGAACAGTTGTTGAATAAAAAAATTTTTAAGGAAAACCTACGCCTTGCTCTCCTCGAAGTTGAGCCATTCTCTTGGCACGGATTTCAGCCAGTTCTGCATCGTCCATGCTTAAAGTCCTGCAAAATGTTATAAATTTATCAAAATTTTACCATAATTAATTTTATGCATACTTTTAATCACAGACACGAATTTAAAGATAAATCTGTCAAAATGTGCCTTGTGTGGGTTTGGCTTCGGCAACAAGAAAACAAACGTTGAGAACTGCCAAAACGATAAAGTTAAACTTCGTAAATGAAAAGTTTATTGAAAATATCGGAGTTAATGCCTTACTAGTAATTTTATTTTTCAGAAAAAAAATCAAATTTTGGTTTCATTTCAGTCCATATTTCTAGCATAAAAGCAGGCTAGAAAATAAAAACAAAAAAATATACTGTTGGCACTACTTCGTCATTGCTCCTAGCTCGCCCCTTTCCCTTTCGACGACCACCCTCAATAACACGTGAAATTGTTTTTTCAATTTTTATCTCCAATTTTTTTCGAATTCTCACTCGAATTGCAGACATTTTTAAGGAACTTTAATTTCCTTGGTAGCGCAATAATAATGCCCGTCGCCTGTGGAGATGAACAACAAATTGACGACATCGAAGATCTTATTTCGGCCGTGGAAAACAAATCGAGCAAATCAAAAGTGGAAAATGATGGGGAGGTGAGAATTAATTTCCTATGATTTTAAATTTTACTCAATGTTATTTTAAAAAACATTTCCAGCTGATGGAACTAATGGAACTGCGGCCTAGCGAAGTTCCCTGCAGCCACAGTCACATTCCGGGCACGCAGAAAATATTTTTCAAAACCTGGGGCTGCACCCACAACACCTCTGATAGCGAATACATGGCCGGGCAGTTGAAGGAATACGGATACCAAATAATAGATGAAGGTATTCTTGATAATTTTAATTTTATTGATTAAAAATATAAACACAATTTTTTTTTGTTCATTGTTTAGAAAATAAAGACGAGGCTGATTTATGGATCTTGAACAGTTGCACCGTAAAAACTCCTGCCGAAGATCACCTGAGGTTTTAAATTTGGAACTGCCTAATATGCATCAGCTAAAATTAATCTATTTTAGAAATTACATGAAAATGGCACAGGGGAAGCCTGTGGTTGTTGCTGGTTGCGTTCCTCAGGGTGCTCCTAGGTCCAGTTACTTGAGCAATGTAAGCGCTATCGGAGTCATGCAAATTGACAGGGTTGTCGAAGTGGTGGAAGAAACTTTAAAAGGTATGGATTTTAGGAATTAATTTATTCGTTTTAAAATAGTGTATATTAAAGGAAACACCGTTCGACTCTTTGGACCCAAAAAACGGGGTGGAAAAAAATTAGGTGGTGCCTCTTTGCTTCTGCCGAAAGTGCGGCGGAACCCATTGATTGAAATCATCCCCATCAGCACAGGCTGCCTCAACTCTTGCACCTACTGTAAAACCAAACACGCCCGGGGTGAACTAGGCAGCTACCCTGTTGGTAATTATTTCAACAAACTTGTACTTAATTTAAAGTAACCACTTGACAATTCATTAAACCTTTTTAAAGCTGAAATTGTGGCCAGAGCAAAGCAGGCATTTGAAGAGGGTGTTTGCGAATTGTGGCTGACCTCTGAGGACACTGGTGCATATGGCAGGGATATTGGCACCAACCTGCCAGAACTGTTGTGGGCTGTGATTGACACTATCCCTGACGGCTGCATGCTACGTCTCGGGATGACCAACCCGCCTTACATAGTTGAGCATCTGCCTGAGATGGCCAAAATCCTCAACCACCCAAGAGTCTACAGGTAAATCTCCAATTATCAATGTGTACCAGCAACTGAAATTTGAACAGTTTTTTACATGTGCCCGTCCAATCTGCAAGTGATGGAGTTTTGGCTGATATGAAAAGAGAGTATGTCAGGTCGGATTTTGAAGGACTCGTCGATTTTTTGAGAGAAAAGTAACTAATTACAAAATCAATTCTCGGTTGGGTATGAATTATTTTGTACTTAGGGTTCCCGAAGTGAACATTGTGACGGATATCATTTGTGGGTTTCCTACTGAGAGTGAAGAGGATTTTAAAGAAACTTTAGATTTGTGCAGGAAGTACAAATTTGCCAGCTTGTACATCAACCAGTTTTTCCCTCGTCCTGGCACACCTGCTGGTACAAGCGTAATATTTTCGCATTCCTTTGAATCTTATTTTCTCCTGCAGCCAAAATGGAGAGGGTTCCACCTGCTGAAGTGAAGAAGCGGACGAAGCAACTGACAGATCTTTTCCTGTCCTACGAGCCTTACAGTGGCTGTGAGGGTAAATGCTACAAAGCTCTGGTCACTGAACTCTCCCATGACAGGCAACACTACGTCGCCCACAACAAGAGTTACCACCAAGTAATGAAAAAAATCATAATAAAATTTATTTGTTAAACATATCATTAAACTCTCCTCTTTTAATTTTGCAGATTCTTGTTCCGAAGAGGGCCGACATCCTCGGTAAGACAATCACCGTGAAAATAACCTCGATTAGGAGACACTGCATGATAGCCGAAATCATAGATGTGGATCCAGAGGAAATGGCTGCTGCCAGGTGCAAAGGAACCAAACTATATTTAGCCGAAGAACATAACAATAATATTTCCTTAATCTACCCTATCTCAATGATAGCCCTGGCGGTTGTTTTAAGAATGATTTGGGCTGCTTTGTCTTTGTGAAACAAAAATGGTTTTTTTATTAAAACTAAAATTATAAGTCTAAACAGGCGTCTCTTCTTTTACTTTTTCCATGTTATCATTTCCTTCGGTTTCTTTTTCCTCTTCCAGGTTAACTTTTGCTTCAAATTTATTCACTTCAAATTGTGAAACATCTGCGCCAAGCAATCTCATGAAGTGGATTCTCTCACTTTTAGCAATGTAGACCCTGGCCGAGACTTTTCCTCGCCAGCCAACTAAGTGGAACTCGAGGTCGCCCTCTTGGAATTTTAAAATGCAGCTACCCGACTTAAATTCCTTCAGTTTTTCAAACAAATCGGGGGAGAACTCTTCGATTTTGGGAGGAAGGGTGCCGCTCTCGTTCTCAAGCAGCTTCACCATATCCTCTCTGCCCACGTGGACAATTCGATCCTGAATGAGAGCCTGGATGCTAGGCAGACCCTCCTGAGCCAGTCTGTACTCGCACTTCATTTCCAGGTTGCTGCATCTGGCAAAAACCTTGATCCCGGTGTTGATGATTTTGAGTTTCTCTTGATTCTGTGAGACAATCTCCCTGACTGCTTCATTGGTCATGTATATGTTCTTCTTCTTCCCCTCAAGGGTCCTGGATAGAAGTACAGAAGGGAAAAGATTCGAGTCGATTTTGTAGTAATCTTTTATCGAAGGCCAAGTCTCGTCATCATCGGCCAGGTAGAAGAATGGGTCCTCCTTGAAGCCGAATATTTTCCTCTTCTTCTTTGCTGGCTCCTCCTGCTTGACCTCGGCAGGTTCTGGGTTTTCGGTCACCCTGGTTGCAGACTCCCAGGGAAGAGGTTTGTGCTTCTCAAGGACGGCCACAAAGAAACCACCTGTGTTCTGAAGGTGTGGCAGAATTCGAAGACACCTTTCGAGGTGCAATCCTTTGGCAGCTTCCTCGGAAGGTGGGAATAAGTGGGGCCTCAACTGCGTGTGCATTGACTCAGGGACCTAAACATAAAAAAAAATATGTTCCAAAACATTGAAATAAGCTTTTAAATTCAATAAAATATAAATTACCTTATCAAAAGATTCAAATGCCTCCAAATTCTTGGCCATGGGAGTCCATTTATTAAGTCCAGGGTTGCTTTTAAGTCCTGGCAAGTTAATTTCAGCCAGGGTTAGGGCGCCGTCAGACTCAGAGAGCATCCTGGCAACCACGGCCTCATTCTCTACAGGGTTGAAGGTGCATGTCGAGTAGACGAGTCGTCCGCCAACCTGCAGCATCTCGGCTCCTCGTTTCAGGATGCGGTACTGCATGCCATGGAGATTGTTGCCATTGCCAGGGTGCCACTTGACCCAGCCGTCAGGGTTCTTCCTCAGGGTGCCGTCACCTGAGCAGGGAACGTCGCACAAAATCCGGTCAAACTTCATCACACACTCCTTTCCATCCTAATTAAAGTAAAGAGGCACCAGAAATAATTAAATCATCAATTTGAATAAAAACTTTCAGTCTTAACCTTAACAAGTTGGAAATTAGGCATGGCGGAGGCATCGTGGTTGGTGACCAGCAGACAAGGCGAGCTGAGCCTCTTAGCCTGGTGGACCAACATGTAGCAGCGCTTGTTGTCGGCGTCGTTTGCCACCACCAACCCCGAGGGAAGGGCGAGGCCATCGGCATGCAGTGCCTCAATCAGCTGGGCCGTCTTGGAACCTGGGGCGGCACACATGTCCAGCACCTTGTGGTGAGGCTGCACGTCCAGGGCCAGTGGCGGAATCATGCTGACCACCTCTTGCCGACTAACAAAACCAGCCTCCGTCTCTCCAACCAGGAAGTTGTGCAGCCGAAAGTTGGCCTCTGACCTGCGGATGTCCCTCCGCGTCAGGTTCAGCTGCCACGCCAGCTTCCTCGGGTACCACGGCAGAGCAAAGGCGTCGATTTTGCCCTCTTGCAGCTTCTCCTCAATGCACCTGTGTATTTAAAAGTAAAAATTTGTTGACAATTTTTTAAAATTTAATTATTCACCTTAGGAGGCCGGTTTCCTGGCCTCGACAGCCGGTAATGCGGAAGGCGGCTGGAAGGTCTTCCAGCATGGCTTCCATGAAGCTCCCAAACTCAGACTCAGGGCAAAGGTTCTGCGCCTTGTAATACTGCTCGAAGCCGGCATTGCCCTTGATAATTTCGTTGTAGGATCCTCTTTTTTCTGGATTCGGTGCTTTTTCCGGACGAGCCTTCCGTTTGTGCATCTTGCTTTTCCTGCTGCGACCCATTTTGATGGTGAGGAAGGCGATGGGCCGATAAAGGACTGAAATTTGTCTCAGGGCGGCTTAGTGCTCAGGATTCTCAATTCTTGTTGAATCAAAAATCAAAACAAGACAACGTGGGTGCGTCGACCATGTGTCTGGGGTCTGGGTCGTCTGGGACTGGCGATTGGCGATTCGGCGATTGGAAAACTCGCGCCAAATTCAATACTGGCACGCCCCCGTTGTAGAAGCAGAAGTTTTTGCGAAAAACATAACAAACTATGTTGTCGGTTGCCTTTTCCTCGGCAAAATCTCGGGGTTTCAGGTCCTGACAAAGGTGATTTAATAATTTTTACGTTTCATAAATGCCTTGACTCTTGAATTTTCTATGAACTTTTGAAATTTGTTGTTATTAGCTGTGTTTAAAAAGAATTTTTAAACGTTGTTTTTACTCAACAGGACTTTGATTTTTGACTGCTGATTCGAAACTGTGCGCCGGAAATTATGTTGAGAGTTGAGACTGAAAAAGTGGGCTGTCAACACCCTGACCCCTGAAGCAAAATTACTATTTTCAACATATATATTCAGGTAAATTTATTATACAAAAGTAATCGTAAAAAGCAAGGATAAGACGCCTCATAAATATATATGTATCTTTTTAAAATTCCGACCCCTCTACGAAATATTATACAAATATTTGGCATTATTATACATACCCTGTAATGCCCCTAAATATATAAAATTTGAAGTATTTACTTCTATTCTATTTATATAATAACTGGCTACGTGATACCTACACAAGCATTCTGTATTTTGCATAAATTGTATGAAGCCAAGCAGGAAAAGGAAAATTCAAAAGCTTAAAGTTCTGATCTGAAACTTCCTTATCAAAAATTACATTATTTTTAATGATGTTATTACAAAAAAATTTTGCAAAATATTTAATTTAAACTATAGAGGAGGAACATTAATTGCACGTTTCAATTTAAGAATATTTATAGAAAAGTTAACGCGGATATTTTTGTTATTTGCAAAATTGCAACAAAGTTGCAGCAAGCAAGTATAGGTGAGATGATAAATTGGTTTTCTACGCAATTCAGAGAATGCGTCGCAAAAGAACCAGTTGCAACTTTATAAAGAGGAAAATATAAATCCTCATTAATTCAAATTGCAGCGGGAAATCAACACCCTAGCTGTCAAGTTCCTTCCTCAGAAAAATAGCACATACTGGTACTTCATGTAACAAGAGAGATAAAAAACAATTACTATGAATGACAAGGGGACGAAAATAAAGTTTGCACTGGAATGTCGACACCCCCGATCGACCTTGGCCGACAATTTTAAAAAGTGTCCCCTTTGATAGAGTTGCAGGTCGTTCATTCATTGTCAGTGTCAAGCTTTGAAACAAGAGAGGGAACCGCATCCTCTGGCCGCATAAATCAAACCAGAGTCTGGCCTCAAGGTTATTTATGGGTCGTAAATTGACACAAACTGTTGACGCCTAACGATTACGGAAAGATCATTCTCCCCTATTAATTTAATTCAATTTCACACGTTTTATTGATTCCAAATTATTTTAATATTAATCAATTTTTAATAATTTTTTTTCTACATTATTCAAAATTCAGAACTGAATTCTTGTTATGAATTTCTGGTTATTTATAATAATATTTTAATTGAAAATTAAATACTCGAGAATAATTGCAAAAAGGTTTTGCAACTATTATTATGGGTGCTGCGGTTTGTGTGGTTTTGCAGGTGGAGTTGGTGATAAAAATATTCCCCCTCACATTATTATGCCCTCCCACTTATAATTATCGCAGGCGACAAAAAATTTTATAGCTTATCAGTTTCCATCCAGAGTTTCTCATCAGCTGGACGTCTCTCTTGATTAGGTCTGATTATATATTTTATATACATTATTATTATTTTTTCAATTTCAGAAATCAAAATATTTCTCGTGCTGAAACTATTCAATTAAATTGTTTTTATTCTCGCTCAAGTACTTACTCGAAAGGGATAAAATTTTTGTGTAATGTTTATTAGTGGGTGTAATTATTCTTATTATCTCTTCAAAAGCGACACAATGGCGATTAAGATTGTCACAGTAATGAGGGTTTGGGTGACAATGCAATTCTCACGAAACTGCCATCCTGTGCAACCGGAAGGGAATTTGCGAAAATCGTGATAATTATGATGGTTGGAGTCAAATTTGAAAATTCTCACATCCGTAGCTAATTTAAGGGATTTTTTAAGCTTAGAAATCAGATTATTAAAAAGGATTTGTTTTGAGGTCCAAAGTCTCTCTCTAGAGCAGAATGTGCATCCTTTTACAGAATAAAACGCGCAGACGACGAGAGAAAGAAGAGTGGCTGCTTCCTTTTATGAAAGCTTGTTTTCCGGCAATAATTCGCTGAAAGGCTAGTTTCCCGCTGTTCTCAACAGATTTCAAATCCATCATAAGTAAAGAGAGACCTGAAAACAAATTTTCATTTACTGATCTGTCCTTAAAATAATTTGTATCAAATTTTATCCTTGCGATGAGAGTTAAAAAATTTACATTCTGATGGGTTAAAGGAAATAATTCAATAATTTAAATAAAAATTAAATTTATTAATTCAGTTTTTACCTAACAAATTGATATAAAATTTTTACGAAAATTTAGACGATTTTAAGCATTTTTAAAGTCATATGATAATTTTAGGGAGTAGATTAGTTCAGTAAAACCATTTGAATCAGTTCTTTTTCTTTTACTTATTGAATTAGTAATGAAACTTTTTAATTTAAGTTAACACAACTTTGATTTCGAATAATTTGCTGTTATTTATTTATTTATTTTTTTTTAAACGAGCTTCTACTGGAATTTCATTCAAGTCAATCATGTTTTTCTGAACTTAAAAAAAAAATAAAACTTAAGGCAAAACAACTTTTGACGCCTTTTTTTTAATAAAAGAGCTAATCATAATCTATTCTTTTTCTAATTGATTCGACTCATTACTGCGGCAGGTCATTTGCATTTGTTGGCGTCGACCCTCTATTATTATTGGTCGCCGCTCATTCTCTTCCTCGGCAAGGCCACTCCGCTCGCATTATACCCTTGGCTGAAAACGTGCAGCTTTGTCATGTTTTGCTCCGTGGCTATTATTACTTGAAATTACATTGTGCAGAAAAAACCCGGCAGGTAGACTTGGATTATATTATTTGCTCTCGCTCCTTTTTATCTCCGCTCTTATCGCAAATTGCAGGGTATAAAGAGAGTCATGTTAAGTTGATTCCAATCTCGCAACAAATTACAGATTGTTCGAAGACTTGAATTAAATTTTCAAGTAGAAAATATAATCGTGTGGGAACGGAACAGAGCGATGATTGCAAATTTATTCATTAATTCGTTGAAAATCTTTGTGCAGCTTTTTATATAAGGGCAAGTTAATCGTAACAAGTTTGCACAAGATGAAATTATGGAGTGGTGATAATTTAAAAAAAGCATTGAAACAATTTCAAAGCCAAAATTCGCCATATTACATGAATATTTATCTGTTCTTGAAACAACATTGTGGAAAGATGTTATAGAAAGAAGTAAATTGTCCGTAAATAACTCGTTCTCTAAAACAACGTATAGGAAGAATTTTAATTGGCGGCAAGTGAAAAACAAATTGGCCACTTCAATGGATTTATTTTTAGATGCGCGACTAATTGTGACCACAAAGTCCAGCTGTCAACATTATTGCTGATTCGAAATGGCAATCAGAGCATCCTGCTTGAATGTTTGGCTACGATTTTCATATTATTAGAGAGGATTTGAACTTTCAGAAATTATTGTATTCGTGAATGAAATATGTATTTTTTATTATTATTATTTAAAAGTATAAAAAAGTTTAATACTTAAAAACTTCATGCATCTAGGAACAAAATTCTTGATCGTGTGAATAAAAATCATGTAAAATTTTGATTAATGAAGTGTAATTTATTTAAAACCATTAATTAACTGGAAAAACCACCGGAATTGAATTTTATAAAAATTATTTTTTTTTTCTTTTATTCACTTTTATTTTTAGTAATTAAATTTTGTAACAAAGGGAGAACTACGGAAGGAGGTAAAGTACCTACCAAATAAACTTAGGAAATCCGCAAGATAAGTAAAGTTTGACCTTCGCAATTTATTCTCATCTCACGCTTTTTGTCACTTTTTAATTGCTTCGCGTTGGGTCGAGATTTTTTTGCAGCGACTTTTGCAAGCGTTGATTGATCCGCGCCACCAGACTTTCACTTGTTGAGATTTTTATTGCCAGAACTGATCGAACGCAAGCTATTGCACTACTTGTTGGATTGCAATTTTTGGAGGCGGTTCAAAGAAAACACCTGTCCCGTCGTCAGTCCCGCGAGAGAGAGACAAAGAGGTATTCATGCGCCGGGCGCGCGCGCGAGGACAGAAATAAAACAGACGTGCGCGGTTGACAATTACGTGTGAGTTGCGAAATAAATTTGGTGGCGTGAGTGAGCGAGAGGGACGAAAGAAGCACGTGAATTCGCCTATTGGGGTTTTTCGGGGACAAACCCGTCGACCTTCCTTGCTATGCGGGCACTATGAATGAATCTATCAATCTATAGCCAATGACCCCAATTTGCAATAATTATTTAATATAGAAATTGAAGTAGAGTAAAAATGATAAAATAGAAAAAATGCTTATAAAAATAAAAGTTTAAAGGAGCAAAATTAGTAAAAAAATGATAGCATTCGATTTGGCCTGAATCATTGCAAATACATTTAAAATTTGGTTGAAATTTTTTACTAATTATTATGAAATGAATATTTAAAATGTGAATAAATGAATAATTTGAATGAAATTTTTTATTTTTCTAGCCCAAATAAAAATTAACATCTGCGTTAAATAAGGACAAAAGTGCGTAGAATTAAATGACACTGATTTAAAAAAAATTTATTATGCAAATTCATAAATTTTCCTTTTCCTTGGACTGGTTAACACGTTCTGGGCGCGTGGTTTGGGAATCTTGGCCGGCCTGACCCATCACTGGTAAACACGTTATTCCTGCCTTTGAAAGTTCTCAGGGAAACCCCAGAACAAGCAAATGATTAAAAACGGAGACAAAATTCAACTGAACGTTTGCATGTAGTTGCGACGTGCTATTTAACACATTGAACCTTTTTGTCACGTTTTTCCTTGTTTGACAATGAAATGAAATTGTCTGTTGCAAATTTCTTAGTTATTTAATCAGACGATTACCATTGAATAAGAGACCATAGAAATTTTACCTTGGCTGCAATGAAAATCAAATTATGCAAGTTGCTCGTAATTGCGAATGACATTAATTATTAGTAATGACGGAATCTTCATCACCAATAATAAGTTCAATCTTATGAGATGTTATAACTAATTGGAAAATTATTATTTAGTTCAAAACAGTTCAAAATAATTTCAAAGAATTAGTAGGAAAATTAAAAACGATTATTTTGAAATCGGCGCATTTATAAATGAATATGAGAAATTTTCACAAAAACTTCAATGCTTTGAAATTTTTATTCTATGGGACATATCAATTATTTGTTGATTTTATAAATTCCAATTTTTTTTGTCATTGTTATCGATTAAAAGTTAAATTTATTTGATTTAGTTTTTCAAGAAATTGATTTTTTATTAAATCATTAAATTTTTTTGCAAAATAATTTGATTTGACATTTTTCTGGATTTTGATTTATCTGATATGAATACTTCAACATTCAAACATTCAACTTTTAGATTTCTCAGCTTTTTTTATAAAAACACCTATTATTATAATTCCAAGGTTAAGATGATTTTTTTTTTTCATTTTTGCATTCCAAAACTTTTGAGACTTTTTTAGCTCTACGATTTAATTATTTCTTCTTGGAAAGCGAAAATTGCTCTGTTTTCTTCACATATATGCTAATTAATACGTACGCAGGCGCCTAATTTCGCCTCAGGCCATACCTAATGCAATTTTCGCTCGCGTGACGAAAGTTTGTGCCCGCGAGATAAGGACCCATATTGCGAATTCACCAAACAACAAACACGAAAAGAAGCCCGACGATATAATAAGTAATTACAGGGCTCAACGCACGTCTCTCGCAGAATGACGGGCGAGAAAAGAGAAGTTCAGTGACGCAAATTTCGGACGCGCGTCAGCAGAGACAATCAGAGAGAGCTTTGCACTTCTTCATTTTCTCAGAAGTAAAAAGGGCTCGCTCGGATAAGAAATTCAATTCCGACTCGGATCGAATTCAGTCAAGATGCAACAAGGCCGCCTCGATTCAGTTTTTTGCCCGCGGAAGTTAGGCGTGTCTCATTTGATACCAAAAAGACCTTCACTTTGCCGAGCCAAACGTTAATTGTCCTACATTTATTGATTGATTGCTAATTTGATCGCGATTTTATTTATTTCACAATTACAGACAGAATAATTTAAAAGTTAGATATTAATAAATCTAATTTAAAAATAACATGAATGAGCTTAAACAAATGCTTACAAAATGTTTAAAAAAAATTGCGTCTAGTTCAAATTTCTTAATAAAATTGTGTAAAATTAAAACTAAGATTACATTTTAATTTTTTATTTTTTAATTCTGTTAACAGAAATTTCACTTTCAAAAAGTATCGTAATCTAAGCGTGATATTAATTTCAACTTAAAATATAAAAAGTTTTGCCACAAAAAAAAAATTTACAAATTTATTTAAAAAAAATTTGCTATCAATTTGTAGAACATTTTATTTTCTCATAAATATTTCATTTGTAGCTAACTGAGCTAAATTTGATGTTTATTGCCGAAACAAGAACTAAATTTAGACACAATTTCCTGCACATTTGAGACGCAGTTGCACCCATACATCACCACTTCTTGTTTACAAATGAGAAGGAAATTCCAATCAATCTGTTATTTTTCCTCATCATTTCATTCAGCAAATGAGCCTCCAATTTTCGTCACCTGGACTGCTATGACGTGAACATTTTTTATTCTGCACAATTCGATGCAATTTAATCGCAACCTTGGCTCACCTGCTGTGGCCAATGGCGTCGCGAACAGCGAAGGCTCGACCGCTCCGGCGGCCAATTATCTCTCCGATGGAGGGGCCGCCGCGGCGAGTCTTTAAAGCCGCCGCCGACCCGTTTTACTCTTCAGTCTCGCAGCCTCACTTAACCAGTGTGTCTTTTTTCCTCAGGTGTGTGACCCCTGCAACATGTCCATCTGCCGAAGAAAGTGAAATTCATTCTCTGTGATTTTTACATTTTGAAGCTCAATACGAAACAAAATATCAAAGTAAAAATAATGCAGTGCCTGTTCCTTGTAATGTTGTGCGTGGTCGGCGCCCTGAGCAAGATTTCTGACCTGCCACCGCCATGCCCTAGGTGAGTTGGTCACTTGATTTGATTTTTTTTGCCACTTTGCAGTTTTTGCTTTGAAGTTTGATCTTCAAGTGTCATTGGACGTCCTTGCCAGGACACCTCACTTTGATTACAAATAAATGAAGCGCCTTCGATTCTTTTTTTATTTAATAAATTTGATAAATTTTAAAGCATATAAATAGTTCACTGCTCAAAAATGATCTAATAACTTATTAAATTGATGAAAACTTTTAAATGAATAATTTGTTATTTAAAAGGGATTTTTTTCTTTAATTTCTGTGTTTAAAATTTCTAAAAAAAAACTTTTCTGTTTTTTGACAATTTGAGTAACCAAGAGATTGAAAACGAAATGAACTCTTAATAAATTGTAAGACATAGTTTGTTACAAATTTATTTCTTGCTTAAAAATAGCAAAATCTTCTCACCCGCTTGAATTTTCTAGTTAATAACTACCCCAGCTGCCAAAATCGAAAAATTATCCGGATATTACCCTCTCTGGAGAGGATAATATCCAGATAAAAGTCAGTTTTGGCAACTGGGGTAGTATCACCATTAATAAAGGAAAAAACTAAAACTTTAATTTAGTACATAATTAAAAATATCAACATCTTGCAAATCTTAAATCTTTAAAACAAATTGTAGTTTCAATTGAATTTTCTAGTGCAAAACGTTTAACTACAAGTTGAATGAAAGAGTCTGTCGTATTGAACACTTTTTTCGCAGAACATTGGCCGAGACTCAACGTTCGTGGAATTCTCTTTCTCTCTCTTGTATAAAGCGGCGAACGTTTTGACCTCGCCAATCGAACGTGTTTCTCACTTTCGCCCCTGAAATCGAGCAGTTTTATTGCTTCGGCTTTCAATTCGACAAATCTCCACCCTGCTCTCGTGTGTCCTCTTCAAATCGCAGTCCCGAAATAAACACTCTCGGCGGGACGAGAGACGACAAGAGACACTTCTTTAGTCGCGGGAAACGACCTAGATTGTGATGCAGTTGAGTTTCTAAACACAAAACACATGCGAACGAGCCGTCAACTTTGTTATGTAATTTGAAATGACCACAAACTTTACTGCTAAACTTTAACTTGAAAGACATGATTGGGAATGGAAAATGGAAATCGTCGAATTAAATAAAATTTCTTCTCAGAGTAGAAGATAATTTGAAAGGAAAGAACTGATGTGTAGAATTTTTTCTTATCAAACTCTGATTGATGAGAACTCTTGAGAAAATCAGATATGAAAAAAATAATGCTGTCATTAAGTATTTTTTTTAATATCTCTGAGAAAATCATATTTATATTTAGGTGCAGAAATAAATTAATTATAAAAAAAAAAAATCAATTTCTAACACAAATTATTAATCAAATTTAGATCTTAAATTGTCAGGGAGTTTTTCAATTAAAATTTTTTAAAATCTTAATTTTACAAATACTATTGTGAAAGTTTAAATAAATTTAAAAAAAATGGAAGCTAGCTCGGGTAGAATTTCAGTAGAAATATAGCAATTCCAGTTCTTAGGTGCAAACGACGAGACAAAACCTGTTGCGCCTGCAGCCAGTGCATGTTAAAGTAGCGTGAAATTACCACCGTGTTGTTTTCTTTTAAAAAGAGCTCTTATTTTACAACATGAATAATTGTTTCATCTCTTTATGTTCGCAGTGAAATTTACTGTCACGGCGATTTGTTGAAAACGGTCCAGATGAATTCACCGTACGCCGACTCGAAGACCTTTGTCGACATGAAGATGCGATTCGGCGTGGGCGAGACGCTGCTGCGTTTTGAACAAATGATGAACTCGACCGGCCAGAACCCTGGCAAGCACGAAATCGAAATCTTCCTCAACAACACCTTCGATCCGGCGGGCAGCGAGTTTGAGGCCTGGGAGCCGTCCGACTGGAAACCCAAACCAAAGTTCCTGGACGAGATCGTTGACCCTGACCTCAAAGACTGGGGGGTGCAGCTCAATGACCTGTGGAAGCTGCTCGGCCGCAAGATCAAGGACGACGTCCGCGTTCACCCTGAGCAATATTCAATCATCTACGTCCCGAACCCTGTCATTGTCCCTGGCGGACGTTTCAGGGAGTTTTACTACTGGGACTCCTACTGGATTGTCAGAGGTCTCCTCCAGTCAGAAATGTACAACACTGTAAGTAGCTAGCTTTTCTAAATTCTGACAAAAATTTAATCGAGATCGAAAGAAAAAAATTCTCAAAGGAAATGTTTTGAAAATTTGTTTATTTTTCACTAAGAAAAACTTAAAAAGCTGATAAATTTGTCAATGTTTTACAAACTTCACTTCCAGAAATTTTTAATAATTTTACTTCGAATTCAAATTATTGTGTTTATTTCATTTTAACAGGTTAAAGGAATGCTGAGCAACTTTTTGGCCATTGTTGATGAGTTCGGCTTTATTCCGAACGGCGGCCGCATTTACTACAGCCAAAGGTCGCAGCCACCTTTGCTGATCCCAATGATGGAGGCCTACTATCAGCAGACCAAGGACCTCAAGTTCATCCGCGACAACATCGGCACCCTCGAAAAGGAAATCGCCTTCTGGATGACCAACCACACTGTAGACGTAGACAAGGACGGAAAATATTACAAACTGGCTGTGTACGGCGACAGGTCGTCAGGGCCGCGACCTGAGTCCTTCAGGGAAGATTACGAAACGGCGCATTACTTCCATACTGACGAGGAGCGTGAAGAGTATTATTCTGAGCTCAAGGCCGCTGCTGAGTCTGGCTGGGACTTTTCCACCAGATGGTTTGTCCTCGACGGCACCAATCAAGGTAGGAAAAAAATTATTCATTTTAAATAGTCAGGAATTTTTTCCAGAAATTCTTAAAATTGAAGTTTTTTTTAAATTTTATATCTCTCAAATATGAGCTTTTTTGCTTCATAAATTAAGTTCTAAAATTCTTCATTATCTTCAGGCAACATCACGAACCTGAAAACAAGAAAAATCGTCCCTGTTGACCTGAACGCCTTCCTCTTCTGGGACATGCAGATTGTCTCCGACTTTTACCACCTTTTGGGCAACGAAGAAAGATCAAAATTCTACAAGGATAAGTCCGAAACGTGGCTGGAAGCAGTGACCGAAGTGCTGTGGCACGAAGAGGTGGGCGTCTGGCTCGACTACGACCTGATCAACGAGAAAAAGCGCGACTACTTCTACCCCAGCAACCTGGCGCCTCTCTTCACAGGTTGCTACGACAAGAAAAACGAAGGTGATATCGTCAAGGGCGTGATGAAGTACCTGCAGAAGACCAACGTAATGGTCAACCTGGGCGGCATCCCTGCCTCACTTGAGCACTCTGGGGAGCAGTGGGACTACCCGAACTCGTGGCCACCACTCGTCTATATCATGATTTACGGCCTGGACAGAGTCGATGACACTTTCGCCAAAGAACTTGCCTATGAAATTGCCGAGCGATGGATCCGTGCTAACTACAAAGGCTTCAAAGAGACCCACGCTATGTTTGAAAAGGTACAATTAACTTCAAAAAATTAATATTGATAATGTTGAAAAGACGCTTTTTACAATTAGTAAATTTAAAAAAAAAAAATATTTTTCTCAGAAGTAAATGTCCTGCATTGCCATTTAAATCCATCTCAAATATCTAAATCTTTTTTTTTATAATTTCATTTTAAATTTACAGCTCTTTAATTACTTTTTAAATTTTTTAGTACGATGCCACAATTCCTGGTGGCTACGGTGGCGGCGGCGAGTACGAGTTGCAACTGGGCTTTGGTTGGACCAATGGCGTGATCATGGACTTGCTGGTCAAGTACGGTGACCGCCTGACCCCCCAGGAAGTGATCGGGACACATGAAAATGCCAGCCCGCCTGAACATTCGGTAACCCCAGCTCTTGTGTTTCTAGCACTAGTCATGGCCAGCATGGCGTTGTAAGGTAGGCAGGCGTCAAAATCCTTAATTTTTCATCTAACAAGATTCTGACTATTCAATTTATATGTTGCAGTAATTTTCCACTTTGGAAAGAAAGACTTCTTCCTTTTGTACCAAAAATTGCACGGCGCCTGCGAGACAGAAAGAAAACTGCATCTTTGTCTTCTCAGCTCTCTTTTAGCCAAATTGTGCCAACTTTGAAAACAATGCAAAGGCTTTTTCAGCAATAATTTGCATGCATGTGCATGAAACATTTGAATTTGGTGCAGTATTTTTGTGTGTAGCGTGTAGCTTTTGTAGTTTTGAATAATTTTCCAATCTAGACTGCACATTTCAAAAAGCAGTTGGAAGAAAATTGTTGATAAATTGGTAATTTATTCCAGTGCATTTTCTGTGATAAAAAATAATAATAATATTTTGGGAATGGTTGACTTAAAAATTCAAACATTCCAACTGGCCACAAAAGCTCATTTACGAGCTATTTATTATCTACTTTTCCAATTAATCAGTAGACTGGACCACGATATTAAAGGAAAGATAAGAAAGAGATGCATATTTGTGTACAACAAACAAACACTTACTTGTTATATTTTTTATTAATTTATGCGCGTTTGCCGGCCTGGTGCTTTTTGTAAATAAACTGTACTTTTAAAAATAAGACAAAATACACCGCACGTTTTTTGCTTTTCTACTCACTTTTCCCTGTTTTTCAAACGCATGCTTTTTTGCTTAATTTTTACTTTTATAAAAATTGTCTAATTGTGGTCGCGCGTGCAGGGTGGTGTACGCTCGGAAACAGATCGTGGACCAGCGGGGGAGGTTTTGCCCGCGTTTTTTCGGTGACTACCAAGAACTACAGACCAATTTGAACACAGCAAGTTGATCAGAACGAAGACATAGTGAGATATTTAATTGTGTCAGAAATGTAGTTCAAGATCTGAAAAATCTTACTTAGTCTTGCCACGCTCCAGTGACTGATCTGTGCCATTTGAATCTCTCAAGAGCATATCGATGTGTTCACTTGTTATAACAGTTGAGATCTTTTTGAAGGTCAAAATTTTTATTCAGGTCCAATATCAATTTTTGTACCGATTCGAAAGATGCTTTGGAGAAAATGTTTTTGCCAAAACTGTTCAATTTATTTGCTTTCAAAGTTTCTCCGTTAAAATGGTGGTTTAATCAACTTTCTATTTTCCCCAAAAAGCATTTGTGTGGCGGTGTGACATATCATCAGAATCGTCTCTGCAATAGCAAAAAAATTATGAACATCAGATTAACCAACCCTCTTTAATAAGCGTTCCTTTAGCTCTCTCATATCTTATGAATCTCATTGTAATTGACCCAAGTAGAAAAACTCTCAATTTTTGTTGTTAAATATTTAATAAAAAGCAGAGAAAAGTCAAAATGCGTGTTCAGATCGCTCCCTGAGGACACTCCTCCGCTTTTCGCGTCTCTGAAACTCGAGCAGAGGCTCCTCGAAGTGCGCCAGTCTCTTGGTGTCCACCCCTTTAAGTCGCAACAATTCTGCCGGCTGCTCGTCCAACAGCCGCAGTCGACGCGTCGCCTCCAGTCTAGTGGCCTTGACCTGCTGCCTCTCGCGCAGGTCGACGACTTCCTTCCGCTCGGGCCTCACCAAACTGGCCATTTTCGCGCCCAGCGCCTCGTCCTCCCTACGAAGAAAATCTTTCCGCAGGTCGATTTCCACCCTCAGCGACTCGCTCTCCTTAAGGGGCTGCAACGCCACCGATCCAGACTGAACTACCCTTTCAATCTCCCGTTTGAAAAAAGTGTTCTAAAAATTAAAATTAGATTTAAAAAGAAAAATGTTAGAATTCCCTTACGGCCAATTTGTTTTCCGTTCGATGAATTTGCGGAATCTTGCAGTACAAAATCGAGCCGCGGCTGTCAGTCAGGTGCAAAAATTCGCCCATTCCGATTGCGGAGGAACCTAGATCTAAAAAAAGAAAATTTATTAATTATAAAATTCTATAACTAAATTAATTAATAAAACCTCTTAAGTATCCAGGACTAAGTGAAAACTGCGACTCCAAATTTGATTTGCTGTCGAGTAAATTCCAAACTTGCAGTTTTCCAGAATTCGTGCAAATGTAGAAAATGTGTTTCGTGTGGCAGGACCACGCACCGGAAGACAAAAATTGATCTCCTTGTTTCAGAAACAGCGGCTTACTCTGAAATTTGGAGAAGAAAATTTTCGTTGCAAATTAAAATAGAAAAATTATTTTCTCACAATTTTATCACCACTAGATAGAATGGTAAAAATGGCAAACACATGACCGCCGACGGAAAGAAAAATGTTTTCCTCCAAAGGTGACTCGCGAATACTTGCCACTGGTCCGTCGTGAACCATTGGGGAACCGCGACAGTCAAAAACTAGACAATTATATTTACAATAATTCGACATTTAAATTTTAAATACTATGAGGCGCATCCTCGTCCGTTTCCTCTTCTGTAAAAACTTTGTCAGGACGAATTTGGAGCTTGAAAAGTGAAATGACGCCGTCTTGGCTTCCGATTAGTATTTTATAAAAATCATCTGAAAATTTTTAAAAGTTTTAAAATTTCAAAAATAATTTCCTATTAAGTATTTTACTTTGATTTTCAGTCGATTGCTTGAATATTTTTGGCAGCAAAGAAGTAGTTGCGATGAAAGCATTTGTACTTTTAACGAAGAACTAGAATTTTTACACATGATAAATTGAAAAATAATAAAATAAGTCAAACCTTCACGCTAGTCTCTTCTATCAGAAATGCGCTTTTAATAATCCAAATTGAGAAAATCCCATCGATTGTAATTGTCACTAAATGATCCTTCTAAAATCAGTTAAAAAAACTTTTCAGTCTAGAAAAGATTTTTTTTTTCAAATTTCATTATTTTTTCAGCAAACCTCCAACCAGTGAATTCCAATTATAGCTTTTCTAAAGGAGCTTTTCACATTGTGGGTTGCATCAATTAACTTGTTTTCCTAAATTTGAAAAAAAATTTTACAATTTTTCTTCATTTAGTGTGTAAATTACGTCTTTAATATTTAAATCTAGCTCCCAAATTTTGATATCTCCGTTGGAACAACCCCCAAAGAGAAAATTATCGTCCGTCGGATAAAAAGCAATGCATTCTACTTTCGAAGAACTCGTCAAAGACATCTGCAAATTATATACAATAAAATACCTCCATAATCATTTAAACTTTTTTTACCAGCGGTTTTTTACTCAGGCAGTCCCAAACAACCACTTTTTCCACAAAAAGTCTACTGCACCTCTCAGGGTAATCCGAAAGGTCGTCGCAGAGCAGCGATTCCTCGACTTGTGCAAATTTTTGCACTTCTCCATATGAAATTACCAGCACATCTGAAAAAATATATCAATTTTTAGCGCGGCGTTAAAAATGAAAAAAAAAATAATAATAATACCTTTATTTGACGGGTGCCAGGCAAAGGTCGTGGCGACGCCTTGGCACACTGAAAAGCTGCAAACGACGTCGCAAAGTTCGTATTTGTTCTCGGCGTCGTCGATTAGTAATTTTTTCAACTCGTCGCTCAGCGTCAGATGTTGAAAGTCGTCCACGTGGTTTTCCAGAATGCAATTGTGGTGCACACAGTCTAGAACTCTTTTAATATTAAATTTAAAAAAATTATAATTATAATTTAAAAAAAAATCAACGTTACAATTCTGCCTTTTCCTCAACCCATTCTTTCAAATGCATCTTTTGCGCGTCCGAAAGCTCAGAGTCGAAATCTCGGAACTGCGGACTCCACTGCGTCCATGTGTTTTTTGGAAAATTTATTGTCGTCTGAGCCTCCGCGTCTCTCAATTCGCCGGTCTGAACATAATTAATTTTTTTTAATAACTAAAAAATTTCAAAAGACCTGAGTCGTGGCGTTCATAAATTTTCTCTCGACGACTTCAATTTTATCCTTGCTGGCGGGAAAAGAAGCAACACTTGGCTCATGTCTTCCCAATCTTCGGGGTGATTTTCGCTTACTTTTTGTACTAATTTCCGCCTCAACCACAAGCTGTAAAATAAAATTAATTTTTTTAATGAAAAAAAAATACTAATAAAAAATTAACCAAAGGTCTCTGTTTTGGTGCGTGGCTTTCAATGATTTCCTTATCGCTGCCCTGACAAGTCCAACTTTTGTGCTCAACATTTTCTTCTTTTATTGAAGTTTTACTTTCTCTGGTTTCATGAATAATTTCGTCTGCAATTCTATCCTCGTCCAGCAAAAATTTGAGGAAATTCCGATCTTGCACTTCAACAATTTTGATATAAACCACTTCACTTTTACTAGTCTTAAAATAAAAATTATTTACAATATTTGTGCAGTAATTTCTATATATATTTAATTACCTGAAGATCTTCAATAAAAACATTATTTGTCCCCAAAATTTGTTCAAATTTTTCTCTTCTAATGAATTTAGAGCTTAAATTAGTATCCTCTTGAGCCAAACCAAGTGCGTGAAGAAGCTCTGGAGTTAATTCAATTTGAAATTGAGCACCGCGTCGACTTCTCTCCATGGCTTCTTGCATGACAAATCGCCTGACAGGTATGCAACTGGCGCGACTCCCGTATTATTGTTTTACTTTTAAAATATATGATTCGAGAGTTCAACAATTTCTTTTGATGAAAATAGGCCAAAACTTTGAATCAATTTTTAGTGCAGTTTGCGAGTTTGGTGAGATATACATACAATGTAGCATCAAAAATCAAAACATTGAAAGTATTTTGTTACTATGGTAACTTTCAGGAAACTCTTATAAGAGGCTTTGAAATACATAATAATTGAAAGTGCGGTTTTGCGTTTGAAAATGCATTATGAGAAATATGTTAAAAAATTTAATTTCTTAAATCGCTGGAATTGAAGGTTAAAAAATTATGGAATGCACTAAAACGAATTATATTAAGATCATATATTATATAAATAAATTAATGGAAAATTCACATTTTATATTAAATTTTATTTTATTATTTGAAATTCAACAATAAATATAAAAATATTAAGTACTTTACTTAAAATTTTTATATAATTTTTTTCCGACAAGAATGTTTGGATGGATTAGTTTAAAAAAAAAACATTATTTCATACAAATATCAACTCAGTGAAGTTTCATTTTATTTAACAATACATCCCTAGAATTAAAATCACAATTAGTTTTGCTGTTCGTCATCACAGCTGCGGTACTTTCGCATTTTGTCGGACTAAAACAAGAAAAGTTTGTGCTAACAAAGCAATTTTTCATAATATCAAAATTTGCAAAATGCTAAATCAAAAAAATAATTTATATATTATAAACGCTGCCCCCGTGGACATAGCAATTCTAATTACAAAATTTTCTCTATCCACCCTTTCTTTTTCCAAGGATGACAAAAGGCCCTGATAAAACGACCGCAACTCCTCCTTTGACAAAGTGTCTGTTGGTTTTTCCGTAACCTTCCCTGCTACCGAGCTCTGCATTTGCAGCTCCTTGACTACTTTTTCCGCAAGTTTATCGCTGACCACCAGAGCTAGCTTTTCTTCGTTGGTCACAGCGTCGCTCAAAATACTCCTGAACTGGTTCATTCTGTAACGACTGTTTACGGTGCTGAAGATGAAGCCGAGGGACGTGCAGACAATCGAAGCGATTATTGACCAGTACTTTGTTCTTTCGGCCTGAAGACGCTCCTTCTCGTGCGACTCCTTTATGGCCGAGGACAGAGAGGAAAAGTTTTCTCTTTCTTCTTGTTCTATCCTCTGAAAGTGGGTGCCCAAAATATCTCTCTCTTTAATCAACGTGTTTTCCTGTAAAATAATGATTAATAATTTTTTTGGTTGATTTAAATTATACGAACTTGAGTGACAAGGAAAATGTATCTGTCCTCTCCTCTTCTGGTCCTCTCCAGCTCTCCGTAAACCTGTCTCAATTTATTGTCCACTTCGCTCAGTTTTTTGTTCGCATCTCTCCGAGCCTCTTGTGCAGATATGAATTTCGATTCCGACTGTAGAAAAATATTTTAATTAATCAGTCAGGTTAAATTATTGATTTCGTACCTGAACGACTTTCTCCTGGGCCCTGCGGACCTCGTCGATGCCCGTGAACTGTTCGTACCACTCTCTGGCCGACTCGAGTTTGGCGTTCACGGCCGCTCCTCCGGCCGAAGTACTTTGACCCTGAACGATAGACTGCACCCTGACAGCAAGGGTGGTGTACCTTTCCTGCAGGAGGCTCTTCAGCTTGGCCAAAATCATCTTGGCCGCCTGTCCTTCGGGCCGAAACATGCCGAAAAACAAGCTGCGCGATTTTCAAGAGGCAAGTCTGGCGAATTCAAAATTGGCGCGCTTGGATTGTACAGTAAGTCGTGTGCCGTCGCCGACCAATCGGCGCTCGTCGTTTATTTACAACTCGTTGGTATTTATGGGAGCGTCTTTTTTACTTACGTGCTGTGGTTTTTTTTGTCATGTCCGATCGGGAATGAGATGCGTCATCGGGTGACGGCTCTTTATCAGATTATTTTGTTTTCTTCGCTGTTTCACACACCCGCACTGGATGGGTGGATCGCCGTCGGGATCGGCGCCAGTGGCGTCGAAAGCCTTCTGAGCCAACCGTGACGGGAAGCAGAGGAAAGTCGGATTGTTTTTCGCGACCTGCGAGGCGATTAGAGAGGAATTCAGGCCGTATTTTCCTTCCAAAATGATGCACCAGCCCATCTCGCAGGTGTCCCTGTCCAGCACCTCGTCCGTCATCTCGGCCGGTGAGTTTCCGAACGGTGTTTCACGAAATTCTTACGACGTTCAATGTTATTTTTGATGTTGCAGAAAAATCAACCCAGCAGCTGCAGGCGGAAAAAGCTGAGCGCGATGAGAGGTACGCGGCCCTGGTGGCCAGGAAGGAGGCCCTGGAAAAGCGGCTCAAGGAGAAAAACGACGAGTTGAAGCGGTTTTGCGTGCAGGAGGCAGAATTGACGGGCTCGCTGCCCCTCGAGACCCCCCTGGAGCCCGGGGAGACGCCACCCGCCTTCCGTAGAAGGGTCGGCACAGCATTCACCATTCCCCAGTGCCTGTTCGACAAACTCAAATCGGACGAGGCGAGTCACAATTATTTTTTTTTAGTTATTTTATTTTGAATTTTTAATTTGAAAGAATTGTATACGGAGAGCCACGGCCGTTTGTTGTGATGCAACAGGTGTTTCCTGTTCAGCACTCTAGTGTAACCAGATCTGAGGAGATAATCACGCAATCCTCCTTAAATGTCATGCAACTGTTGGCCTTATCTTAGGTCTTGGATTGCATTTGAGCAATGAAAAATAATTTCAAAGTAAAAATTTTAATTCGGTCTAAAAATATTTATAAATAATTCTACTTTTTACGAATCAAAATTATAAATATACATTCAGATAATATCACATGAAAATTTAGCGTTTAAATGGTAGATGTTCAAGACAAATCTTCCTCTTAATTAATTTAAAAAATGAAAATGACTGTTCCGTTGAGTTATAGAGTTTTAATAGGGCAGAGATTTCAAATCAATTTTTTTCTTAGTAAACGAAACTAGATTTATTAATATATAAATTTATATTTTTATTAGGAGCAAACGTTGGCCGCCTTGGAACTAGAGTACAAAATCCTGAGCCAAATCACTTGTGCTGCGATGCGGATGGCTTCGGACGTGAGTTTAAAACGGTCTGTGCGGCGACAGCGACGAATCGAATACCAGCAAAACAGCAAGAGACTGACCGAGCTGGAGATGCGGCTGAACGAGGCCCGCAAGCAGCAGGCCCTGAAACTGCGCAAGAAGCCTCGACCCGCCAGTGACACAGGTTTGAATTTCTTTATAATCCATCTCTAGTGTTTGCAATTTTTTCCATTTTGATTTTTGAATGACTAGAGAGTGTTTTGCGTGTTTCGTTTTGTAAAAGTTGAAAATTTTGTACTAGTCGAGAGCTCGGCAGACAAGGAGCCGAGTGAAGGTGGTTTCGGCGGCACGTCCACCCTAACCAAGTCTGTTGCGATGAACGGCGGGCGAAGCTACTCGGCTTCGGACCGCCCGCCGAGCAGCAGCAGTAGCACTAGTTTGAGTCACACCCACCAAAATCACATGCACGAATCGCACAAGCAACAGCCAGACAAACAGTTGCACGCCACCCTGTCGGCACCGCACCACTACCTGAAGGCGGGCAGTCCCGACTTCAGGAGCCACAGGCAGCAACTCCAGAGGTAACGCCACTCACAAAAAAAAAAGAAAAATATGCACTAAAAACATTCATCTGGTTCCAACTTTTTTGAAAAAATTTTAAATAATCAGAAATGATGCCTCAATAAATCTTTTTTATCTTATACGTTTTTCAAGAAAATTTTAAGTTAAAAGGAAAATTTATTTTTATTTAAAAAAGGAACCATTTGGTGTAGAATTTCACCTTTTCTTGCACTTCATCGCTCTAATCATTGGTAGGCTTGGAAGTGGTGGTTATTTCACGCACCACCATGCTCATTACCAGCACCAGAGCTACAGCTCGAGTCCCACCAACTACCCCACCCTATCCGGGGCACCTTTGGACCTGGAAAAACTCAGTCGCCACGACACAGGTTTGATTATCTTGTAGTTTTTCCATGTTTTTACTTTTTCATTAAATTGTGTGACGTTTTGTAATTTGAACAAGAAAGTAGTCATTAGATGAAGATAAATAAACGTGGTAATAATTTGTGTGACTCACGTCCTCAGCGTTCATCATGTCACCAAGCTGGAGCCCATTTGCACCACATGACGCGCATTACCTCCACCGCCATAGTCACACGGCCAGACCTGCAGCGTCCCAAAACTTCCTCGAATTGGACGAAAATGAACCTTTGGATGGGTCGCCTGTTCGAAGACCCAGTCTCGAGAGCAGATCTTCCAGATGGAAGGGGAACAGGTCAGTTTTTAAAATGATTTTAGTACATTGAAATAGCAACACATTAATTCAAAAGAAAAAATTATTATAATTTCGGTAGCAATAACAATTTTATTTTAATTCAAATTTTTTAATAGTCGCTTATTTTTCATTTTATTTAATTTCAGGTTTGGCAGTCTGGACCGCAAAAAGAAAATGGCACAGAGCAGTCCTTGTTTAGACTCAAGGAGTGTTGAAGGCCTGGATGTTATGCAGCCGGAGAGCCTTGACGTCCCTGACAGGGCCAATTTCATCGTTCCAACCAGCCGGGCGGCTCATAAAATCAGCTCAACCAAAAGAGCCGAGACAAAACAACTGCAACAGCAGCAGCACAACCACCTGCTGCCTCCGCCGCCCCCGGTGCACCACCGTCACAGAAGCGGTTCCTCGCCACACAAGGAGTACTTGACGCCGCCTCCGCAGCCAAAAATCAAGGAGCCCATGCGTGAGCCGCCGCTCCCACCTTCTGAGGCCCTGCTCCCAGGACAAACCTACCCTGAGCACAGTTACGGCCTCACAAACCTGATCAGGACACAATCCCTGGGGGCGGTGTCAACGGCCTCCTCTGCCAAGTCTGCCGAGACCAGGAGCATCAAGGACATGTACCCTTCAACGTCCTACACTCAGCAGCTGCCTCCAAAACGGCAGCCGCCCCCGGTGCCACCTGAGAAGCCACCTTCCCGAAGGCCAAGTGGCCACTCGGTCTTTGAATCCAAGGAGGCCTCCCTGAGCGGTTCCTTCAGCAGTCTGCACCTTTCCAACGGCCTGCATTCCCCTCAGGGCAGCATCCACTCTCAGTCCAAGGTCGAAGGCCAAGACACCTTTGAGATGGCGGTGCCGTACGAGTCGCCCAAACACCACATGGTGGTGCAGGCTGGAAAGTGGCAGCCCTACTGGGAGGAGACCAAACCCTTCGAGATGTCCGATTTCTACAAGTACAGCACCAAGTTCCGGAACAAACAGCCAAAACAGGCAGACGTTCCTAGCAAGCAGCAGCCCTTGCATCTCAGGGTTGACGACGAGGCGGCAGCCATCACTCTTCCCAAGGTCATGCCCTCCCCCACACCCTCCATGTCACCACAGCAGAAGGGTGTCTACCAGCCCCTCCAGCCGATGACCTGCCAGCCAGTCGACCCAAACAAAGCCATCACACCAGAGCTCCCCGCCAAACAGTAAGTTTTCCTAAATCCTGATTTTTTTTTTTAATAATTCATTTATATTTTTGTTGCAGGGGTAAAGTGATGTCCCCGAACCTGAGCTTGAACCTGTCCAACGGAGGCGAGTCACTGGCAGACGCCTTTTCGACGGAAATGCTGGCCTGGTATCAGGACAAGAGCGTCCCTCGATCCGCCACCCTCGTCTGATTTTTTTGGAATAAAAAGACACTCTACTTATAATTTGTGCCTTGCAAGTGCCTTTCGGCCAGGTGAACAGGTGAGACCTGAGTTGCCTGCCGGAAGAATAAGAAGAAGAAGAAGTGATAAATCCAAGTATCGTCTACTCCATGTGCCTGCCTGTTAGTGAAACCATTAATTTGTTGTAAATAGCAACACTCGGAGACCTCTGTTAAAAAGGAGGTCAACCGTGCCTTACTTCATTCATTATTTAAAACTCTTTCAATGGACTTTAGTTAGGAAAAGCTCAAATATGATTTTAATTATGATAGATAAAAAACTTTCTTCTTGACGATGCCCTGAAGGGATTTTTCTACATTCCAACTTGAATCCAAATGATTTTTTTTCTGCTCAGTCCTAGATTATGTAACTTAGCATTTCCTTTGTAAGTTTTGTGATTTTTTGGAAACTTTCGAAGCATATAAACAGGTCTGAAATGAATTATGTACTTTGTTCTGCAACTAGTCAGAAATTTATTTATGGAATATTGGGAGACAGGACGAAAATCTTTCATTTTTGAACTTTTGAGCAATTTATTTACTTACATGCGTGCAATCTCACGCAATTTTGTGTGTGGGGAAATTATTTGGTTTATATTTGAATCGGCGATTGTCACATTTTTACTGCAGACGTTCTTAAAAATGTGATCTCCTGACTTTTGTACTTTGTAAATATAGGATCAGATATATTAAACTTAAAGCTTCATTTCCAACAAATAAACACAACTTTGAAAATAAACCACGCTATATATCAATTAAAAAATTCCTCGCTTTGAAACCGTTACTTGTATCGGATGAATTGGCTTAAAAGGCTATTTAAAGCTTAAAGCGTTGCGTGAAAACGGTGCCTCTTTTGTCCGCTGCGGGAGGGCCCCGAAGTTGGGAAGAAATTTAAAATACATTCAGAGCGCGCACGTCTAGCTATCGCGTGCTCTTCGCCAGTTCCTGTTTGCGGTCTCCCAGGCGGACGCAAGTTGCACCGCAGTAGTGCTGTTCTTACCGAGGCTGGATTTGTATTGTAGCACAATTTTCCTGATGAAGTTTTGGTGATTAAAACTAGTAAAACCAATATTTTGAAAATGAGTCTGGCAGAGCTGGAGGCCCTCATCGATGGTAAGAATACAATTTTATTCACATTAATTATGAAATAAATATTTAATTTACTGTTTAGAAAGAAACTCATTGGTTATTTAATAATGTCATGAGCTTTTTTTGTAACAATCAATTTTTTGTTTGAATTCCTTATCATTTGATATTTTATTAACAGTCAAAATTCTAAACTGCCTTTCTTTAACTTTTGTTGACGCCTGCAGCGCAGAAAGAGATATTATCTCAAATTTGTTTCCAGATCTTTACAAGTTCATATGCGACACTCTGGCGAATGAAAAACTTTCTTCGACCGCAAGTGCCCTGAGGGAGTCTCTGAAGCACAGGATCCACCTGTGCAGAGGAGCCTCACCTGCGTTCAAAAGCGTCGTCGTCAAAAGAATCGCCGAGCCGCCAACACCGTCGCCGACCAGAGATGAGCCGCCGGACCACGAACTCCCAGGTTCCAAATTAAATTATAATTAATTCAAAAACTTTTTTCCCAAATATATAAAAACAAAATTAATGATAAAAATAAAAATACATGAATATTATTTTTATACAAAAAAAAAATATTTTTTCATTTTAAATATTTTTATAATTATTAGACTATGGTGGAGGCGGAGAGGAGATGGCCGAGTACGAAGAGTTCGAGCAGAGCAACGCGGTCATGTTAAAAAACAAGCAGATCGAGTTGGAGGTGGTGTTGTCGCCGTCGGCTGCACCTCTGCTGTCCGCGCCGACCATCACTGAGGAGGTGACGGTTCAAAGCTTGGTCAACTCGGCGCTGATGCACGGCCCCTTGTTCCGCAAGGAGCGCATCTTCCTGATGAACCGCAAATGCTGGGCCGCGGCCACCGCCACAATTTTCCACCTTTTCAACTCCGAGACGGACGTCAAGCCCGTCCTGAGTGTCCGACTCGACGAACTTCGCGTCAACATTCCGCAGAAGGACAAGAAGAAAGACGTTCTCTTCGAACTGGTCGCGCCCGCCAATAAAAGTTTCAAAGTGAGTTTTCATTTTTTACCAATTATTTTTAATCTATAGGTAAGTTTGTCATTTATGTTATTGCCAAGAAAAAAACAGCAAGAAAAAAATAATACATAATTTTTTATCCAGATAAAAATTGTGGTTTTCCTTGTTGGTTGATATATTAACTCTGTTCTGGTTAAGAACCAACAAACTGTGCAATGCAGACCATGTTAACATCATATAACACAATTATAATTCAAATCAATTCAAATGTTCACGCAATCAAACTGATCAAATATTATAGATAGAATTTTTGCTTCCTTGTTTTTCATGCGATAATATAATAGAACTGGTTCAATGAAAAAACCCAGATGCCCTACAAAGTATATTATGGGTCGGATATTCGAGATCAGTTAAAAATAAATTTATTCTATTTGAAAAGGTTAAATTTTCTACGAAACAAAAAATGGGTCAGATTTGAAGCTATTAATTTTGTTATTGTATATTTTAGAGATAAACGTTTTTTTTTTTTTACTTTTAAAATATATATATTTATATTTATAACATTGGAATTTCTTCCAGTTTGCTGCTCCTAGCTTGGTTGAACGTGACAAATGGGTGTCCGCTCTGGGCAACGGAAACAACAACTCGAGCCTGCAGACACCGGCCAAAATTTCGCAGGACAGCCACTCGCCGTCTGCCAACCGTTCCCAGCCCGAGACGCCGTTCGAGATGGATCAGCAGTGCGCGAAAATCGAGGAGGACACTTCCTCACTGGACAACTACGAGTTTCTGGACGCGGCCAACGGCGACGTCCACGAAGACATCTACAACTCGCTCGAGGACATCCAGCAGGCGGTGAAGCAACAAAGCATTCAAATGAGCAACAAGCCTTTGCCGCCGCCGCCGCCACCAGCCCGCTCGACGGCGCCCGCCTTGCCCAAGTCGAGGCGGCCGCAGACCTTGGTGACCAAAAAGCCGATGCTTTCGCCTCAAGAACAAATCTACGACGACACTGGCAACACCGAACCGGAGGCTGACTATGATGACGGTGGCGCCGGCGACGACTTTTATGACGATGCCGGAGCAGCAAGTAAGATGAAATATCTTAAATATCATATAATGACTGCTACTTTAAAATTCAACTGTTTAAAAAATAGAACCGTATTTAATAGTAAATTTTTATGATTGGATATAAAAAAAAAACTTAAGGAACTAAATTGTGATTGTAACCTAATCTTTATTTGAATCTTCTTGAGACATAAATCTAATCTAATTCAAATAAATACTAAAAAGGTTCTGCTAAACATTTTCAAGATTCAAAACTTAAAAATAAAAATTTCCAATCTCAATTGATTTCTAAAATTTTTTAAGCAGTTTTTTATACCCCCTTTTTTACAGCAAAAATTATACCTCATGTGGGTTTCAATTTTCAATTATGTGAGAAAATTTGGTCATTTTCTTATTTTTTATTTTCTTTGCAGGGACAGATGACGACGAGCAAGACATGTACTACGATATTGCCGAACTACAGGCCAAGACCGCCGACTTCCCACCTCCGCCACTTCCACCTGCCCTTGTTGAAAACGAAGTCATCTACGACGACACAGAGCCGTCAATGCCACCACCTCCTGTCGATGAAGAACCGCAAGACGAGTATGACGAGGTTGGGCCAGTCACCTCAACCGTCAACGTAACCATATCCTTCAAACCGGAAGTCATCAAAAAACTGGACCTTTCTCCGACCAAACAAGGACCTCCTCCACCCTCTCAGGCCAATAAGTCGAGCATTTTCAGGAACCTGTCTTTGGAAAAACCGCAGGTGACTTCTCCGCCTGCTCCTCCAGCCAATCAAGGTGGGTTCCTCTTCAGAATGCAGAGGCAGAGCAGCAGCGTTTCCCAAACAGAGGAGTACGACGAGGTGGGGCCACCTTTGCCGGTCAACCAGCCCCTGAGCGCCGAACTGAGCAACGCACTCAAAAACTTCAAACTCAAACAGACGACTCAGACGAAACCGGTTTCGGAGAGAAAAATGTCCGAGGATCTTTCTGATCCCAACACTGTCAAGAGTCGACTGGCTAGTTTGAGGCCCGTGGGCGCCAAAAGACCCACGAGTCCTCCTCCGAAGCCTATGGGTGTTGCCAAGAGGCCAACCAGTCCTCCACCAAAGCCCGTGGCCAATAAGAAACCCTCGAGTCCTCCGGCTAAACCCAAATTCGGTAATCTTGGTACCAAACCTGCTGTTTCTGCCAACAAACCAAGCAACAACAACTACAACAATACAAATTCTGTCCAGAAACCGCCGCCGCCGGTCAAAAAAATTACCAGCAACTTCGAGCAGAAACAGAATATTTTCAAAGCAGAGGAGCCCGCGGAATCAAAGACCAACGTCAAGGACTTGATCCAGAGAATGGGAGGCAAGGTGTGAATTTAAGTTGGATATATCATCGAGACTGAACAGAATTTCAACAGCAAATTGAAAAAGTGTTGTGTATATAACATTTAAAGTGCTCCACTCTGAGAAGAAAACCTCATTTTTTTTATTGATTTCTTGTCAATCAATGATATTGATTTTGGTTTGAAATTTCAACCAGAATTGAAGAAAATTATTTTCCATTTGATTTAATTTTTATATCTATTGAAGATCGAAGTATTTGTTTATAATTGGAAATCATTGAGGTTAAGGACACTTGGATCTCTTCGGCGTCAAATTAAAACGATTTCTTTTGTATTATACTTAACTTGTAACAATTTTAATAACAGTCACTACAATCTCAGCTGTGTGATAATTCTTAGAATGGATTTTTGACCAATAAATCTATAAATAGTTATATATGCATTCAGGGTGATGTTAATTTAAACAAAAAGTGACCAGACAATAAGTAGCTCAGCAGTGCTGAGTGAATTAAATAGAAACAAATAAATTACTGCTGTTGTTCAAAGAGAGAGAAATTTGAATACTGAGGCAATCAACTTCAGAGAAGGGGTATTCTTTGGCTGACTTTTGAGATTAACCGCATCTAAAAGAAAGATAGAGAGGACCAATATTTATGATCAGTACAGTAGTTTCAAATGACAAAATTTCAACTAGCAGGCTACGAACAGAAAATTTTGAAAAAGAATACAAAGAATAAATGCGTGCAAATCACAGAAATTAGCAAATTACAAAGTTTCACTAGTTAGAATACTTGTCATGCAAAAAGGAAGAAAAATGTGCAAAAGGTTTTTTTACGAAGAGGAAAAGTCGGTGATCAAGAAATGAAATAAGCTGGACGTCACAGTAGAAATGCTGCAATGAAATCTACAAATAATAAAAAAAGGCGCAGTGCTGGCGAATATAATAAGCACTGTGTGTAAAAAGAAGTAGCTCAGCTTGAAAAATTAGCTGCCAAAATGAACTAACCTGGTTCCCTGGCATTTTAATTTAAACTCCTGAAACAGGGACGGCACAAAAATTTTGTCGATTATTAAAATGACCTTGGAAAGGAATGATAATTTCGGGACGGGGGGCAAATCAACACTTTACAATTCAATGTACAAAAATTTTAAAATCTACTGGGACTTTCTGTGTTTACCAGTTCTTGTCCTTGGTCAGGTCTTGGATGTGCTTGACAATGGTTTGGACAACATCGATGCTCGTCGCCTGGCCACCCAAATCTAAATTTTAAACAAAAATTAGTTTCTCAAAAAATAAAATTTAAAAGTATTCCGACCAGGGGTGTGGACGTGGTCTTCGTTGATGGTCTTGTCGATGGCCTGGCTGATGAGACTTGCGTGTTTGCTGTGGCCAAGGTGGTCTAACATGTCCACGGCTGCATTCAACATGGACACTGGATTGGCGATGTTCTTTCCGGCAATGGCCGTACCTGTGTTTCGGGTGCCAGGCTCAAAGACCGCATACTAAAAGATTAAAACAAAAATTAAATATGGAACTTTTTAAAATTTTTAAACTTATGCTAATTTTGCCACGTTAAATTTTAATTTTTCCTCTTTAAAAAAAAATACCAAGGAATAGATTTCACTTTGTGATAGTTACAATTAATTTTTTTTTTAAATTAAAAGAAAATGATTTACATGGTCTCCGTAGTTCCTGCCGGAGATGAGACCAGCGCCGCCGATGAGGCCGCACAGCACGTTAGACACAATGGTGCCGTACAGGTTGGTCATCACCATGACGTCGAACTGGTGGGGGTTGGACACGAGCTGCATGCAGCAGTTGTCGATGATCATGTGGTCGTGCTCAATGCCTGAATAGTCCTTGGCCACTCGCTTCGACGTTTCCAGGAAGAGGCCGTCGGACAGTTTCCTGAATTTTTGAAGAATTTACATTTCAAAATATGTTCTCTTTGTAACTGAAAATATTATTTCGATTAAAACTAAAAAAAATCAATTTTTTTTAGCAATCTGCAAAACTTGAAATAGAACTTCAATTTTGTGATTTAAGTTTTCTTTAACGGAAATTAGTATAATTAAGTTTTCTGCTTCTTCCATTTTCAAACATTATTTGTTATTACATGATGTTGGCCTTGTGGATGGTGGTGACCTTCTTGCGGCCGTGCTTGACTGCATAATCGAAGGCATAACGGATGACCCGCTCGGAGTTCTCAGCAGTCACAATCTTCATGCTCTCCACCACCCCTGGCACACTCTGTAAAGTGAAATAATTAATTTACTTTTCATTTTGGATGGCTGAAAAAGAAAAATTAATCAACAGGACGAACAGACCTCGTGCTCTAACATGGCGTATTCGCCCTCAGTGTTCTGTCTTATCAACATGACGTCGATGTTCTGGTGGCGTGACTTGACCCCAGGGTATGATTTGCAGTGGATCACGTTGACGAACAGGTCAAGCTCGTTTCTCAACGCCACGTTGCGGGACAATATTCCACGGCTCAAACTGCGAGTTTCAATGTTGCCTAGAAATAAAAATTTAGGAATTTATTTTTAAGCTGCAAAAAAAAATACAAAGACACCTTTTGAACAATTATTCAGTTAAATTTTTACTCATAAATAAGTATTTTTTTTTTTTTTTACTTCATATGGAAAAAAAATAAAAATTTTGGATCAACCTCTCAATGCAATTTGCAAATAAATTTGTTATATAATACATTTTTTTTGTGAATTTGTTTTTGCCACATTCGACATAATTTTTTTGTTTCAAAACCTTTCAGTCCAACTCCATTTCGTCTGATGGAGGTGATGGCGTACTCGAGGTCCTCGTTGCCGTCTGACTGAGGGTCGATCGGACACTCCTCAAAGTCCACCGGCACTCCAGCGTACCTGAATTTTATGATTTTGACTTTAATTTTGATTTTTTTTAATAAAGATTTAAACCTGAAGACTTCTCGGACGTAATTCATCAGTTCAGGGCCGATTCCGCCACCAGGCAGCATGGTAACACTGTGACGACCTCCATATTCAGCTTTTGGAATGGCAATCTGAAATTTCAATTATTCTCATCAGAAGGTTGAGTTGAAAAAGATGAAGAATAAAAAAACACGCACCACTTTCTTGGCAAAGGGGTTCTTGTGCTGCAGGTCATACGCGGAGGCTGAAGTGGTCTACAAAAGAGAACATTTTTATTTTTATTACATTGTATAATTTTATCTAACAATTTATTTCTGAATTCTGAATTTTTTTATCTTCGTTTGAGGTCAAATTTTAGACTCAATCGTGCCGAATGAGCCTCGGAATCTGCGTGTTTAAGCAGGAAACTCACCGTCCTGTGGAAGGTCAGCTGCGAGACGTTGGACGTCTTCAGCAGGGGCAGAATTCGGCACGTAATTCGGCTCGCCATCCTTCTTTTTCGCTGCCGAATTTTCTATTCAATCGACGACCAAAACAGCTGGGCAAGTGGAGCAGATTTAATTTTCGAGAAAAACCCACAGATGGCGTGCACGTCTGAATCTGTACTGGAAACCACCGCATAATTATAATTATGCGCTCTAAAAAAAAGTGTTTTTGATTATTTTGGTGGTATCGCTAAAAATTTATTCTAGATATGGAATTTTTTTCTATTTTTGCAACTTTTGTCATTCTGATTAAGCACAGTACAAGATCGATAAAAAAAAATATGGACTTTATCCAACCCCCCCCCCCACCCCATTAAAAAACTTTTTAGAGCCTGCATACGTTTTGTTCATATCTTTACCAGACAACATAATATGATACATATAAAAGTTAATTTTTTTTTGCCATATAATAAATATTTTTATAGATTTATATTGCAGCACGATAGAAAAAATAAAACTACGCGTTTCTTGCTTATTTTCAATTAATTTAATTCGTTTATTTGATGCGCATAATTCTCTTAATATTTGGAAATCGGCTCGCTAAAAACGAGAAAGAGAACTTTTTTGCTGAAAAGCGAAATTTTCATACACTATTTCGAGCTTTAAAATTTTATCCTCTTTTGCCATAATAAAAAAAGAAAACTTTTTACGAGTTTATTCATGATCCGTACAAAAATAATTATTTTTCATTACTAAAATTCCAGAAATTTAAAAATACTTTCTAGAATTTAACAAAAATAAGTTTCAATTTAATTTAAAATTAATTAATCTACTTAAATTACAAAAATGTTCAACTTATATTTGCCAATTTACATTTTTATTCACATTTTATATGCTTGATCTAAATTTAAATAAAAAGATATGTTAAAAAAATAATTCTCGTCCCTTCATTCTTGCGCGTCAACTGCATCTGTCTTTCCTGATTTATATTTTTTAAGGGCAGACCACTATTTATGCATTTTCATTTCAAACATAATGTGAATAAGATAAGAATTTAATGAAGTTTTTAATGCGATTTTTTCTCTCTGTACACGCAGAGGAGTGAGGGATGCTGCGCGGGATGAATAAAGCAGAAATAAAATCGTCAAGTGCTTGATATCTCTGTTTGAAGTTTCCAAGTGGCTTGGCATGCTGAGAAGAGTGTACAAAAACGAGGAATAAAAAAACAACTCGAGGGAAGAACACACACAAAACAGCGACCTCGGTGTCACCCTCGCCCGTCGAATGCAAATCGGAGCCGAAATATTGTAATTCAGCGGCGAGGCGTGTTATTTTTCTTTCGCTAATTGAATGGGAATGTCTCGGCGAGAGCGAATAAGCCACTCGAATTATCGAACACGTTCTTTCTCTCGTCACAGCAGATCAAAGAGTGACTTCTGCTTTTTATTTATGCACCGAGCGAGCGCGTCCTTTTTGCTTAATTGCAGTCGCATCCGACGAGTTGTGCGGCGGCTCGCTTTCATCTGCGACGCGCCAGGCGGTCCATCGCAACCCTCGATCGGCACGAGATCACCCCCCACGGGACAACACATCAAAAAACGTGCAATTATTTGCGTGTCTACCTCGGCACCGCAGTCCACCACTAATTAATCCTCAATTTGCTGGCAAATTTAATTTTGCTCCCTTTTTGATATCACTGAAAAATTAGTTTGAATCTCATAATTATAATTTTTTTTTCTTTTTACATAATCAGCCGCTTTCAAGATAAATGAGAAGAAATTGAATTGTACGTTGAAAAGTTGTACACATTTTGTGTTTAATAAATTTCTAAATAAAATTTCTTTTTCTTTTCAAATTTTAACCAAATTAAAACTTTCAGAAAATTCCTACATAATTAACAAAAATAAAATTTTTACCCCGAAGATCCTAATTTTAAGCTTTAAGGTATAAAAAAGCAAAGGTGTCCGGAAGTACGTGTGCGGTCCTTTATTTCACTCTCACAACCAGCTTTTCATTCTTGTCTATAATTTTCTAAATTCAGCTCGTTCGTTTTTTATTCGTGCGTCGCAATTCACGTCGATTGTTGTCGCCGGAGGAGAAATGCAGCATTTTGAGAGCGGCAAAAAGGTGCAGCGCGTGAAACCCGAGCTGCTTCGGCACGCGTCCCATAATTACACGCGCCCCAAGACTCTCTTGATAGTTCACAAAAAATAAAAAGAGAAATGAAATGAAATGCGGACGTGAGAGTTGAATAATCGCTGCGAGCGGCGGCACCCTTTCAAAGCCGCTGGCCGGACGTGCTCTTTTTCAATGCAATTATATTTATTCCTGCGCGATAAAGAGCGCAGCTATAGACGGAAAAGGAAGAGGACATTAAAAAAGTGGGAAAGGCTTAATCGTGAATACATGTTTGAAATAATTGAATGCGAGAGTGAGCGAACAAATTTGAATTGCAAAGCATTTTCAGTAAAAAGCAGATGAAAAAAAAAATAATCCACGAATTTGAGATTCTTATAATGAAAAATGGTAACAAAATTTCATAGTTAAAAAAAATGATGTTTTGATAAATATTGGAACGTATTGCTAAAAGTTGGAATAAAAATATACTATCATTATGATACGTTGAGGAGCAAATTTAAATTCAGTTGTATATTTTTTGATGCGAAATATATTTATGTTATGTTAAAACACCAGATCAAGGAAAAGGTGACTTTATAAGGACCCTTTTCATTCTTTATTGACACAGTAAAATCAAGTCTTTTACAACAACAGTGATTACAATTTCCAATTATTGTCCAATAATCACAAAAATTGGTTTCAATTGTTGTATAGACTTAATTTTGACTTTGCCAACAATAGATTCTTTTAAGTCAATCATCATCCATGAATGAACCGACAATTAAAGCAGATTAAAGTATACACTGAAAAGAAAATAAAGGTCCTGTAATAACAGATTGTAATTTTATATAGCTTTTTTTAAATATTTTAAATTCTTAACCATCTGTGAAACAATTAAATTTATTGGGTAACTAAAATAATCCTTATCATCACATTGGCTCATAAAATTCCAACATCAAAATGCAACCTTTTCCAGAACGCTTAAAAATTAAATAAGATTGGGTTTTTAAAACATTATCAGACATTTTTTTAATTTACTAAAATTTGAGTAGCCGTGGTTAGAAAAAAAATATGCTTTACCTTTCATAGAATATGATTTAAATCTCACAACACTTCACAATACACATTCATCTGCTTCAGTACAAATATTATTTTCAAAAGCTTCTGCGTATTTTTGCGTTTTGTTTTAAATATTCATAAAAAAATTTTGCACAAAGAGTGTGTGAATGCTGGAATGTTGAATTAAATTAAATTTACTGTGTACATGATTTATGTGGTTGAAAAAAAAGGGAAGTTCCGCCCTTTTCGCAAATTAGCGGAATCTTGGCTACGTATGTTTAGAGGCCCAAAGCGGGAAATCGTGCGCTGGGATTGAGGAGCAGCGAGTGCGTGCCCTCTTGTGAGGCACAGGGTGCAGGCAACCGCATGTCCCGCGGCCAAACGAGCGTGCCTTTCTTTCTCGCTCCACTCCGGGAGCAAAAGTACCCACCAACAGAACCAACCAACTCATATACACTTTTTTTTTTGCTGCTCTCTGCTCTCCTCGCGTATTCATTCATCAGGAAGAAGCTCGGCCCGCTTGTGACACACTGGGATTATTTTTCCTTCTTTTTTCGCAGTCGTCGAGTGGTCGTCGACTCTCTCCGGCAGCACCGCAATTCTCTTTTCACGTCCGTCGTCAGCAGCCTTTCCAGCCCAGATATTTCTTAAGAGTCACTCCAGCATCCTCTGCGGCATCGCCATTTTTTACCTCGCAGCAGCGGCAGCCCCGGAAAATATAATTGGGTGCAACTTATTTTGCGATTGCAGCTCGCACACGCTCGGCCGCGTTGCTCTTCAACGCACCGGCATGCAGGGTTTGTTTGCCCTGAAGAGAACAGGATTTCATAAGAGAGGTTGAAAAGGGTCCAAAGTTAGAGAGGACCAGAATGAAATAAAAAATGGCTAGGGAAAATATATATAACGTTTACAAGTTACCCCGAATTTCCCAATTATTTAAATATTTAGGTTTTTTTTAAAATCTCTATTGAAATAAACTGAAAGCAAAACATTTTTACACCTGATATTTATAAATGTAGGCAGCCCGCACGGCAACAGCGTATACGGCGTTGCATAATCAAAAAGCTGCAGGGGTAGTTTTTCATGTTAAATTTAAATTGATTTAAATGGAAATAAGTTAAGAAAGATTTTTACAAAATTATTGTTCAGGTACCTAAAAATATAATATATTTCTAGTTTATCATTTAAATTTTGATTTTATTTCACGTGCAAATGTACAATTATCATAGAGTTTAATCATTTTAATTAGCAATATGACACTTTTGAGGAATAATTTTTAACTTCAGTAATAATTTCAAACAAAATTGAAAAGTGTGTTTATTAAATTAAACAAAAAATTTAATGTAAATTTACTACATCCTTAATAATCTCTCCCTTCCTGCTATTTTCTGTGCAGCAATTTGATTTTAATTCACATTGAATTACATAAAAAATTCAATTATTGGAGAAAATTTTTTCATCAAATAATGCTTATGAGAGTATCATACAAAAATTGAATAAACTATTTAATTTTTGGTGATAAAGCTTCAAATTGAATAAAATTAACTAAAACTTTTGAAGTAAAGTTATTCATAAAAGTGGAAATAAATTATTTTCTTTTGAAAAGTCTAAATGTTTGGTAATAATTTTGATTTCTATTGCATTTTTCAGTTGAAATTATCTTGCACATGACTAGAAATCTATTGTCAAACCTTTTGTTTGAAATTACATTGTTCGACGACCTGGAAAAAGTGTTTCTTTGCCTTTTGTTGTCATTTGTGCCTCATCAGCACGGAGATCACTTCTCGCCTGCTTGTCGTCTCGCGCGACCCAAAAAGGAAGAGCCCGTGCCCACAAAAGCAGGTTTTGATCTCAGGGCCATCTGGTGTGATTAAAAATGGATGGACAAGTGCTGGGGACATTTTGCGAGGGTTAATCACGGCGAGTGCTGCTCTATCTGTCCGGTGATGCAAGAGCAGCGGACCGACGAGA